TCGGGCGATGGGTTGCACGTGGATGAGGCAAACTGAGCAAACTGAGCAAACTTGCGCGACCGCGTCTGATGAAGAAGTTCGGTCAGTTGGAGGCGGTGTGGCACTAGTAGTGGATTACATCATGGCTCTTTGATCAACAACAATTTGTGAATATTATTGATTATGGTATGGAACTTTTGGCAATTATTGATATCTATATCTATACAATCTGCTCTCTCATGCTGTAAAGTAAACTACCATAAATCCAATCCAACTACCCACCACCCCGACTGCAGAGTAACTGCTCATGAACATCAGGGGCAGGAATTGCAACCGCTCCAGTCCGAAAATGAGCTGGTGAAGGAGGGAGCAGTAGATGATCAGCGGAATGGCAATAGTCAGGTACAGTAAAGAGAACCGATCGGCGACGAAGATCCGGCGCCGCTCGGAGACAGGTGCCACCTGATCAAATACGTAGAGGAACAGCACGAGCCACAGGACTGTGTAGACCGTTTTGATCGGGAATTCGGCGGCGGTAAAGAGTAAGGGAAACAAAGAGACGTGTCCGGCTACAGCCAGGGGGCGGAACGCGCTAAAGTACCGCCGGTCTTTGAGCGCGATGAGACTGAACGGGATGATGATCAGAAGTACCGCTTTCTCATGGACATGCCAGCCGAACAGGAACGATGCATATCCGCACAGGGTGATGGCACCAACGAAAGTCTCCCATTCAGGGTTGCGCCAGAGCTTAATCAACGGGAGCTAGTAACCATTAGAATCGCCGGCCGGAATCAATATAAACTAAGCACTTACCAACTGAAACAAGAAGGTCAAGATGAAAGTGTGCTCCTTGGTGACCTCAGGCAGTACGGCGAATGACGTGTCTCCCACAAGACCACGAGTGACGCTAACCAGGGCGTCCTGGTTAACCGGAAGGCCCAATCGCGGAGCAACTGCATTATTTAGTGCCTCTGAATGAATGCATAGGATTAGGTTCATAGGACTTACGTTGGATCAATATGCGATCAGTAAAGGAGTACAACGCCCACACATTAGGTGCCCAGTACGCATGGCACAACCCTCGAGAAAAGGGGAAGAGCCTGTCCTTCAATTGAAGCAGTTGACCCCAGGAGGCGAACGGCCCGAAAGCCAAGGCAAAGACGCCAACCACGCACACGCCGAGCTTGATGATGTTAAAGAACCGAGGGCGGAAAATTGACTTCGGATCCAGACAGTAGACCCTCAGCAAGTAGACGAAGTATGCCAAGGCAAGGTATAGATAGATGTGCTTCAGACATAGCAAAACCGCGAAGCTGATCCCACTGTAGAGAAGAGTCGACTGCTTCCGTGCCAAAACGATTGAAAGAATCAAGATGCCGTAAAGGAACCCGTTGTACTGAAAATGAATGTGGTCGATGATAAGCAGACCGGGCGACAGGAAGATGGACAGGCTGGCGATGTGCGCAAGGTGTTTGTTTTGTTGCGATACCGACTTGACAAATCTAAGCGTTCCCGAATCAGCTAGTCGAACGAGGCACAAGATGGTATAGAAGAATTACCTGCTCAAAGCGAAGAGCAGAACCAGCTCCGTGACGATCACCGTGGCCCTCTGGAAGTAGATTGTCTGCCATGAATCATGATTGAGGTTGTTGACAATCAACATCGCCGGATCCGCATAACGTGCCGCCTGGGAGAGTACCCATTCGAATGCCGCGAAGAAGGGAGGGTAGTCGAGAGTCCATTCCGACGTTTTCTGACCGGATTTGCGCAAATTAGTATTATGCACGCTTGAAACGGTATGCATTGGCGAATACGTACCTCGTAGTACCATTCCTTGACCGGCAACGAGTGTGTAATTGCGAGCCAGTTTCGATGGACCTCAAAATCGGTGGATTTGCTGCACGTTCCAGCCACAATTCAGCTGTGAGTTCTGCAACCTCGCGGTGCTGTTCTAGACCATTTGCGGGCAAACGTACTATGCGGGGAACAAAAGGATTTTGAATGCTGTCGCAACGATGGCGCACTGCGCCAAAGAAGGGTATAAATCGGTCATTGGTAGTCTTGCGCTTGACGCGCCGCCCGGAGAAGGAAAGGGAAAGGAGCGTGGGGCATGGAAAGGCGAGAGAAAGTGCCAGTCCTGGGGAGGGAAGCTGGATGGAGGCAGAGGGATAACCACAATAGGCCCATGGAACCCATCCGGGGCGGGGTTCACGTGACACCAACAGGGACGGGGAGCTGAAAGGCCAATCTGTCCCCTGCATTTCGCGGCGGTTCTCTGTTACGATTTCCTGCGGCAATGGACTTGGCTTCGGACGTAGGAGTCCGTCACTCGGTCGTTCTCTCTAGTCTGGAAATTCGTCATCTGGTCGATTTCTCCCCCGCAACTACCTCTATCGCCAGGGAAATTCGCCTCTGCGTGATCGCCATTGTGGTTGGGTGGACCACCTCGCGCGTTGTCTCCGCCTTGTTGAACCGGAGATCGTCGTCGGACCAGTAACAAGATACACCAAGCTTACTCGGAGCTTCACCTTGCTTCTTCTTTCTGGCTCTCCCACTTTCAATCCCTCTGTCTTTCTTACGTATTGACAGCTTCTGCCGTGCTTTGGATCTATACTTAGCCTTTTCCCTCACCGTTGTTTCAAAGATTAGTACCTGCATAACTTGTTTGCGTGACGAGCCTCCGATTGCATAGACATGATGAAGATCCCTGTTTCTCTCCTTTCTTTGGTTGCTGCTGCCACAGCTCAATCGGTGATTGAAAGCTCCAGCTTCGGCTTCGGCCAGACGTATGTATCACCGTCTTACCCGGTCTGACACAAGTCAATCTCTGATTTACTAATGCCTCCCAGGTTATCAGCAGATGGCGGTGCCATTTCTGGGTGGCAGACTGGAGGGGAATCGCATACCCCCGACATCGTATGCTGACCACTCCCATGATGAAGCTCCAAGCCATGGCGTACTGACTGCTACGTAGCTCTCTAACAAGATCATCCTGACACCCCCTTACCCAGGCAATACAAGGGGATTTGCTTGGTCACAGACTCCGTAAGTCCTGCTGGTTCCTATCCTTGACGGATTTATATTGACCCAATTTTGTAGTGTATCGCAGTCGGAATGGACAGCAGAGTTCCAATTTCGAGCGACTGGTCCCGAACGGGGTGGAGGTAACCTCCAGCTCTGGTATGCCAAGGACGGTAAAGATAGAATCGGCACTTCCAGCATCTATACTGTCAACCAATTCGACGGTTTTGCTCTGGTCATTGACAGCCACGGCGGAAGGGTAAGTCCGAAGCTACTGTCTGATGGCAAAAGCTAATTATTTACCAGGGTGGAAGTGTGCGCGGGTTCCTCAACGATGGCACAACAGACTATAAGAGCCACAGAAGCGTTGATAGCTTGGCCTTTGGACACTGCGACTACCCTTACCGCAATCTTGGACGGCCCTCTACCGTCCGCCTAAAGCACACCAAGTCCGTCTTCGAGGTTACTGTCGATGACAAGCTGTGCTTCTCCACTGACAAGGTGCGTCCATCCACGCCACATCCCCATCAACAATCTAACGTAAACAGGTCGCTCTCCCTACTGGCAACGTCTTCGGTCTGACTGCTGCAACCCCCGAGAACCCCGACTCCTTCGAAGTCTTCAAGTTCGTTCTCCAATCCGCCGAGTCTGGAACCGGCAGCGCTGTGCCCGTTCAGCAGCAGAACACCAACCAGCAGCCTATTGCCGCCCAACAACAGGCCGTTCCCCAACAGCAGCAGCAGGCACCCCCAGTCAACACCGGCTTTGAGCAGCAGTTCGCCGACCTGAGTAACCGCGTCCAGGTCGTCAACCAAGCCACCGACAACATCATCCGCGAACTCGGAAGCCAAGACACCAAGGCCGCCAACCGCCAGGTCGAGCTCCTCCAGAAACTCGCCAGCAAGGAACAGATCGCCAGCCTCGACGCCAGACTCCAAAGAATGGAGCAGATGCTGCAGACCATTCAACGTGACCTGGAAGGCAAAGACTACCACAGCCGCTTCAACCAACTTCAGGAAACCTTGCGCTCGTCTCACCTTAGCTTGACCGAGAATCTCTTGGGAGGTAAGTACTCCCCTTATGGTTTTCCAAACCACCCGAATCGAAGCTAACTCACTCACTTATCTAGTTATCACCTCCTCCGCCCCGCGCATGGGATTCTTCATCTGCATGATCATCGCCTTCCAGGGTCTTCTTGCCGTGGCTTACATCATCTACAAGCGTCGCCGTGCGAACATGCCTAAGAAGTTCCTCTAAACTTCTTTCATCCTCTTTCCCCACCTGTATCCATATCAACGACTTGAACTGCTGCCAGTCAGTCTGCGGTAATGAACGATATCACGAGAAACCCGGCAGCGCCGTTGTACGGCGTTCCTTCTCTTCGTTATCCGAATAAACCATCATGTGTAACTATTCGTTTATTTTATACTAGCTAACGTTATGTTGTCGTGCGTTCCTTGATTCTGTACTTGTACATTTACAATTACACTTGTTTAGCATTGCGCTTATTTTCATTCCAGCGCGGTGGGAGCGCAATATACATATCTGATCTGGCCACGGATCAATAGATATTCGGTCCATTTGCATGCAATGTGCCTCTCTGTTGGGTCGTAAACGAAGAGCAATGTGTAAATGTAGTATCCTGATATAAGTTTCCGTCTTAATCCTGTCTGCCTCGTTCGAATCAGCACCGCACCCCCCCCCCCCCCCCAACCCAATATGCATACAACAAATTTGACAACCTGCTCTATATCGAGAACGGATTTTGTGCCGAACAGACCTACCTCAGAGTACCACTGACCACCGGAAGAAGGGAAGGAAGGAACCTGCTCTACGCCGATTTATCTGCGAGGAAACACCGTGGTGTGGGTTATCCGGATACTACGGAACCAGCTACTACCGCACTTCTACCGAGAAGGAGGGAGTGGATGGAACGGCGATAAGTGTAGAATGAATGGATTTTAAAATTGAATATTTGTTTGTTGGTAGACCGAGACGCACCACTATCCTAGGGGTAGGTCCCTTTTGGTCTGGTTGGTGTGGTGCGTCTCGGTCTACCAACATTGTCTAAAAAAGAAAACTTGAAAGTAAAAATATTGGCCCATCTCCCCCGGATGGGCCGGCCGGGGGAGATGGGACTTGAAAAAGAAAAGAAAAACATTGAAATGGAAAATCACATAGATCCAATGAATAATGAAAATGCCTTGCAGCTATTGCTGCGGCTTTTATGCAACATTCAATCAATATGCCCTGAAATGCCATGCTCTGTATGCGCCGAATGTTCAATAAGCCGAAATGGGACCATGGTTTTTGCACAGAAAAAAAGAAACCATCTAATATGGAAACTGTAGTAGGACACCGACGCCTAATTCCCCAATACCACTGGTGATCCCTGCCAACCAATGCGATGCGCCGCGCCAACCGAAACACAACAGTTAAACTAGTATAATAACCAAGGTCGTAGCATGGCGTAATAATATTGAAGGCTGAAATGTTAGAATCTTTGTAAAGCATGCGCCGACTTGGTCTGGCGCAATGACACTGACAAGGCGAATTATCGCGAATATGTGACAACCGATAGTGTCTCAGTGCGGAGACACCGTTTGTGTTTTTCATCTATGCACAGAGAACCATCCTATTAGCCTGATGTTTCTTTTCTTTCCTTTTCTTTGTCATTTTGTTGATTTGCCGTTTTGATTTGGTTTTTTTTTTTTTTTTCCTTTTTGAACTCTTTTTTTTTTTTTCCTTTTTCTATTTGTTTGTTGAGAACAGTAGGGCTATTCCCGACAGAATGTCGCCGTGACTGGTAACGTAATAGGCTCCGATTCAATGATGGGTTTTGACTGTGACGATGCTTGAAATTATTTGATTAATGGAACGGCGATGGACTAAGTGCTGGCTGGCTGGGGCGGCTCGGGCTGCGCATTCAGCACCGCAATGCGTTGTTCAATAAGATTCTGTAGAGCACGAAGAGAGGCGATCTCCGTGTTGGCCGAGGGAAGATCGGGCGGAGCGTTTGCCTTGAGCTGATCTATAAGCAAACCGATTTTTCCATCTTCAGGCCCTTGCCTAGTAGGTCCGTTGCCCTGTGCGAGTGAGATGAGGTTTGCGGCCGCTTCCCGTTCAGCGATAGTGCGTGAGTTCAAGATCGCAGCAGTTGTGTCCTCTTCCAGAAAAACAGGCTTCTGGGACGAGTAGAATGCATGGGCCTTGGCCAGCAGCTTGTCGAACTCTGCGGTGGCATAGTCGAAATATCTGTCCGCAGTTTCCTTCATCATCTTGTACTCCTCATTTTCCCTTCTCCACAAGTCAGACAAGTCAGACATATAACCAACTATAACGCCTAGGAATCAACTCACCTCTTAACTCGATGAATGAAGTCCAATTTTAGACCGCGCTCTGACACACGGTACACGATACCTTCCTCCTCCTGTTCCTCCATTCTCTCGACCTCTTCCTCATCTGGAAGGACTTCAACGTCGATCATGCGGGGTCGCTTCGGACGACGAATGCGCTTTAACATATCGTATCCCTCCTCATCTTTGACCCAGTATTTTAAATCATGCCAGACGTGGTTGGGACACATCCAACTGTGGTGCCTACGATCACTGCCGCCTTTCTGGATGGGAGGTAGGGGCAGAGGCGGGTCACAACAATCCATGTGGAAAGCACAAGGACAATAGTCGCACTGAATTATGGGCTGACGGCCGTTACTCGTGCGACCGCAAGCTGCGCAGAGAATCACATTGCCTTTGGCATCCTGTGTTCGTAGTAGGTAAGGGTCATCATAACGGCCATGGCGGTTCCCTCGGCGGGGGTAGAGCTTGGGAAGTGGTACAACCTCATCATATTTGTCCTCATCTCCCGTAGCCACACCGGTGAAGTAATCGCGAACACCAAGGGGTAGGAGGAAGTCTTTCTGTGGAGCGTTGTCTAGAGCACCCAGTAAGGACGTCATAGGCTTTGACAACGAGCATTTCGGGCAAAACCAATCTCCCTCCGGGGGGTTTGCCGGGTCCAAGGGCGGGTTAAGGCAGGAGAAATGGAAAGAATTCGGGCAGCCATCGCAACACAGCAGCTGGCCGCTTCCGTTACAATTGTGACAAAAGTCGTTGTTTTCCTGGCGTTCGTTGTCGCTTCTGCCAGCATGTTAGCGTTCAGAGGAACAAGTGGTAGATAGACAAGGGGGACTTACGTCAGGGTAGGTGTCAGGCGTCGATTGTCACCGGCATCACTACTAGCTGGACTCTCAGAGCGCTGTCTGCTACTCATGCCAGCTCCCAGTGATGCTGGTTGAGATCGACTGGCTGCAGCGGGGACAGGAGATGGCACATTAGACTGCTGTGGGTCAGAAGTCAATGAGGAACGCATGTGACTTTCCAATGCGACAATGGTCGGAAGAGGCTTCTGCAGGCGAGTACGTTTGATTCGTGCCCCTTCCTCGGGGTTCGATTCATCTTCCAGTGCATGCTTCTGTGGGAGAGCCGTAGCAGCACTAGACGGGGCGGCTGACTCCTTCTCCTTTGCCGAAGGTGCACCCCTTTTAGCCGGTTTACCCCTGGCGCGAGCACGGGAAGTTGCCGCTCCAGGAGCCATGCCCGGGGCAAAAGTCTCAGCATCAAGGGAAACCGCTGAAGAGAGAGATGAAATGCTGCTGGCCGACCGGGGGCGAGCCAAGACCGGTGCCGTGGCAAACTCCTCGTCGGCTTCCGCCTGAACCTCCTTCCATGCAGCGCGCATAACACTCTGGAAAGCCGAACGTTCCCGCGGGCCGGGATTTTCCTGGCAAATGCCGTCAAGAATAGAAAGCGCAAAAGGATCTTTGTTGCACGTCTCCCACAATCTGATGAGGCCGCGTGAAACAGGGCGATTGTTGGTCTCAAGCGCCAGTCGAAGAGCCTTTTCGACCGCAATCTTAATCCGATCAACGTCTACTTCTGTCGATGTAGGAACAGGCAGTGAAGTGAAAGCAGACATGTCCGGTGAGACCTTAGACTTCGTAGGTAGAGGTTCGTCCATCGGCTCCTCAGCGGGCGTTAAGGGGGTCTGAGGCTTGTTGTCAGCTCCCTCGCCGTTCGGTGTGGCCTGTGACTCCTTTTTCGCAGAGATATTCTGAACACTGGGTTTGATGGGTGCCAGTCCAGCCTTGCGCAAGTCGGCAGTTGATGGCATGGTTCCCAGTGGGCGCATACTGGACAATACGGGGTTCGCGTGATGAGACACATTACACCATGGCGTGTCTGCGAAGCTCGGTTCTGGTTCTCTCAATGGTGGTTCAACCCATCCGCTACTGCTTTCAAAGATGTTTGAATCGCTCAGAGTATCCGACACGTCATTCTTAGATTGTTCCAAACGCGACTGGGTACGAGAGGGCGGATCCTGGAGAGGATCGGTGGCCACACGACTGTTCCAGCCAGTGCGGCGTTGCTTGCGAGGCCTTGTAGAATCGGTGAGCGAGGAAGCAGTGCTTGCGGTAGTTGGCGCGCCAAGTGGAGTGGAGGGGCGAGAGTTATTCGACCAGGCGTGCGACGACGAACGGAGATTCGGAGCCATTGTTGTAGACAGGGCTCGCAGGTTGCAGCGGCTACAAAGCCAGGGTTAGCCTGCGGAAACAAAAAGCTGAGACACATTAATTGAAATAACAATTACTTACTTGTAGGTAGATTCCAAGCAAACACCGAGCGTGCCCAGCGTGGCTGGTTGGAATCGAGGCCAGCCCGCGCGCTGTCTGCGGGTTGATGGAAGGAAGAAAGGTTGCGGAGTTGGAGTGCCGGAAGTTTTCGAGTCCCAATCAGGCCTCCCTCTAGGGGGTTCGCCGCGGACCTCTGTCAACCACGAAATTACCAGACACCCTCGATCTGGATTCCATGTACATTAGATTTTTGAAACCGGATTTCGTGTTGTATAGAATACAAGACTGATTGTCTTCATTTCCTGGAGTGGGGTGCTTACTAGAGTGACCCTAGGAGACGCGTCAAGGGGCCGTGAGATAGAAGTGTAATAAGAGCCAACACAACTCTCTAAATCCTGCTTAAGTGCCTTATATGACAGAAGCTGCAATAGGATAGATGATGTGTAGAAAAGGCAATGTAAAACGCTAAGTTACTTCAGAAAGATTTCAGGTCCTGTGATTGGGTCAGCCGTTCAACATCCTGAAGCTTTCCAAGTCCAAGTCTGATGCCCAACGCACACGGACAATATGACAGCGTCCTGATGATGGAATGGGGTTCGTCCAGTGCTTAGGACACATACAAAAGCAGAAGGCATAGAAAGATAAAAGCACGAGCACCGCCTGGTCCGTAGAAACAAGCGAAGCGTAGGGAAAGGGGATTGCACGCGTAGAACACAGCTCCAGTATTGAAAACAAACTTACCAAGTACGACAGATGTTATCGAAACTCTTGAATCAGTATCTTCTGCTGTAGCCGATACAAAGGTGACGTACTCGGAGGGAGGAGACACGATGTATGTGCCGATGTAGATGCAAAGAAGAGGATTGCTGGATTCAACGACAAAGAACAATTTGATGAAGCGTTCGAACCCACAAGCAACGCGAATCTTCTCTAAAAGGCAGACAAACGAAGAAGGTGATGGGTAAGCGGAAGAAGATGGAGGTTAATGATCAGGGAGGACGAAGTAGAAAGTTTGAAGAGAAACAAGGAAGCAGAAGGGCAGGGTCCGGAAACTCAGAAGAAAGGTCAAGTTCGCAAACGAGGATTCTGCAATGTGTTATACACAACGCGTGTGCTTTCTATGCAGAAGGCTCGTGGCTGACTTCTCTTGAAAGATTCCGATATCAGATTGATGAGGAGGAGGGGTTGACGATGCGGAAGAGCAAGGAAATGTGATTCTTGAACGTGTTGTTCAGATAGTATCTTGAGATACAGGTTGTAGAAGAATGTTCAAGAATGAGAAGGGAAGAGAAATCGGAAGAGGGGAAGCGAGTAGTTAAGAAGGCTGTTGTGGCTGGGGTGTTTGGGGAAAGTGAAGCAAAGTGAGTGAATGATACTCCGATGTCACTGAGAGCGAATTTGCAGCCGCGGGGAAAGAAGGGCACGACGCTGCTGCAAGTACTCCAGAGGAGTAGACAGCAGATGTTTCTCCTGTAATCAGGATAACAAGCCGTCCAGAGATGATGGAAGTCGGCAGAAGAGCTTTGGGTAGGAAGTGGAAAGGGGAAAGGCACAGGGAAGGGAGAAGATGGAAGAGGAAGGATTGGGGAAGTCAGAGACGGAGGTCAGTTGGCCCACTCGACCAACCTCCATGCCCTCTCAACACCAGACAACCCAACACACCCCTAGCCAGCTCTCAGTGAATGAGCTGGGACGGGCTGAACACAATATGTTCACCTATAGCCATATTCTAGGATAGACAGCCGGTCCTCCTTCACTCCGTGCATCCCGGCCCAAGCCATCATACTGGCTGGATTCACTGCCGGTACATGGCCATATGCTGAACCCTACTGTTGAACAATACGAATAGTCTATTACTTACAAGGTAAACTTCCATAGCCAGGCTTCAAGATACTAACAAAGGGAACTACCGAAGGTGCTTTTTCTCTCAAGCCTTTGTCGAGGGTGGGGTGGCGGCAACGGCTGGGCAAGCAACCTGCCTCTCCAACGTGGCAGTCACCCGAGAGATACCACACCCGATTAAAGCATCGGAACAGATGATCTGATGTTTGATGGACCGGAGAGCTCATCGGGGGCGAAATGTCCTCTTCTCCTAGAGTCCATGGGGAAGGGGGCAGGTTACGCTGACCTCATCGTTAGAGACAAATGAAGTCCGAGCGGATCATCGGGAATAATATGATTGCCTGCAAATCACGGAGAATAGAAAGAGAACATTCCAGGAACACCTGCCTCCATGTATGAATGTGGCAAAGGTAGAAGCGTGATAGGCGAAATAGGAGGTAAAGCTTTGGACCGGCGGACACAGGTTGGATAGATCTAGTAGTGTTGATGGAAAGCAAGGAAGATGTTCTGCCTCATTTTTTTTTGCGTCTGTTTATTCGAGCATTTACATATCGCGTCTTCTGAACTTCTGAACTAGTTATGTGACAACAAGTTTTATAATAGGGTATTATGAAAGACCTAGGTCTCCCACATGGCTCATCTTTCGCACGGATTTCCCCCATCCCTCATCATCTGCAGAACTCCCTGGTTGCAGCTCCAAAAAGGATCGTTGTAATGGCGTGCATCGCCAATGCTTCGGTATGACGAAGAATGTTTCCTGCAAAGAAATCATAGGCTTTCATTTGAGCCAAACCAACACGCCCACGGATACGGCAGATGTGACGCCCAAGTCAGACGATGATTTACTCGTCAGCCTTCTTGGCAGCGGTCTTCTTCTTGTTGTTCTTGTTCTTCTTGGAGCCGGTGGACTTGGCCAACGGACGCTCAAGGATCTTAAGGATCTCCTCGTCCTCGATCTTCTTGTCCGTCTGGAACTTGGAGAGATCGGGAGTGGTGGGAGCAGCAAGACGGGTGATGCCGTTCTTGGTGATAGCTAAAGCCTTGTTAGAAGACACATCCTCTGCGATAGTCGTAAACTAATGGAGATGGCAAAACATACCAAGAGTGGTCAAGACGCGGGAGACCGGAGCATTGTCGGCATCTCCGGCGGGCTCGTACTGTCTCAGGACACCACCACGGACACACTCGACAACACCAACCTTGGCAGACTTCTCATCATCCAGCTGGCGCAAACTGAAGGGGAACTGGCCAAACTTCTTGACGACCTCGGAGAGAGTCTGTCTGGAGCTAGGGCGCTTGAGGCCGTAGGTGGTGGTGGTACGGCGGTGGAGAGTGGCACGGTGAGGGAGGGTCTTAACCTTTCCGGATCCGAGAGACAGACCAAGTTCAACACCCCAGACTTCACCGACCTCGGGGACACCCTCGCCCTTGACACCAGCGCCGGGAGAGAGGATAATCTTCTTCTCGCCCTCAATCTCGTTGCGGTCAAACAGCCAGCTGGTGGTGTTCTCGACAACGTTGCAGTCGTAGGCCTTGGCAACCTTCTCGATCAACTGAGTAATCTGAGCCTGGGTAGGAGGCTTCTGGGCAGCAGCCTTCTGCTTCTCCTCATCAGTTCCGCTGGCGAGGAGGCCGGGGGGGACCATAAGTCTCAGGAGAAGCTCGTTGGCGTAGTGAGTGGCGTGGATAAGGTCAGCCTCGCGGCCGGTCACCACATCGGCGGACGAGTTGCTGTCGGCGACAATAACCATGTCGCAAACGATGGTACCGAAGCCATCGATCTGGGCACCAAGCTGGATCTTGGCGACCTCACCGGCCTTCAGGGTGGTCTCGGCCTCCTGAGCGTCGGACACCAGGGGAGTGTAGGGAGTCACATAGGAGCTGGGAGAGACAGTGGTGGGGTGAGCGATACCTTTCCCCGGCGCATCACGTTAACTCGCTGATCTGACAATGATTGCTCCGGGCTAACAGAGGCAACATACCCTTCTGGATCTTCTTGCCCTTGTAGACCTTGGCAATCTCTTCCTCGAGGAGCTGGTCACCCTTCTGGCAAAGCTCGACGATCTTGCTGCCCTCAACACACCATCCTAGTATAACGAGATTAGAATTTCGTAGCCCTAGACCAGGCGCAGACGCCCGGATGGAGGAATCACACACCTGCAACGGCTTCGAGAACCTTCTGGGAGATCTGAGCGGCGGTCTTGTACTTGGTCAAGGTGTCGGGGTTGTTGAGGGTGTAGTCTAGAAATGGACCAAGGCCAGGTCAGTTAGGGTGGAGAGCGAACAGGCATGCTTAAGCCGTAGATTGTACGATCATGATAGAAAGAAGATATTGACAGGCATTTCGGGAACTGGATAACAGGAGACGAAGAGAGGTTGCGATTGTCCCGTAAGGCTCATCCGCTGCTCAAAGTCGTCGCCAAACCTAAGCCGAACCATGACGACGAAAGCAAGCGGGAACCCACAAACGCCGGAGCTTTTTTCAAATTGGAGGGACCAAGAGGGGTAGCTGGACATGGCATGAGCACTTACCAACCTCGGGGGCCTGAGTCTCAGCCATTGTGTATCGATAGGGGGATCCTCGCGCTGCTGCGAGGAAGAATTACAGATGAAGGTATCTGGGGGAGCAGTAGTTCTAGCACAACAGTAGAGAAAAGAGGAAAATGGACTCTGCTGGAGAGCTGGAGAACCTTAGTAGCAGGATGGAGTCGTGTGCACCGCACCGTATTTACCATCATTACGCCTTGAGCGGGGGCTTCGGCCTGGTTTTTCGCTGCGTTGGCGGTGGGGTTCTCTTCCTTTTCCGAGTAGGGCTTGGTATCTTGCTGTTCTGCTATTACCCTCCGCTTTTGTGCAGCTGACCGCCTACCATTTTCTACCCTTTAGTAACAAAGCCTAGTGGTTTGTTCGTTGCCTGCTTGACTGGCCGGTCCTTGCAGTTGACGCCCAACCCGCTTTTTAGCATCCTTTTCGCGTTGCTTCGTATACTCTTCTGTCTTTTGGCAATTGATTGGAGTGACAAACGCTCTATTCCATTAAGGCCCCTTCCATTCTTTTCGAGCTCCAAAAGATTTAAAAACCACGTTACCGCGTGATAGGCGTACAACTTCTCTTGATCGTTCCCACAATAATGCTCATGTCATACCAAGTAAACGCAAGTTCCTAATTGTGCAGTATGACATCACACCTCAGGTCTCAGTCGCCACAAGTTGTTCTCATCATTACTGCTTGCAAGCCGATCGCTTGCTAGATCTTCAACCTAGACTGTACTCCCTCCACTGTAGTACACAGTAGGACAAACTTCATCCTTGGCAGAGTAGATGGCACGAACCGGACTGCGGAGGTTTTGACGGGTCAAAGGTTCAGGCCACTGTTAAACCCCATTATAGCCCTTGATGCCACAGCACGTGAGACCTGCAAGGTCAAAAGAGGGGGTCTGGAAATGCCATCAGGAATAGAGATTGAGCCTAGGCTGGCCTGGCTAGTTGAGGGTGCTAAACGATCGCTGTGTAAACCCAGCGAAGCCGAGATCACGCCCGAACAGCGCGACTTCAAAACCCAACAAGGGTGTTTCTTCCTTTGCGTACTTATTCTTCAAATGATATTTAATGCAAGGTTTCCCCCTCCGACAAGGGAAAGGTTGCTGCGTGGCTGACCGTCTATGCTCCACGTCAACCCAGAGGGAATCGTTGGCTGGCACATGGCTTGACTGAGCAGAAAGTACGCGGGCCACGGCTTATGCATGCTGTCTAGGAATTTCTTAACTTTGAGCAGCTAACAGAACTAGCTCCGACCATTGTTTCGAAAATAAAAGAAAAGGTTGCTTAGACCGTGTATATGCTCCAGAGATGCGAAGGAATCGGGTTCTTGCTGAAGGAGAGCCTCGCCATGTGATAATTGCTGATCTACCTACAATCTTAACTAAATAGTTAGTTAATTAGTTTTCTCTCATGGCCCCGGGCAATCCCACCACTTTATCCCGCCAAGCCATCCCACTCGATGACTACTATGTTCTGCTTAGATGAGACCACGGTATATCAATAATACGCACACATTATAGAACAATGGAAGCCTTGCAGGGCAATGGGCACACCCAGCCATCTGTGCAGCAATAAGTAAGAGAAGGTGGAGGGTTTAGTCTGTCACTGCCTCATGGCCCACTAACGTGCATCCACCACCATGCTTCATGGCTACTATTGATCAATGGCTTCCTACCAGCCTACCCGGAGCCTGCAGGATTTGGCCCCCCGCCCATGTGTGACCACCACATGGGTGTCCTGCAGATTATCGGGGCTTACCTTCTCTCTGACGGGCCCCTTTATACCGCCCCAGCGTTGAGTTTGCTGAAAAGTTTGGGGGCGAAGGCCTAATCAACAATGCGTTCTGACATGGAGCGAAGTTACGGGTCTTATATACGCCCCTCTCCTCGTCAGACGAGCGCATGTCAATGGAAGGGCATCGCTATATCGGCCTCCCGATGTGTCACCTTTCCCTTTGCACGGGTGGGTATTATTATTGCCCGCAGCAGGCATAATGGGCTCAATTACAGAGGCAATAGGAAAGCGCACAGAGCTGTCTCATGATGGAAGGGATGTAGCCATCACATTGGCCGTGTGCCTTTTCCTGGCAACGCTTACCACGGGACTCCGCTTTTGGTTGTCCAGAAGGCGGAGGCCGTTGTTTTCCATGCCAGAATCCATGACGCTCGCGTCCTTGGTAAGTGCTGTTGACACACCTCTCAGCAATAATCTAAGAGGCCCCTTGGTGGTTCTTCTAGCATCTGACGAACATGATGCAGCTCTTATTCTACTCCTACGCCGTGGCGACCTACTTGAGTATGTCTATGCTACTAGACCATCCTAGTATACGACTTGTTGGATCTTAACTGATGTCGCATTCGTCTACTAGTTCTGACAATCGGGCACGGTGGCTACCCAACGTCTCAGACACAGAGCTGGCGGCTTACTTTCACCCTCAAGGTGCGTATGCGCCCAATAGGTTGCCAGCACTTCAATGCTAATGGCTGCATACAGTGTGTCTACTATCTCCGGTTGGCTTACGGCACAGGACTGGGCTTGGTGAAATGCAGTATCTTGATGGCCCTGTTCAGATCCCTTGCTGCTTCATCCAAGGCCGCTCGATATGCTATCCTGGTCATCATGGCACTCTGCATATCCTGGAGCCTGATGGCCACCCTCTTAAGCCTCTTGAACTGTCGCCCATTGAGCTACAACTGGAACCTGCAACGTCCAGAAGACCACTGCATCAATCGAAATGCTGCCTTTATGGCAGTGAGCATCATTGACGTTGTGACAAACGCCGCTATTCTGGTTTTGCCGCTCCCTAGGGTTATAAGAACAAAGATTACCCGACCGGAGAAGCTAGTCATGGCCAGTCTTCTGGTTTTGGGACTATTGTAAGTGGTCTGGGGTCTATCTCTGGTAAACAAAGCAGATATTAACATGCTTCTAAACAGTGTTGTTGCCATTACCGCGGTCCGTACGGTCACCATCGCCAAAACGGACTTTTCTGCCATTTATGACAATGGCAAGATGATCATCATCTGGACAACGGTGGAGTGGACAGTGGCGCTCATGATAGCCAATTCTCCTGTCTTGTGGCCTTTGCTTGACTGGCTCGCTCCTTTCCATTCTATGGAGAATGGTCCGTACGAACGATCGGCATATAACCCTTCGTGTCACTTGCTAAAGCGTCTGCGACCAACAAATTTGCTGGAATGCACTCAAACATTGACATCAAAGACGGCCGTCGCGGAGACAGGCTCAGTACACTCATCTCGATCTATTATCCGAGGGTTCGGGGCCAACTGGACAGAGGCAATCGGGCAAGCACAACAACCAGATCCTTTTCTATCGTTGGAGCCGGGCGAAGTGCGAGTGCAGACTGAGTGGTCAGTTGAACGGTCGTCAGTGGGTAGATTGGATCGATTAAGGCCGGGAAGAAGATCGTAGCCGAAATGATAATAAAAAGTTGTAGCACTATCACTTACTGAGACGAATTTTCTTAGTCTCACCTCCCATACGATATTCTGTACTGCCAAACGTGTTTCCGCTTGGGCTGAAACAAGAGTGACATTCCTTTCATCACACACGTTCCGTACCTCAACCAATCATTCACCAACAGGCTAAAATCTGACTTACATGCAACTTCCCGTGCTGAGACTGGGGGGGTCTTATTTCCTTTCGCAGCCTTGCCATGCACTGCCTCGTGTTCTGCCTTCCTTGGGCACGTTTTGGCCCTACAACGTACAGGGTAAATACGGGGGATATTTGGTAGGGGTGCACTCGGGCGTGCTCATCTCCTCACCGATTATTCAACTGGATCGGAATGGAGCTGGGGGCCTTAATTGACGTCACTAAAGGCCTTTTGAGGATCTAATAAGCTGGAGTCATTTCTGATTCTATTAACGCCTATCTCGCTCGCTGCTTTTAACAGATTGACTGAGGGCAGGCTGACGAGCGGGGTAATCATAATACAGCCCCGATCTCTCCAGACACTCTGCGATCGACTTCTATACTCGTCGGAACCCCAGGTATAGTATCCTTTTTATACCCCACCATGCTAAGACCCCCTAAGCTAAATCACCCCTTGTGGATACCAATATGGCTGCAGGTGAGCAATTTGACTACATTATTGTCGGTGGTGGTACAGCCGGCTGTGTCCTAGCCTCACGGCTGAAGCAATACAACTCCTCTTTGTCGGTCTTGCTTGTCGAAGCGGGGCCCGATGCCAGCAATCACCCCCTCGTACCAGACGGAAGTAAAGCCACTCAGTTACTTGGATCAGAGCTTGATTGGACATACGAGACAGTGCCGCAGAAGCATCTTCATGACCGCGTACTCTCAAACCATGCAGGAAAAGCTCTAGGTGGTAGTACCACAATTAACAGCGGTGAGCCTTAGTATTCATTCATCGAGGGTCTGAACTTCAAGGAGGTGATGATGGACTTGGGGTGATATCGTACAGAGCTAATGGACCCTACACGGCGCGATTAGGCGGATGGATGCGAGGTGCAAAAGAAGATTATGACCTCTGGGCCAGCTTGGTCGGTGACTCTCGATGGAGCTACCACGGTCTCCTTCCTTACTTCCGGAAGCTTGAGCATCACTTCGATCCCTTTGCCGACCCCGAAGTTCACGGGTTTGAAGGTCCTATCAAAACCGAGTCCGTGTCCTCTACAGGCCGCAGATACCCTCTTCGTCAATTGGTGCAAGAGGTTTGGAATTCCGTCGGTGTAACATTTAACTCCAACATCAATTCCGGCAGTCCTTACGGGCTGGTTGAGGTTGTCGAGAATCGCGACCACGGGATGAGACAAATGTCGAGCTCCGTTTATCCGCTAGACGTGGAGGTCATGACTGAAACCCTGGTCAAGCGAGTGCTGGTGGAGGAACGCGATGACCAAAAGGTTGCAATAGGTGTAGTGTTGGAGGATAAGAACGAAAGCCAGATTATTGCACGTCAAGAGGTGATCATATCTGCAGGTGCATATCGTACCCCTCAGCTCATGATGCTTTCGGGGATTGGTCCAGCGGAGGAATTGCGAGCCTATGGGATCGATGTTGTTCTCGATCTTCCGGATGTAGGCCGTCACTTTGCGGACCATGTAGCAGTCTCTCAATGGTGGCAGTTGAAGCACCCGGAGAAGGGGCTAACAATCGGATCACCCACCTTCACCGACCCAGCTTTCTTCCGAGGAAATCCCATTGACTTTGTGGCCTTGGATTCAGTGCCCCTCGATGGCCTTCGTCAAGCGTTGGTCAAGGACGACCCCAATTCTAACCCGGATGAGCATCCACTCATTGCCTCCCAGCGTGTGCATGTAGAAACATTCACAGTATATGCGGCAGGAAACGCTCAGAACCCTACAATTGCAACAGATGGCACACATATCACGACCGGCGTATCCTGTATGCTTCCTACCTCTCGGGGCAGTATCAAGCTGGCAGATCGAGACGTCCGAAGCGCGCCTCGTATCGATCCTAATTACTGTGCTACCGAGGCTGATCGATATGTCCTGCGTGAGGGGCTTCGGAAATTGCGAAAAGCCTTACGCGACACTTCAGCGGGTCAAGAAATGATTGAATCAGAAACTGTCGAAGAAAACTATGAACCTTTAGGTCCTGAAACCGATGATGAAGCTCTTGATGATCTCATCCGCCGTCGAGCTGCGTAAGACCATCTTTGCTATGCTATACTACTAATTATTATGCGAGAGAGTATATTGCTGATGAGCATAGGACACTGTATCATCCTACTGGCGGTGCATGCATGGGCAAAGTGGTTGATGGTGATCTACGCGTCAAAGGGATCGATGGGTTGCGAGTTGTCGACGCGAGCGTAATCCCGACTCCATTAAGCACACACATACAGGCATGTGTGTACGCGTTGGCTGAACAGGCGGCGGATATTATTTCTGGTGTTTGTAGTGTTTAGTGCTTGCTATTGACACATAGCAGACACATGGGAATGGTGGACCAGTTGTAACTTCATATAATTCATTAAGTATTATTCCATTATCATACAGTATTGATTTCTTTATATATATAATTATTCGTAACTATTCAAAACTGTAGACAACTGCTATAAACTTCTGGACAGGACTACCCATAACAAATGCCGCGGGCATACCATAGTAGTACTACTGCAATCACAATATATATAGTACACTAGTAGTCTAGAAGTCCGTACCAGAAATGCAAGCCATGAATCCCAGTAACTTGAATCCATCTTCCCAAGGGAACAAGTAGATGATTTATATAGACAACAATAATTTACCTCGGACTGGACCATCAGCAGTGTCTGATATGTCGGCAGACCCGGCCTCTCCCGCTCAAGGAAAGTCATGGCGGAAATGACCATATAGCAAACAGCATGCCCTTTAGCTCTGGATAGGAAGCCGCAGCGAAGAATGCCCTGATAAATGGAATTCCCCTGAAGCTATTTTCTGTTTGAACGACGAACGCACAACAGTAACTCTTTTAATAAGCCTTGTGTTCCCCAAATAGTCGCACTTACTGGTTTCAAATAATGTTACATGAGATCCTCTATGCATGTCTGGTCCAATCACAAGATCACTCATCGGAGGCGACCTCACCCCCTCACCTTTTTAATACTTAATCCAACTCCGTTGCAATTCTTTGACTAGTCCCATCGCTAGTGAGTAATCCATTTACTGACTATTACACTTGCCTCTTGTTTTTCTTGCCCTTTAATCCGCCATGAGGGTTGCGACAGAGCTCCCCCTTCGCATCCTTACACACAACATCCGATATGCTACCTCTTCACCTTTCAAAGGTGAGCGCCCCTGGGCGGACAGAGTACAGCTTCTCTTGAACGAGCTGCAGTACAACACACGCCATGCGGAAGGCTTCATTTGTCTACAGGAAGTTTTACACAACCAGCTGGGTGACATTCTCACTGGACTCAATGCTTCCAAGCAGAACAAAGCGTGGGACTATATCGGCGTGGGACGAGATGACGGCTGCAAAGCAGGCGAATATTCGCCTATCCTCTACCAGCCTTCGATCTGGCAACTTCGACACTGCGAGACTGTCTGGTTATCTGAGACGCCCGATACCCCGTCCAAAAGCTGGGATGCCGCATCGATCCGCATCGTGACCATCGGTGTCTTCACCCACCGCGCCAGTCGCAAGACGATCTTGGCGATGAATACCCACCTGGACGATCAAGGGTCTCGGTCCCGACTTGAAGCAGCCCATATTATTCTGCGCAAGTTGCAGGAGTATCGAACAGGAAAAGCCTTTGGCCCGATAATCTCGGGGATGTTCCTAACTGGCGACTTTAATAGCCAGGAGGACCAGGAGGCTTATACCGTCCTGACGGCGCCGGAGTCACCTCTGGCAGACGCAGCGAAGTTGGTAAACCCCCAGGAGCATTACGGAAACCAGAAAACCTGGACGGGATTTGGACATGAAGGGCAGGATCCGACGCGCATTGACTACGTACTGCTCGAGTCAACGGCAGACAAGGTTCTTAGCCATGGTCATCAGCCATGGTCAGTGGAGGGCTATGCAGTATTGGCGAACCGATTCGACGATGGGGTCTTTAACTCGGACCATCGAGCGGTGGTCATCGATGTGATGTTATACGACTAGTCACTAGTGTCAAGGCCCCATCAGCTGGCTTTTTGTTCCCCAGAATCTCCGAATGCTTCCAATACTTCCTGTAGGGATAGAAAGATCGCGCATACATAGAGATGGACTTCAGGGAGGATCAGCCAGAAGTGGGAAGGAACGAATTGATACGCATCCGTACCGATCCGAAGACCCGGTCAATCCACCGTCAAGACGGCTCGGGGACGCCAAGGACCGGCAATGACGCCCTAGCGTCCCTCATTTTACCTGGAAGGGAATGGCTCGGTGTCACCTGACGTCCCGATGCGGGATAGCGAGCGGACACGCGCTGCTTACCATACGAGACAGCGGACGGTATTACCGCAGGCATACAGTATCCAGCGTAAGGAAGGTTACGATCAGACCAGAAGGCAGAGCAGCAGGAGAATGGACCTGGAATGGCTTCATGAGAGTTCCTAAAGGCCCTGCGAACCGGTTGCTGATCGCAGGAGATTCTCCTGGTGCTGCTGGCACCAGCCCAGCTGCCCCCTTCCCTTAGCCATTCTGCCCTCACACACGGAACCCGAGCAGACCAGACTTGTAACGGACCGGGCAGCGCAGAAGAGCGCCTGTTACTACTCTCAGTCGACCTTTTCTCGCGCCCGTTTCCCCTTCTTTCTCCTCTTCCTTCTCCTTTCCCTCCCGCCGCAAAGAAAAAGCCCGCCAAAAAAGCCACTACTAGGAAGTCGGGGGGAAAACCACCCAAACCACCCCACGTTCTTGTGCAATCCAACGATTGGATCGCGTCTAGCATCTTATCTGGAGATCGAATCAGGGGAGCTCGGGACCAAAAATTAAAAAGAATCTGGAGCTGGAGCTGGAAGTGATCGAATACCGGCCAGATCCCCCGGAGCAAACGTCAGCTGATTAGCCCGTTTCTCGTCCGTTTCCTCACTTGTGAAGGCAAAAGAAAGACCCAGACCGGCACGCAGACCCATCCACACCTGCCTGAGTCTTGCCCTGGTACCAGCCATCCCGAGTCGCTCTGCTCGGATTACGGATATTATTGTCCCTTTCCTTCTTGGTTAGTATCATTTTTTCGTTGTTTTATCGCGGTTTCTTTATTCTTGCTCGGTCGCGTCCCCAATTCGTCCTGCATTCCCTTCCTTCCCTGCTGCCGGTTGGTTGGTATGTCCTTTTTTGCTTCCTCCCTCCCCAGCTCGTCAGTCATCCATTGCCCTCTTCGCTGTTGATGCTCCGCGCGGCCGTGCGGCTCTTGTTATCGGAGCGATTTCGAAGTCAGGACTTGGTTGATGCGACTCACCTGGGAGTAGCTTTGCGACATGCTCGTCCGTTGCGCACCTCCGACGACGTATCGCGCCTCCGCCCGGTGCGCCGTCGCGTCGCCACTACCATTGACTTTTCTGCACATGGGACTCTCTCATACAGCTAGCTGACCTGGATGCCTCCGATCCTACAGTCCTTTTCTCAAGGATGCTGCCGTGATTGATTGTCGTCCGTTTTCAGTTGTCCATCCTCGCCGCTCAAATAGTGCCTCCTCACCTTTCCACCTATTCGTGCAAGTGACGTCTGTTTTGCCTCGCCCGACACGTCAAGGACGACCGCGGAACACACCAATTCTATTATCCCCAGCATGCCCTCGCCCGACCTCTCTCAGCCTGGACAGCTCCCAATTGACGCTCCGGCAGACCAAGGACAGATTGGCTCAGGGATGTCTAACATAAGCGGGGATTATGGCGCCGTCGCGTCCGAGACTTCCTCGGGACAAGGTTCGGGCGGATCTGATGCGATTGCCGAGGGAAAGCAGAATGCGAAGGCTGTTCTCGCCGCATCAGGGGTGTCTCTAGGCTCTACCGAATTCGCTCATGACGCGTCGAATGGCAATCCGTCGCCATCGTCTCAGGCGAACAGTGCCAATGGATCCGCTTCGAGCAAGAAACGATCCCGGGATGGCTCTGTTATAAACTCCTCCCAATCGACAGAAAGCCTTCCCGTACGTGTACGTGAGACACCTGCCGACAAGATTCTTCTTGAAGACTATGTCAACCGGGAATTCCACCATTCTGCTTTGACAGCATGGCAAAATCCCAGCCAGGAGCTTTTGCATCAGAAACGCGCTGAGCGCGATTATTTCTTGGCCGTACGGCGCGAGAACCACATGAACCCAGCAGCTCTGTATGGTGTTGGCTACGAAGGCTTCGGCAATCAGCGTACCGACTTGCGGAATCAACATCCCCAGTTATTATATCCCGCAAATCGACGTCGTCCCGGGAACCGGCGGACGAGGGAACTCCGAATCTCCCGCAAGGATTTAAAGACGCAGAATGAACAGATTGAAGATTTAGTGCCAATCCGCTTGGATATTGACTGGGAAAAGATCAAAATCCGCGATACTTTCACGTGGAATCTTCATGATCGCGTGGTATCGCCTGACTTGTTCGCAGAGAAGCTCGTGGAGGATCTACAGATCCCTCCCGAGTCGTGTGCACCGCTGATACGGATGATCTCTTCAAGTATCCAAGAGCAACTTTGCGATTATTATCCTCAAATCTTCATGGAAGAAGAGCCGCTGGATCCTCACCTCCCCTACAGCGCCTACAAGAATGATGAGATGCGCATTCTAGTGAAATTGAACATCACGATTGGCCAACATACTCTGATTGACCAGTTTGAATGGGATATAAATGATCCTCACAACTCTCCCGAGGAGTTTGCTGAGCGTATGACCGACGACTTGTCTCTTTCCGGCGAATTTACGACTGCGATTGCTCACTCGATTCGCGAACAATCACAACTTTTCACCAAATCCCTCTATATCCTCTCCCACCCCTTCGATGGCCGTCCGATCGATGATCCTGACCTGAAGACCGCATTCCTCCCTACCCCTCTAACCTCTTCCTTCCGACCTTTCCAGGCGGCAAAGGAGTTCACTCCCTACCTGTACGAATTGAACGAAACGGAGCTCGAGCGGACTGAGGTGTCGATATCGCGAGATCAACGCCGACAGAAGCGGTCTGTTAACCGTCGTGGTGGTCCCGCACTGCCTGACCTCAAGGATCGTCAACGCACTATCCGGACCATGCTCGTCTCGACAGTCATACCCAACTGCGCAGCGTCCCTGGAGGATAGCAATGTCTACAAGCGGTCGGGCTCGAGCCGTTCCAGGCGCGCCGCCGTCGGCTTGCGGGATACCGGAGAGGAGTCAGAGGAGTCTGACAGCGACGAATCGTCAATCACCGGCTCACCTGCTATCGGGCCTCACCTAGCTCAAGGAACGGCGCGTACACGGGGCATGAGAGGAGCTGCCAGCGCGGCACATGCGGCACTTCGAGCAAGTCTGGGCCAGTCTGCCACGCCCGAGCCACATAACGAGGCAAGAGCTGCGAGTCGCAGGCGCGAGATTCGCGAGGAGAGCGTTGTTGAAGAGCCGGATAAGCTGCTTGTCAAGCTCAAGATCTCCAAGGAGAAGTTCCGGCAATTCCTCGCGCATGGCTTGCAGTCAATACAAGGCCTTGCGACCCCGGCAGCGCAACCAGCCTCGCAGCAGAGCACACCCCAAGTTCAGACTCCTACCCCGAACCCCATGGCTCCGCCCGCCGCTCCCCAACCTGAAGCCCGTGTACCCAGCGTTCCTCCTCCCGGACAACGACCAGTTCCCGCTCAACAGATCGGAGCCGTAGATGCTCCTCATCCCCCTCAGCCAGGAGTCCCCGGGGTGAGTAACTAACGACCTATTACTTCCATCTCGTCACCTCCATACGGGCCGCAATGTCTGGCTACCGAAGAAGTGCCGCAGACAGCCACATACTAACATGATTTTATTTAGCCCCCGCCTCCAAGTTGGCTTGCAGCGGGACTCGCACGCTTAAAACTCTCCTATCCCAACGACTCTTTCGAGGGGGTCATGCGCTACACCGCTGTTGACACGGAAACCATGCTGCCGGTAGCGAACTCCAACAGTCAACCCGGCCACAAGCTGAAGTATCAGTATCTCCCTCGCATTCGCTGCCACGACTGTCCGGGTAAGCTGTACACTCCAGGACCCGGCACAACAGTCGACAATTTCGAAGTACATCTCCGGAACCGCCAACACAAAGAACGGGTGGAAGAACGAGTTGCGAAAACAGCAGCCGTAGCCGCAGCTGGGGGCAACGCAGCATAGTAATTAATGATTGAATGATGGAGCAGGGGTTTTCTACTTTTCACTCATTAACCCGCATCGATGTACACTTTACACTCTTCTTTTTTCTTCTCTCCTTTTCAAATTCCTCATAGTTCTCGCCTTTGGCATCATCCTCTTGACTGTCTGATTCAAATCATTGATGTGTGTGTATGTACATGACTGAGCGATTGTTCTTGGTTTTCATCCATCCGTTCTATCCCTTTTCCATCTTGGATGTCTTCTACCGTCAGAAATGCCTTGGAAGATGGATACTCACCCTTATCTCTTTCTCTGCTACTTCCTCTACACCTTGGCATTTCACCATATCTACCTACCTCATGGTCGGCGTAAATAGGGGACCTCTTTGTTCTTGTTGATCTTCTTGGCAGCGTTGAAGAGAATCACCGACTTGGCAATTCTAACACCCTTGAATACATATTCGGTGACTATACCTATCATAGTGAACTCTCCATTATATTCAAACACCCTGTAGGTACTATAACCTAATTTTCAAATACAACAACTACTTGAAAGCACAATGATTGGGAACTTACTGCCTGCCGGCCAGTACCTCAAGTACACTATCCGCTACTAAATTCTAACTGAAACTATTTACAGCACCATCACATTGCAAGATTGCTTCGAAGTCATTACCCCAGCCCCAGCTCCTCCCCAAAACGAAACAGGATAATCGAACTCCATAAATAACCCTTCCATGAGTAATACTTACTTAACCTACCTGTCCTACATTCTAGTACTCATCTACGTGGAGGATATCAAGTAATTCAAAAAGAAGAAAACCAAATCTACGGTTGTCAACTTCATTGAATACCTCTTACATATGATGCTAGTACTTATTGATCCAATCATCCGGGACTCCATTGAAGTATAGTAGTATCAGGTATTCACTTGATACAGACAAAGGAAAGGGAAAGACAAACTGATAGACAGACAGATAGATGAATAGATAGATAGATAGATAGATAGACAACACATACGTACATACATACATACATATCCTAGCCGCTTGCGGGAAGGATGAAGAGAAGGAATGAAGATAATTGCCATTCGATAGAGGAATGATAAGAGATGGGTATACACATTTCGATTCGATTCAGAATCTGTTTAAAATTGCATCGGTGATATTGAGAAGGAATTGATTGCCTAAAGGTGTGATAGGTTGTTGGGGGAAGGAGGGGGCATATTGGAAAGACTCCGTAAGAAGAAGACATGAAGAGAGGATGACAACACTCCAACAAGGAATTGAATGACACAATATAAATCGTTTCAAACTGACGCTGCAAATATCACATGTTCACTTCGCGCTTGGTTTTTGATACATACATGCTAGCTAAACACTCAGGGAGAGGGTATCCAGATCCTCTTATCCTCTTCGAGAGGATCGCCGATTCGGTAGAGTCGAGGTTCGTTTGCCATTGCCACTCGGTTTTGAAGGCGCTTGCTCCGTGGGTTTTTGCGGGGATGTAGGCGGCGGGGATGATAGAGGCGAGTCTTCCCTATCGCTTAGGATCTCGTCCAGGGCGGCTTCTTTGTCTGGAAGGTCGACGCTGTCGTTGTCCTCCTCGCTGTCGGCACCGCCCTCCTCTTCTTCCTCGGCTTGTTCTTCCTCCTCTGCCTGCTCCCACTCGTCCATTTCCATATCATCTTCATCGCTGTCCCTGTCCGCGTAACTAACTCTCCGGGACGCACCTCTGCTACTGCGTCTCCTGGCTGCTGTGCTAGCTTTCTTGGTAGCTCCCTCATCCGAGGACCAACCATCGTCATCCCTCTTCTTCTTCTTGGGCGTCCTGGTGGTTCCCGCGGAGCCGGACGACTTGCGTGGCCGGGCGGGCTTCTTCTCCTTGTCTTTCCGCGCTTTCTTCGTAGCGCTGGCGTCGCCGCCTGCTTCGGCCGATTCGGGCTTTCTCTTCTTTGCTGAACCGTGGGACCCGCTCTTAGTCCTCATGACGGATCGCACAATGCGATCCAGCAAGTCTTCGCCGTCTTCTGGGAAGAAGTTCTTATCTGCAACCTCTTGGGCCTCGCGGTGGCTCCCCATCGGGGCGAAGATCGAGCTTGGCACTCCCATCTTGCCAGGGTAAGTCTGCAGGATGTTGGTGCCGCCAGCTGCGCCTCCAAACTTGCGCTGTTGCGAGTAGATGTCCGCAAAGCGACGAATGGTCGCTTGGGCCAAGTCTGATAGCGTGTGGAGACGGGTGCTCATTTCGTCGGACTTTGTGATACCGTCGCGTGTTTGCTTGACACGCTGTGCGATGTGGAAGATCAGCGACAGGTTGTGTTCGTTGGCCACAGCCTGCAAATAGAAGAGAATGTAGCGGGAGAAGTCGACTAGTTCAGCTACGCGAGTGGACTCTTCCATTTCAGCGGGAGGATAGTCGGGGTGGGAGGCAAGAAGGGATAGTAGACGAGAGAACAGTGACTCCATGACCGTCTGTTGATCGCTTCTCTTGCCATTGGTCTGTTGCGAGAAGAATGCAGCTCGCGAGCGCAGCCAGGTAAGTGTGCTATCCTTCAAGCTGGTGATAGGCTCGAAGGCAAGGAGGAAGGGGACTGTGTACCAGCGGTAGCTCAAGTGCGTTTTCTGTACAAGTTTCTTCTTGAGCTGGTTGATAAATCCACTTCTCACCTCCAGAACTGGGTCCTGGGCAACCAAAGCGATCGAGTTGAAATCCCGCGGGCTGAGCAACTGGTCGCAAAGTCCATGGGACGCACAGAGCTTAAGCAGTGACCTGGCTGCCAAAAGACGTAGCCGTGACTTTTGCGTTGCGGGCGTGTCTTTCTTCTTAGACAACTCCCCGTCGTTCACGACGAGTTTGTTTAGAGTATCATAAACCGGTCCGGCATGGGCACGGAAGTCCTGCTCGTCATCCGAGCCATCCTTCGCACGTAGGCGATTGACAATTATCTTCAGGGCCCATTCCTTGGCGGCTGTTTCATCATCTACTACATCAGACCACGCATACCCGGCGTCTGGCTGGGGTGAGCGGTTAGTCAGGAGAATTTTGTTGACAGCAATCGAGATGATAGCATCGCTCTCGTCATCCGCCTCCCGTGGAGCCAAAAGGTTCAGCTGAGACAAGGCAGCCAATTTGGTGAGGAAGCGATCGGATCCGTAAGCCCAGTCGGAAACGCATTTCTGTATCAGGTCCTTGGCGTACATTTCCTTCTTATCGGCAACAGCCATGAGGATAGAAACGGCATGTTTAGCCGCTCTAGGTGACGGACTGTGTAGTGCGTAGCTCACCAAGGACTGCAAGAATTTCCGTTCCTTAGGAAGCTTCGATGGGAGCTTCTTTGCGAAACCAGAGCATGCCTTGAGGATCTCTTCGGTGCCCGCACCATCCTTCGTGGAGGAGCTGGGCGTCTGCGATTCCAGATCTTTGCACATTTCCTGGACCTGCGCTTCCAGTACCTCGGGATTCCGAGAAGAGATCTCCCGCAACATCTCCTGGGCAGGGTTAGCCAAGCCATTCTCATCCGTCCTCGAAAGACTCATGATGGCTGGGATATGGCTTCTGTTGAAAACCAACGAGCTGGAGCGATACAAGAGAGGCGTGAGAGTATCGAGCAGAGACGTATTGTTGGAGCTTTGCAACCTCCTTGCCAGCTCTTTGATAGCTTTAATCACGGTCCGGTAATCACTAACTGCAGCCATTGAGAACCGGATCAGCTGATAACCACGCCGGTCGTGCACCTTGGCGAATTTCCAGAGGTCTGCAGAAGTCCGCGAGGGGTCAGGGAGAAGTTTGGACAAGGTGTCGATCACTTTGCTCAACTGAGCCTTGATCCGTTCTTGGTCCTTCTCCATCACACCGCCCTAAATCAGAAGGCATCAGCACTTGAATGTTCAGAGGACTGCCTCATAACTTACATTGTACTCCTCGCACGCTTGCAGATAGACCGTCATCGCTGTCCTCATAGAGATTTGACGGGCCTGCATTGCAAAGAACACCTTTTTCGCCTTTTCATCCAGGCTCTTGAGGAGGGTGAGTATGCGACGGGCCCGAATCTTGTCAACATCAACATCCCCTTCGCCTTCCGAGGCCTGCGAGTCCTTCTGCTTCTGAGACTGACTCGAGCTACTCCGCGTCAGCTTGCTCTTAACGGGAGGATAGTTGAGCGGAAGCAGAATCTCGAAGAGGACGCGATCGATCAAGACATGAATGTCAGGATCATTGGTGAAGAAAGCGTCGAAGATCTTGGTGGGTCCATCCTTGAGCAGAGTGGCTGCTGGCTCATTCGCCTGCTCGATTTCACCCACTGCAACGGCCCAGATCCGAGCCAAGGTCTTCGTTGCGTGCTCGCGGACCTGTGGCTTGCGATCTTTGACCCGCTCGGCAAGAATGAAGAGAAGAGAATCGGGAGTAGAAAAGCCTCCACTGGCGCCCAACTTGTTAACGACCTGGGTCAGGCCAAAGTTGCTGATGGCATCGACGGCGGCAACCCGCACCTTCTCGTCCGCATCGCGTAGCATAGAGGCGATATGTTTGATGAGCATCTGCTCTTCGCTTTCGCTCAAGCCAGAGCCACCCGCAGACGTCAGCAGAATCCGGCCGACAACGGTGACCCAAGCAGCCCTTACTGAGGCAGATTTGTCCAGCCGGCGACTCAGAAAGCTTTCATAGGTGGAGCTGTGTGTCTGCGAGAAGGGTTTCGGAGAGAAGGGCGTGAGAAGAACACTAGGCTGAGGAATTGTCTGCGCGTACTCCTCTAGAGCCACTGGCGGGTAAGCGGCAGGATCCATCGGCGGCGGAGGGGGTGGTCCAGCAACCCCGATACCTGCCGTAAGATCACCGATTGTCTGAGTAGCCAGCAGACGCAGGGACAGCGACTCCGCTGACAATTCCGCTTCGAGTTGCGGAACCACGTTCTGCAATACTTCGGGACATGCTCGCCACAGTTCTCGAATGAGGCGGTGCGCCTTGCTCAATTCCTTGATATCTTCGCCCTCCTCGTCGGAATCGTCCAGGTTGGGCCTGCGATGGCCGCCCTTCGAGGATCCATTCGCACCCTCCGCAGACGCATCGATGATAACGTTGTTGAAATACTGGCTAATGTGGCTTGTCATCCTCTCCGGGCATGCTTGGCAGATAGCCTTGGCCATGTTGTACGCAGGAGGGTAGTCTTTCAGGAGAAGCGTTCCCTGGTTGGCATCCACCGGCGCATCGCCTCTCTTCCCTCTTTTGTTCGGAGCCTCCATGGCACGGGGGTCGATGCGCAGGAACTGCGCCACTATGACATCGACCACGTCGGCGGCAAGAACAGGCGTCTCATCGATAACTGTCACGAGCAGGCGCGTCATGTCAAACTCGACATTCTTGGCGACCTCCTCTCCCGTCGATGTTTTAGAGGACCCAGAGACGATGTCGAAGCAGCTCGTGAATAGGGGGATGATCAACGAATCGGGATGGTCCAGATCTGTCATCAGCACGATACTCTTGACCTCCGCAAGCGAGTTCAAGACGTAGATATGCTGAGCATTGTAGGAGTTGGACGGGTCCCCCAGCGCGGGGACGATGGACGAGACGATGCAGGTAAAAATGTCCTAAATTTCGAGCGATCGTCAGTCGGCACGCTTAACGCGCGCAAGCAATGAAGAGAGATGAATGCAAAGGCCGAGTGCGACCGTTCTCAGGGGTGGGCAATTGGCCGCGCACCTTCAGTTGATTGCCCGTAAAAGGCGCGTCGGGCGCACAGAGACGCAAGACATCGACGATACAGCAAGCCGCCCACGCTCTCACGCCCCGATCCTTGTGCGCCAGGAGATGAGCCGATGCAAGCTCCTGCGAAACCTTTTTCAGCGAGTCCGTGTCGATTTCCTCCTGTTCCAGTCGGCGAAGCTCCTGCGCCAGGGTCTGCAAGCGTTGCAGCAGATCGGCGATGGGAATGGCGGACCGTCCGACGCGCCAGGACAGAGGTTCATTGAATTTGAGACGGCGCAGGCCCGCAGAGGTATCTTCCGGGTCCACGGCCTCCGAGGCGACGGAGGGGCCCTGACGAGTGCGCGCGGGCATCGTGGACAAAGCGCGGGGAAGCCGAGGGAGTTGGAACGAGCTTCAACACACCATGCGCGGTACCGGAGAGGGGGTGGGAGTTGAAGATGGGGGGGAGTAGACGAAGAGATGGAAGAAGAGACTAGGATGGTGAATAATGTGTGTCGAAAAGGGGGGAAGGGAGGGAAGGAAGCTGCACGTGGGAGGAGAAAATGGGGGGGTGGGAGAAGAGAACCGATAGACGGTGGACTTGGAGGAGCAGGAGAGAGTGACAGGCCGAGCAGAGCAAGAGCAGAGCAGAGCAGAGCAAAGCAAAGCTCAGCACAGCAAAGAAGTCCGACCGGCGAGACCAAAAGACCACAAAGGAAATCACCGCCTTTCCACCGCCTCCACTTTCGGGACGCGTCGCGCGACTCCTTTGCTTTTTTACTGTTTCAGGGACTTTTCCACTACTAACACAGTCGGATTGTGCTTATCAGTATTACGGCAGGGGAGTTCCCATCAACAATGTCTTGTCTGGATGTGGTAATGGGGTGAATGTCTTTCATCTCTCAGCCAGTTGGTGACTTGACTTGGTCAAGCTGTAAGTAGTAAGTACTTAGTAGTAGCATCTGCACGCTTCCCAATCGGTCACGGGTCTGGAGGCGAACATTGGCCAATGAAGGGCTGATAGACTAAATAAACCCGCTGGCACTTTCCGGATTTCACCACCAAATAACCCCATTAATAACAATAAAGACACCAGTATTTGCAACCATCACGATCATCATATTATTTTATATTGTATATATATCTGTATGGAGTATACCTGCAGATGCAAATGCAATCACTATCTATATCCCCATGCCAACATTACCTCAATCAATCAATAAACATTAATCATCCCAAGTTTTATATCCGCTGGAACAACGCCATGATGCTGATGCGTGAGAATGCCATGCTGCGAGTCACACTCATAAAAGGAAGAAAAAAAAATAATCCAGGAGAGAAGATGCAAATTTTCTTTTCTTCTTCAAACCAAGTTACAACTTGGGGCTGAACCGGCTCATAGCCCGAAGTTTCTTGCCGTAGAAGAAGAAGAGGACAGGGATGGGAATCATGGCGACAGTGATGAAACCGAGCAGACTGGAGGCCCAATCCACTCCCAGCTTGTTATACATTTGCGTGGCAAAGAGGGGGAAGGCACCTCCCAGGCTACTCCGCACCAAGGTGTTGGCAGCAATGGCTGAGTTGGCAAACATCAAGTACACGTCAATGATGTAGTTGAGACCCTGCATGAAAATCACCAGGATTCCCATGCCAATGGGCACACCAGCCACAACCTGAGCGCCCCAGGAGGTACTGGGATGCGAGGTCCAGCCGAACCAGAACAGGCCCGCGGGCAGCAGGACGGACGCTACCATCATCGGAATGAGACGCTCCTCCGGCACCACACGACCGTGTTTGGCCAGCTTCCGGGCGAATCGCGTCTTCGTCTGCCAGATAATCAACGCCACTCCGCAGAGCACACCCACCAAGATGCCAATGAAGGGCAGCCCTGCGATACCCTCGTTCGTCCACCCGCGCACCGATTCAAACGAGACGGGGTAAGCTTCGAAGAACAGATACAGAATGCCGTACACCAGCGCCAAGTATAGGGTAATCAAAAGCAGGATGGGTTCGAGGAAAAGCATCATGACCGGCCGCAGGAGGTACTTGGTTACGATGTCGTTCATGGTGGGGCGAGTATTGTCCAAAAGGGAGTGCAGAGCCTCGTTCCCGGTCTCCCGGCGAAGACGAGCTGCGCGTTTCTGAAGGATCACTGGCGCATAGGTTTCGGGGACAATGATGAAGGCCAGCAAGCCAAAGGATCCCGATGCGATCAAGGTAATCCAGGCTGTCCAGCGCCAGCCGAGGTACGAGTCAGTGAGGTACCCTCCGACAATAGGACCTGAATCAGAACATGTTAACAAGAGACCTCTACAGTATGGGGAATCATCCCCCAGTGGGCATTCTACTTACCAAGCACGGGTCCAATGAAGGTAGCACTGGCGAAGGCTGCAATAGCAACCGCACGATCGACGGGATCCCAGAAGTCGGCCATAGCACCACCGACTACTGCCAGGGGCGAACAGCCAAAGATACCAATCAAAAATCGACAGACCAAGATGGTCTCCACGTTCTGTGCCACTGCAACAGGTATCTGGAAAATGGCGAAGATGGCGTATCCAGAGAACAGTGGAATCCTACGTCCATACAGCTCCGATAAAGGAGACCAGAACAACGGTCCAACTGCGAATCCAAACACCACCAGACTGGTTGCCAAAATCATGACCTCAGTCGAGACGCCGAATTCCTCGGCAGTCACAATGGTTGCGGTCGAGAAGACACTACTGGCGAACGTGATCCACGTAGTCATAAATGACAACGACATGGTGATCAACCACTTGCGCCAACGGGGCATGTTCTGAGGATTCTCGGGGTCGTTTGGACCATCCCATTCCACCAAATTGGGATCCTTTTCCTTCTCCGCTGCCTTTTCCATCTCTGGTTGAGGTACGCCGGCCTCAACATCATATCCATCTTGCTCCAACTCCTTGTCGATGACGTCTTCGGGGCCCTTTTCTGGGTCGCCGGATGTGCTGGCGGATTCCGATTTGAGGGTCGAGTCGGAGGATCGCAGATGCGCTTCGTGGGTTGTCTCGAGATGCGAAGGTGCAACGGTCAATTCCGGTGCTGTAGCACCGGAAGTATGCTGTACGTCACTCATACTATACGTCTGCGCTCACTCAGGCGCGCAAACAACAATCTTGATGCTATGGGATGGGTCGCGAAGGATGAGAGACCGATCTTCGATGTGGAAAGAAACGTCCTAGATGGAGACAGTTATAGTATACAATACTATCTCCACAGACCAATCGAATCTTCTAGAGGGACTGGGGAACAGGATAAGCAAGAAGATACCTGCCGGGGGACTAGGGCCATGGTGGACATTATAAAGACATCAAAGCCTCTTCGATGGGTGGGCCTCCTCAAGCCAAGATATGAAGAAATGATTAATCAAGACCCGGGCTTAATCATGAAAAAGCCGACGGGGTTAAGTCCAGACGGGATATCTCCAGCGAAGGACCCCACTCGAAGGACCGGAGCATATTGACCATAACATCCCAAGGTCCAAGGATCAGGTTACCCACCTTCCTACAGATTCCCGATAGACCTCAGAATGGGTTCTTGTGTTTAGGTTAGGGCAATGCCATCATGCCCAGACTTAACCTCGAGCCGTTATATCCGAAAAATGACCAGGGTCCTCGTTGTTTACAAGAACCTCATTGGAGGCATACTGGTCTGCAGGCCAGACATAGTGCAAACATCCTAAATAATGCGCTTCCCCGGCTGCATAACAGCCCCTCAGGCGACACTAATGGGTTTGGGGGCCATGGGATGCAAACTCTTCTCTCTATGCGGCCAAGTGGGCACCAGCTCGCGCCTCGGTGGCTCCGAATCCCGAAATGATTCATAAAGAAGGTTAGATATCAACACTGGATCCAGTGCCCACTTCTACCCGATGGCTTGGCGTGCCTATCTCGACATTTCTCGACACTTCGTCCTCAGGACGTGCGCAGGCTTACCGTTGACGAGATCAGTCAGTTTCAATACTGTAGTAGGGTGTGTCAGCAGAAAGGGCACGTGGGAGTTACAGCAATCGGTCTGCCATATCACGCAATCCACTGTTGGAACTTATCTGTACGTCTGCACTTGTGCAGTGATTCGTCATCCGCTTAACTTCAGCCTGTCCACGGGCCACACGCTGAGATTCGAACCAGGAACGGCGGCACATTTTCTGAGACCGAGAGCCGAAACCATACCTGATGCGGTTAATTCTCCTAGCACCAAACACCGGCGACTCAAAACACCATCACCAGAGCTAATCTACTTGAAGATGAACAGGCTGACTTTGTGCTCGTGTGGCTTGAATAGTGTTGCAGGTTTCAGTCAGTGGGACCATAGGAAGGAAAAAAATAGGGGTTCCATAGATTATAGCTGTGGGCTCCATAATTTTTCTTTTCTCTTTCCCTTCTCTTTGCCTTCTCTTCACGTCTAGACCTTCGTCGGATGGAGCCGTGGCTGGATCCTGCAAGAACAAGAGAGACGAGACAAGAGAATGTGACAGCTCTGCAGCAAGTCAAGTCTCTAACACTCACCTACTAACTGCTACGTAGACTCTTTTGGTAGACAGCTCATGCCGAGAATAATCAATACAAGGCAGTTTAGTTTGACAAACGAAACAAAAAGTCTATTCTGTAAGAACTTATCCGCCGGCTTGCACGACAGAACGCGTGACGAGGACCGCATTAGCAGCAGCGCAAACAGCCGCAACTAGTACACCAGTAAACGAAGGGAGCAACAAGAAGTCCAGAAAGAAGAAAATTTTCAACACCCACCAATCAATCAACAAGGTAAGATTTCTCTACTACCATAACGGAACTGATCCGGTCCACCACACACACAAGGAAAACCCGGTATCTAGTTTAAGCAAAGAACCCAGCCTATCTAAGCTACTTGATCAATAATGCCAATGTCCGAATCCACGGAACAAAGAAGAGGGGCTTGCTGAATTGTGGATCTCCAAGCGACAAAACACATATAAGTTATCTGTAGGAAAGTAGTATATAGTTTTCTAGAAAGGCAAAATAAAATAACCAATCAGACACTTTGGCCGAGTGGTTTAAGGCGCAGGCCTGCTACTACATCTCCGTACTAGCTGATTAGCCTGTGGGTTCGCCCGCCTGGGTTCGAGTCCCAGAGGTGTCGCATATCTTTTTTTCTTTTTTATGATCCTATCTACTACTTACTAACTTTCGAGAATAGCTAGCTAGCTACCAGTATGGTAGCAAGCAGTTGCCTTGGTTTGTTGTACATAGTCTATCTGTCTACATTATGTACGCTTATTATGTCTTCGCCGGGTTTCCTTCCCTTCTGCTACTAGTCTGTATGTATGTATGTATGTATATCATGAAACCAGAGCCCGAACTCCCAGTGTCTGTCTGTAGCATGCATGCAATGATACCTAGACAGCTACCACTACTGTATGTGGTTATGTACTATGTACTTCGCTAAGGCAGTCCCAGATCATGCGAACCGATATGTAACCAAGTGGGTAGCTAGGTAGCAGATCTATTTACAGTGTCTTCCCACGAAGTATCTACTCAGAATAGATCGGTAGGTGCTTCGGCAACCCATGAGTCGATCAGTGGTGGTTGGGAACCCGTGCATGCAGGACCTCGAGTGCATGTCCAGCTGCCCGTGGATGCTTAAGCGAGGAACAAAGAGAGAGAGAGAGAGAGAGGATGATGTGATGTGATGTGATCGATCGATAGGTTGTTAGCACAAAGTAGGTCGTTGTCGGGAGCGTCCGATCGGTTGCAATTGGCGGTGACTATCTATAGTACGACTCTGCTTAGTTACTTACTTTCTGGTCGTGTGCATTGTGGGACTAATGTTACAGACTAATTAGATATGCAGCAGGTGGTGGTCTCATGTCTGGGTTGTTAGGATTGATAGTTGGGTTTGGTCTCTCGTTGTCATTGAAGCGGTGAGGAATGAGGATTAACTAGTAGGTCTACATTGTTGTGTCTGTGCTACATCGCAGGGTTCACGCTCATGACGGACGCATGTACTGCCCACGCTGGCCGTCCAGGGTCCTGGTCGGCCAGCAAAATAACATTCGTAGTATATCACTCAGGTATATAATAAATGCAAGACAATGCTACAGTATGCGGTGGACAACATACGCCACCCAGCCGGCCAGTATATTTCCAAATGGGTATCCAACCCTCCCGTGCGAAGTTCCGGCCAAACGGGAGTTGTCACTTGAAAACAAACGCCGGGTTATCTTATCCTCCACAGGAACCAAATTAATCGCTGCAAAACGCCGGGAAATGCAAGACGCTATTCAAGTATCAAGAACTATCATCAACAGAGTCATTGAGGTCATTTCGTTGCTTCAACGCATCAATGGCCTTCTCCACTTCGTCCTTGGCCACAGTAGCCAGCGTGGCTTTGGCCCCGATCCCGAGCGTTTCAACGTCGCCCGCACGCTCGTACAGCTTCCTAGATATATTGCGATTGATTTCTGTGTATTGTTCTTTCGTGATGGTCTTCGAACGATAGTAAGGCTTCAGCGATGACCCGACCAACTTTTGTATGTCAGACTTGACTTTAAGGGACAAGCTGGGACGACTGGGCGAGCTGTCGTCGGAGCGGATAGCTGCTGATCGAGTGGCAGAGCGAGGTATCCGACGATTCGGGCGGCGAGTGGGGACTTGTGATGTGTGATCATCTTGGGCACTGCGAGCGGAACCAGCCGGCGACACATCTGGCGAGAAGGGTGGAGAGGACGGATCTGCTGGTGACCCCAGTTGTAGTGGAGACATGGGCCTGCTTCGGAGGGTTGGAGGCGGTGTGACGGAAGATAGACGCGGGGAAGAATGATTTGATGGGGCAGGTGAGATAGAAGGCGAGGAGGGCCCTGGGGTCGTATGATCGGTGGGTGCAATGGATGATTGACCGGAAGCGCCATGAGAAGTGAACCCGTTCGGGTTGGACGATTCTTCCACCTCCTTGAGAAGGGACTGAAGGAAGCTCGGTTCGCTCGAACTCTCAGCATTGATCCGAGCAGAGGCTTGCGCACTAGCAGCTCTTGACGACTCGCCATTCTGCATAGCCCGAGCTGCCAGGTCTTCGGCCCTCCGTGTCCGGGGCCGCTTCAGCTTGCGTTCAGGTTCGGTAGGCTCGGGAGAGGGCGACAATGTAGGTTCTTTACGTTTCCGGGCCGCGCTTGGGTCATTCTCAATTTCGCGGGCACGCTCGAAAGCATTCCAGGCCCTCATCTCTTCAAGAGACTCCGGCTCCGGGGTGGGCTCACGCGGAACGCGAGGCCGCGAAGGGCGAGGCGCCTCGATATCCAATAGAGCGGCAGTGTCTCGGAACCGATTGCCACCACCCTGTTGTTCGGCAACTTCAAAGCGACGTTGCCAGGCTCGGAAATCACGCTGATGGGCTTCTTCCCGGCGTTGCTCTTGTCGAGCGCGCTCCGCAGCCATGTCATCATCGAACGGAAAGTCCAAGTCGAGGTTGAGGTGATCCCAGACAGATTGCCACACGCGGGCCCAGTGTAGGGAGTTGAGCTGGTTTCTGCTCTGCAGTCTGCGTCGCTGTGCTCTTGTGCGACGACCACGCCTGTCTGGTGCCTGGGAAGACCAGTCGGCAGTCTCAGAAGACCGCCCGAGACGACGTTGCGTCACACACCGTGCGCAGTACCAAGGACCCGTGGGGACAGAATCGAGGCCAACGCAATACGTGTGAGAGGGTACATCGCAGCCATCACAAAGGAGAAGCAGCTCTTCATTATCCGCATCCCCACAGATAGGACAAGGTTGGAAATCGGCGAAATCATCGTCTATATATTCGATTATCATCGAGGGGTCGACTTCTGCTTGCTGGACTCGATCCTGCACGGCATAGGAAGATGTGACGGGGCCTGAAGGAAAACCAGTGATCAGTAAATCGAGACATATATAACAGACATAGAGGGAAGTAGAGACCATCCATGATCAATGTAGGTAGATCAATAGATAGAAAGGGAGAATTATCAAGTACTTACCACCAGGGCGGTCACTTAGTTCGACCATGTTGAAACTCCGACGACATATCGGACAGCTGTTGGCTCGCTCGACCCAGGGCTTCAGACAGTTATTGTGCAGGATATGCCCGCAAGGGAGGAGCTGAGCGATCTGACCCGAATCCTCCGTGCCATCTACGCCATCGAGATTGAGAGAGGTATCCGCCGACTTGCCCTCTGCCCCGAGGTCAAGTCTTGGCGCGGCCTCGGCGGCGACGGCAAGAGGATCGCTGGCGCTTTCGCCAAGGTCTCCTAAGCACACAATACAGGTGTCGGACATTAACAGAAGGTGATGTGCCACAATTGTCTGCAGAGACGCTGAGAGAAGGCATGAAGAGCAACCGGCAGAAGGGACAGGAAGGCAGAGGGAGTGGGAAGGAGAAGGGGAGAGAGAGCAGGTCGAGTGATGTGGGGAGAAAGCAACCGGCCTTTTGAAGGTGGACCTGAAATCCAGCCTAACGCAATGCAGTCTGGCCTCCAACGTGACCGGCTCTGGTCCAGCCAATGATCTTTATTGAATATCGTCGCCTGGCCTTAGTCACCCGCGCTCTCTTCTTTTTTGAATGATGAATGAGAAAAATGCCTTGCCCTTGCAGCACCAGCTGAGTACCTTTGCATCTCTCTCAGCAAGCCTCCTCCTAGTTCCCTCCCTCTGCTTTAGTAGTTGACTGTCTTTCCTTCTCTTCCCCTAAAAAGCTAGTAGAAAAGTCCATGGGTCGGTGTGACCCTGATCACCCCCTCCATAAGTATTTAGTAGTCAGCAGTAGATAGTAGTGCAAACTCCCGAACGACCGTCATTTCTTATCTGCCTAAAATATGACGAGGAACTAGTTAGTTAATTTGATATATTTAGCTGACACAACGGTCCCTTCCCTAGTAGTAGTCCAAGAAAACGAAAATAACAAAAGAAAATGGAACAAATACGTAGTAGACACATTTCTTTTTAAGGTTTGCGACCGTGTTGAGCAACCTGTCCGAACAAGCTACGGATAGAACTCTAAACGAGTGATCAAGCAGAAGAAAGGCCACATTTGGCACATAAGGATAGTATGCATGCATGTCGATATCTGCACGAGGGGGCGTTTTCCTTTACATCCTGGCGGAAATGCGGAGGTTGGCGGTGTCTTCCTACACACTCAACTTAAGATTATCGAGTGGACATCCATCAACCTGAACCCAGCACCCCCTGTTGGGATACTCACATGCTGCCACAAACGAGTCCATCAGATGGTATGATATAATCACAAGTTGTTCCCTTTGTCCCCAAGTGCAGAACAGTGGTAGTACGAAAGAGTCCATCCAATAAATCCCGTGAATCGACTAATTGGTTCGATGGAACGAAATGAAGGGTCTGGAATCACCGATGGTAATTAAATCTATTGGTGGAGAAGAATCTTGTGTTCAAACGACAACAGTTGGCGCTACCAACATCGTACTAGCGGGCTTCGTGGTAAGAGACATTCGCTTATTGAAATTCTCCAGATCTCATTTTCTCATTTTTGAATTTAAACGTAATAGAAAAGGTAATCCCATTATCACATCTAAACCTCCGCGATTTCTCTGAGACGACGGATGGTGGAGCGGGTGGCGGCGGCGGCGGGGGTACTGTAACACAACCCGAGCGATTAGCATCCATGTCACGTCCGCTTCTTGAGGCCCCAGTCCGAATCGATGGAGACTGCACTGGGCCCAGGACGCAGCTTATCGAAAGCAGCAGCAGCAGATTCGGTACTTACGAGACAGTGTAGGCACCACCGGCAACAGTCTTGTTGCAGCCCTTGCACTCCCAGATACCAACAGCCTTGCGCTTGACGGTGTTCTTTCCGCAGAAGGTGCAGATGTAACGGGCGTGCTGGGACACTTCCATCTTCTTCACCTGCTTACGCAGGGAGGCACCGTATCTATTATCAAACTATCGTCAATATCGATTCTTCTGTATGGCGAAATTCAAGGCTGAATCTGTCGTCTTCGATTTTCGGATAATAAAAACGCGATCGACTTCATCCCGATTTCAAACCGTCGTGGTGGAAAAGCGTGGCTGCATACCTGGTACCATATTTACCCGTGATACCGACCTCTGCAATAATAGTTAGTATCGCGATTCATCGTTCATTCATTCAAGAGTTCATCGGTCCTCCAGTAGAGGTTCAAAAGGGGCACATACTCTTGGTGCGCTTCGTCATCTTGTCTCTGTGCGGCTGTTGAGTCGAAGATGGATACAGTGCGGTAAGTCGAAATCGAGACTGAGGCTTTCTACTCGGGCGGGAATGGTTGTGGGCGGGCTCGCTTAGGGCTGGAACTTCGGTCACGTGCACCCCTTCAAATGCAGACGCTCCCTATGATGTACGCAACGAGTCTACTCTCGTGGCAGCATGCTTTCATCATACTTTAGAAAAGATACGTTTGTAGTTATAGAGAAATTTGCGAATCCCGTCACTTTTTCAAAAATTTCGGTCATAGTCAAGTTCTTCACTTCAAGCCGTACTGTGCGCATCTATCTCGAACCAGCAGCCCCCCACGTACGTGTGTACACAAACGGGAGATTATGTAATACAGCACAGCATAACATAACTAATTAACTACGTAGTTTACTAACCACTTTGTAACTAGTCGGCAATAGTTACCTTATGGTAAGCAACAGGGATTGTATAACTTCAATAGGACCCTTGCCTGATTTTGATTACTGAACAGAAGCGAGTAGACCCCTTTCATATGCTAGAGATGGCTACGATCAACTACACAATGTCCCCTCATCCCATTACTGCATTAAAGCATAACCGCATGCCTCGGTCCCTTCATCGGAGGTTTCTTCACATCGGGTTAGCCCAGGACCGCTGTTCAGCAGCGCCGTCATGGTTGGGTGGCATCCAGGAATCCCCCCTAGATTCATCCGTGGCGGTCAAATAATCTTTATAGCGGCTGTTTCCTATCTGTATTTGCTATCCAGTGTCTATTCGTATATCGTTAACCGGTAAAGCCTCGTGAACAAATGGAATCCAACAAGCAATATGATCTGATCGTCCTGGGGCCCACGGGCTATACAGGACGGTTCTGTGCTGACCACATTGTCAAGAACTTTCCCACCAACCTGAAGTGGGCTCTGGCCGGTCGTTCTCTCAGCAAGTTGGAGAATATCGCCAAAGAGCTGAAGAATGTGAACCCGGATCGTGCCGATCCAGGTACTTGATACCGTGAATCTATATGTCTGTTGACCGAACACACCGTTGACTTGCTAGTAGATCTCCTCCCCGTGCAACTCAATCGTGAGGAGTTGCACCCGTTGGTTCAAAAGACGCGAGTTATCATTAACTGCGTGGGTCCCTACTGTCTATACTCTACGCCCGTGATTGAAGCTTGCGCCAGTAATGGAACTCACTATGTCGATGCGTCAGTTTGCCGCCATAAAATCAGTTCACCAATGTATAGCTAACCGATGTAGTACCGGAGAGACACACTGGGTCAAGGAAATCATCAGTGAATACCATGAAACCGCCAAAGCGAACGGTGCTGTTGTATGTACCTTCTCCTCATGACTCCGCAGTACGACAGCATCCTGACAATCAATCAGATCATCCCTTGCGTTGGCATAGAAAGCGCACCTGCAGACCTGCTCGCATGGGCTACAGTGAAGCGAGTCCGCGAAGATCTGTCATGCCACACCAGATCAATCACCGGTGACATCCACGAGATCAAGTGAGATAAAAGAACTTAACCCACGGATCATCCAATACCTAACACCAGCCCTCGCAGGTCCTCCGGAGCAAGCGGTGGCACCCTCTCCACCGTACTCACTTTCTTTGAAAATGTGCCACCTTCCGAAATGCGCAAAATATCCACCCCTTTTGCACTGGCCGCAGCTCCCCCTCCGAAAGACATCCCTCGCGAGCCGTTATGGACGAGGCTACTCGGTATTCGATCCGTGCGTGACTTGGGCATCTTGACCACCTCACCATCAGGTCTAGCAGACATCACCACCGTCCACCGCAGCAGTACCCTGATGCCGGAGTTCTACGGACCCCGGTTCTACTTCAGACAATTCCTCCGCGCCAGGAACGCTTTCACCGGAATTCTATGGCATTATGCGTTCCTTTTCGCCGTTACGGCTTTACTCCTGCCTCCGATTCGCACCCTTGTCAGGAAGTACATCTATACCCCGGGTACTGGTCCTACTCTCGAGGATTCCGTCAACGACTTCGTCGAGTACCGCGCCGTCGCGACTGCGGACCAGGATACGGCAAAGCCTCAACGTGTGCTGGGCAAGTTGAGATACCAGGGTACTATGTACGAGTTTACTGGGTTGAGTCTGGCTGAGGCGGCCATGACTATAATTGAGAATGAGGAGAAGGTGAAGAAGGTGTCTCGTTGCGGTATCGTGACTACTGCTACTTTGGGTCAGGAGTTTATTGATCGCTGGGATAAGGTCGGATGTCATATCGAGACTCAGGTCGTTGATAATTAATTGATTTGCTTGTGGCCTTATCCGATTGACAAACTCGCAATATTTTGTTATATAGCTACTTATGACTTGATCCACCTGTTTATAGAGATTTACTTGGTTGTTAATAGTACTACATGCCATTGATTTATAATACCCCGCGGCTCATTCAATCAACTCTTTAAATGCCCAACTCCATGCCATTTGTATAAAGGAACAGTAGTAGAGCAAAATACTCTGACTTTATCCTAGGACTAGCAAACCCAGATACCCATTTTCCAAAGCGTGATCCCTAACAGAAAGACAAAGCAATCCCGCCCAGCGGATAAATCCAAGATCCCAAAAGACACTCGCATCAGCCCAGCCCCAAGAGTACAACAATCAATCAATCAACATATGCGTACAAAAGAGTACACCTGGGTGTCAGATACCCATACAGAACACTCCCAACCACCTTCATACAACACCACTCACAACCTCGACATCCTCAAACTCTTAAACACCACCTCCTTCAGCCACCACGCAATGATCTCATTCACCTCCTCCGGTTCCTGCCACAGCGCCCAATGCGACGTATTCACCTGTTTATACGTCAAATGCGGGACGGTCCTCGTCATTCCTTTTCCTAGGTGCGGTGGCAACGCGGAGTCCTTCAGCGCTTGGATAAATAGTAACGGGGCTGTGATGCGTGCGTTCAAAATGGCAAGTTCTTCTTCGTAGTTGATCTCCCGTGTGCGGTACCAGTTTACTGTGTTTTTGTTAGTTGGATTTCAGTTCTTATCGCTGTGGCTTAGATGGGAATGGGGTAAAATAGGATAGGACATACACGGCCCCCGAAGCCCATTCCTCGAGAATTCAGTCGCGTAGTATTCCAGTTCCTGCATAATTATCCATATTAGCATTTACATCTCCCCCCCCCTTTTTCTTCTCAAAGAAACAAGTAAGTAAGGACAACTCACCACCTCACTCAACAAAGGCGACGGCCTAACAAGCTCCATCCGATCCAACAAAACCCCATACTCGGCATCAAACGCCACATCCCTATCATCCGTCCGACCGCCATACAGCGCCGACAAGAACTTCTCGATATCTTCCTTGCTGAAGATGACGTCTTCGAGATTTCCGCTCCGGAATTGCAGCTGGTACGCGAAATGTGGCGCGATGTTCTCTACCATGTCTTCTAGCGCGAGGTATTTTCGTGTCGGCGCTGCATACGGCACGCAGACTGTGAAGATGTGCGTTACGAGCTCCGGGTGCCAGAGCGCGACGCGATAGGCGAGGGCGGCGCCCCTATCCTGATATTCAGTTCTCGTGCTCGCTATGATATATAAAGGATGTAATTGGAAATAAGGGAGTGCCTACCAGTCATGTCCGCCGAGGATGATTTCGGGTGCTTGTAGTTGGGTTGCGAGTTCTTTGATGTCGTTGGCACAGCTTTTGTGCGAATATAGTTCTATTTCTTCGGGTGCGTCCTGTTTCTTCGTTAGAATTGATGTTTTTGTGGTTTTAGGGGTGATTATGGCACGTACTGTTCGGCCGTATCCTAGACAATCTGGAGCGACAACTCGCAGACCCATGGAAATCAACATGGGGATTTGGTAGCGCCATCCCATGGATAGGTCGGGGAAGCCATGGAGCTGTATATAGCAGATGATAGTTAGATGGTCTTGCTTGATTTAGATGACTTTTGCGATATGTATCGTCAATCACTCTTTATGGGGGTGGCATCACGCACGAGGAAGATTGTCGCCCGATAAACCCCCGATTCGGGCTCGCTGTAGAGGTAGCCTGCGATATATATCAGCGATCATGTATTACAGCTTCTAGTACAGTATCTAGATTTAGATGAATATATGTGGACAGCTGTGCTGCAAGATTATTATAACACTGCATGATTTGAGGAAATCAAGCCTGCAGGGAACCCGTCCTTTGAATTGCATCAGATGTGCTGCATCTCCTACATACCGTATGTCTTGCCATTGACGTTTGCCGAGCGGCGCTCGACCCTCGGGTCACCGGTTACATCGATCTTGTCCACGGTCATGACGGAACAACGTTGGATGGAAGCTGTGGTCTAGATATAATGTACAGACAAGGATGCCTACTGCAGAAAGATGATCAAAGGTGAAAGAAGAATCAAGCAAGATGCATGCTGCTATACCGACTTTCACAGGATCTATAAATGGTACCCTATGGAGACCCCCGCCAGCTGTCCGTCACGTGCAACCGGGGCTATTGATCGATTAATATAAGACTAACTACAGGAAATGAGGCGACGGAGTCATTGGGCACGAGTAATATGGCATTCCTGATACACATAACCTGTTTTCCTGGCAGTAGTTTTGCCCAGGTTGATTGATTGGAGACCGCCGAATTGTTTGTGTTCAGCCAGCCGAAAGGGGACTCGCCGGCCTTCCCGCCGAAATGCCTCGGCTCTTACTCGATGCAGACACTAACTAATGTACATAAGAAGGGAGAGCATAGACTTGCTTCCACCTCCAGTCGACATTGCAATTCGCTACTCAATATGATAATAGATGGTGGAATTAAATCAAAGAGAAAGAGACAGTCACCGCTCCTGCTGCTAGTAGATTACCGTATCTTCCTGATCCTCTTCCACTTCACCGCCATCATCGTCGTGTCGATGGATATCCGAGCGGTCATGGTCCATACTAGTAGATACGTTGCTGTCATTAGCAGGCGTGGTCTCGGCTTTCGCTTCTTCTGAACCTCCATCGGCTGTCGTCTCGGCTCCCAGCGTGACCGAAGACGCTTGAGCGACACTCTTGTTCTCCAGGGCGTCTGTTTCGGACACCGAGGCTGGTTCCTGAGTCTCTTCATGCCCTGACTCCTGTTTCTTCTCCTCCTGCTGCTTGCCATTTCCCTCCTCGGGGGACGAATAGCGTGCTTCAAACTCCGCCACTTCTCTCGCGACAGTAGCTTCCGCTTCTTTAATCTGGTCCTGTATTATATCCTCATCCTCCGCCCTTAGCTGCCACGGCTTGTAGTACTGCAGATAGAATAGTCAGGAACCCCCAAACGCAAGCTCCAACGCCACAAAACCATAAGGTTGGGAAACATACTAATACCGGCTCCGTCCTCGTCTTAAGGAAATGAGCCATCGCAATCATATTCGAGTGGCGCGTGCGCATCTGAGACATCCATCAGCGCCTGCACGACATAAAACGAGCAGCAACCAGAAACCCAGCAAATAATCGTCATCATCATTCCCGGGGGACGAAACTCACCGATTCCTCCTCGTAGAACCTCTGCTCCTTCTTCCGAATCGCCGCCCGTTCCTCCCGTCTCTTCTTCTTCAGCTCCCCATACTCCTCATCCTGCAACTTCAACTTATCCTGTTGTCGTCGCTCAATATCCGCACGTCGCTTTTGGGCCGCCGAGCTCGAGCTCTGCGAAAGCGTCCCCAGCAAAGCACCGAATAGTCGTTGGCCGCGTTTGCGCTCCTCATCCCGTCCTGCGCCACGTCGCGGTTTCCGCTCTGTTACATCCGGCGAGGACTGTTTGCGATCTGGAATAGACTGGGTGTCGTCGTGATGTTCTGTTTGTGAGCTAAGACGACGGCGTTTGTTCTCCGAGTCAGGGTCCGTAATTGACGATTGTCGCCGCTTTAGCCCTGCTTCTGGGGACGGGATTATAGTGTCTTGGTCGGGGAGGGCGACGGCCGACGCGAGAGTTCTGTATTGTCATGCAAATATCCCATGTTAGCAGGGATGTTTCTTGTATAGAAAGGTAGTCAGGGTAGGCGGCGAAATAATATATACCCTTCGGTCATATCTGGCAGGGAGGAGAGCTGTGAGAGGTGAGGAAAGAACTAAATAGTAAATAAGATTCAATCGAATGAAATCAAAAATGCTTTTGAATTAAAAGAGATGAAGGCTAGGTATCGAACAGCTCGAATCATAACATTCCGCGAACAACGAGACAGAAGTCACCGGGTATTCATTTGCAGCTTCTCTCAAACCTCGTTCGGTATCGCGATATGCCCGGCGCGGCGGGACTCCAACGGCCCGTGCACGGACCACTAGACCGCCCCGAAAGAGCGTTTCTTCCATTTCCAGTTCCATCTCCCTCTCTTCTCTGTGTCCCCCGACCCAGACTCTTCGATTGCCTTCCACTGTCTTGCTGCTGACATATCTCATTCTATTGCTACGAAGCGTCGACTGCTCGTAATACCTGCAGCTTTCTTTTAGCTAGCGAACTTCTCACTCCATATCTCGCGTTGCCCACCGTTCTTCAAGAGTCGTCGCGTCTCCCCCCACTTCAAGAGAAGCTCCTAATCTCATAAACCCACCATGTCTCGCCATCATCCCGATCTTGTCATGTGCCGCAAGCAGCCCGGCATCTCTATCGGCCGCTTGTGCGATAAGTGTGACGGCAAATGTCCCGTGTGCGACTCCTACGTGCGTCCCACGACCCTGGTCCGCATCTGCGACGAGTGCTCCTTCGGAAACTACCAGAACAAGTGCATCGTTTGTGGTGGAGAGGGTATCAGTGATGCCTTTTACTGCTTTGAGTGCACGCGACTCGAGAAGGATCGGGACGGCTGTCCGAAGATTATAAACCTGGGAAGTTCGAGGACAGATTTATTCTACCAAAAGAAAAGTTTTCGAAATCATTGATGCTGGCTGGGTGTTGTTTTTCTTGTTCGCCACGCGTTTGGGAACTCTTGGACGCGAACTTGCTGCTATCTGCATCGTATGCTCCTGGCCTTAGGGAGCTCTGCAGATTTATGGGGGTGGCTTGGGCGAATATAAACGGTTGTTGAGAATGAGACAGCTACACCTACGGAAGAGAGAGAAGAATGGTACCGGCGGTGTTTCGGTTCACAGGTGCCCGGGGCTATATACTATCGCGGATCATAGAGCGGGATATACAAGAAATTACGGGGTCATCCACCCACGCACGGAGATTTACCGACCCGGGCGTCTCGGTCTCGCAAATCCCCGGCTCGGTCCGTTGTCCTGTGGCGGGTGGACTTCTTCATGCAACCTTTCGCCCGTGATCTCGTCGGGCGATGACGCTTCAATCTGCATGCTGTGTTAGGGAGACTCTTCAATCAATCGAGCGTTTGCAACCAGCTCTTACCTTCTTTGAAATCTTCAAGCCCTGGTCGCCAGCCATAGTGATTGCATACATTCGGGAACTGGCGTACAGCATACGCTCCTTGATCGAGGAACCCGAGGGGCAGGTATAGATGAAGATCACCACGTCGGAGTCGGGGTAGTGGTAAAGTGTGTACCGGGGAGAGGACGAAGGGATGTGTGACTGGACGGAGTTCGCATCCACCCCGGACTCAGCGGCAGCAACCTTGATCGCCTCCGTCGGGACATCGATGGCCTGTATTTAGAAAAGCGAAGTTAGAGCAATCCCAAGTGAAAGATACATACCAAAATGCGTTGGGTCGGAAAATCGTAAAGAGAAGACACGTACCAGCTGAACCAGCCCACCCTGCTGTAACCCTTCAAGGGCCTGCTTAACCTCATCATCGACGTTCATCTTGACGGACGCACCACCGAATGGATTCGCCCTGTTGAACGTGCCACCAATACCAATATCTCTGCTCGGGGTGCCGCTGCGAGCCTCCTCTTCGGCTCTCCGCACAGCCTCCAATTCCCGCTCCTTCTCGCCCATCAAATCCTCTCGTCGGAAACCGCCTGCGGTACCCTTCTTCTCTGCATCCCGCTCCTTCCATGCCTCCTCGCCAATAACCTCATCTTCATCCGTAGCGAAGATGGTCGAAGCGAACTTCTCCGTGCCTAGTTCCCTAGCCAAGGTGGCGCGGGTTGCGGCGAAGAGAGTCTTGGCGCGCACGCCAGCATTGGAGGGAATGTAGGTCAAAGCCACGAGAGAGGATGAACCACCCTCAGGACGACGAATGAGGAGGTAAAGGGGAGTCTTGGGTTCAAGGACGGACGAGAGCTGGGAAAGAGACGGGTAGAAAGCGTTCGGAGAGGCGAAAGGAACCGGGGAAAGGGGCGACAGGCTTTCCGACTTGATTGTTACGGGAAGGCAGAAAATGGATTCGTCGGAGACGAAGTTCCTGAAGGCTTCGTGAAGCTCATCAGAGACTATTGCGTATAGTTAGCAAAGAATGCTGGGACGAGCGTAACTTGGGTTGTAAGGTGGCATGTCCGAGGGGATCGGTTGCGGGATGTCGTAATCGCCAGGAACAAGGGGAAGAAGAGAGGAATGAGATTGGTAGATATGTACCTGAGATTCCTGACTGCATCGTGAATAAAGGTCCAGCAGTAGCTCCTGACCGTTTCAGATTATGCAACTTATCGGCCGGTCTACTTCCTGCAGTCGAGGGGTTTATCTGGAAGGTTGTTTCGGGGAAGACAAGACGGAGGGGAAGGGCAGAAGCGGTGTGTCTTGTTCCTAGCGGGGCTCAGCTAATGCCCCGGGCGATCGGCCCCTTCTTATCTACGTGGGAAGGTTTGTATTTACTACTACTCTATACTACGCCCTCTGAATTCAATTGACTTCTCTGAATGATTTGTTTGACTCTATCCAAGAAAGTAGGTATGCTAACATAGGAAATGAACTGGGAAAACAGGTATAATATATACAACCCACTCCGTGTGGATCTCGCCTGGCGGCTCTCCAAGGCCCCCAAACATATAAACAGGAGAATACTGATAACTCAGTGATCGAAAACGCCACCATGCTCATGGTATCAAATGCTTTCGAGAACATACAGCGGCCATGCCCTTCCAGTGGAGCCACCTACTCTTCATAGTTTCCACCGACGAAGGCCCATCCGGAGTTCTCCAGCTTGCCCTTCAGGAACTCATACACGGTGAAAGTGACAGCCTGACCAGGTGCGACTCTCATCACACGGGGCGTGATACCCTTGTAGAAGGCACGAGCACCCTCTTGCTTGAACATGTCCTTCGCGATGACCATGATACGAGACACCGCTGATTGACCGGGCTCAGCACGGGTCTTCTGCAATCTCGTCTTGATCGTGTCGATCGGGGCATTGGAGAAAGGTCCGACAGCACCAGAAAACAGACCGATAAAAGTTGTCTGGTAGGAAGGCAGCTGTGTGTTGCTGTACTCCGGCTGAACCCTTTGGAGGAAAGCCTTCAATTCGGTGTAGGCTGTGAAGTTGGCCGCTTGGTTGGTTCCTTGCCGAAGGGCAGTCAGAGAGACACCGCGGTACAGGGTGCTGAAACCCTCTTCCTTAATCACGGTGAAAAGCGCATGTGGTGCACTGCGGTACTTGGGGGTATCGAGAGGGTCCGCCAAACTGTGATGTTGTGCTTGCAAACGAATCTTAACAACCTCCATGGGATTGACCACTGCCACGGCTTCGGTCACACCAGCAGCAAGACCAGCTAAATAAAAAGAGCCTTGTTAGCCTCCCCATGCATGACTGGACGCGGTTCAAGGATACGTGACTTACCCAAGAAGGTGGCTTTGCTGGTCACAGCACCAGTCTCCTTATCGGCAAGCATTTGCTTGTAAGATTCGTAGGAGGTGAACCGGATGGCCATCTTCGGGATGATACCACCAAGGACGGCACCCAGTCCCTTGTACAGACCCATGGCAGTCTCCTTCTTCACGATCTCAACACCGGTGGCTACGAACCCGCGGGGTTTTACCTAGCGAACTGTTAGTTGTGACTCAATGCTTTGCATATGGGTCTCACTTACACCCGGTGCCCGGGCACGCCGGGAGAGCTGCATCCGAACTTTGATGGTGTCTGGCATATATCGTCAGCGCGATCCTCACTCAAGACAGCCAATTGACCCATTTTTATACATACCTAGAGGGTGACACACGAGCGCTTCCATCATACCAGCACCACCACCAGCTGAGTCACAAGTTAGCACCGTACTCAATCAATGCGCCGAGAGGGAATTGCTTACCGATGAGGTTCACAGCTGGGGAGGCTGGCTTCTTGCCATTGCGGCCTTGTACAGTCTTTGCGGACATTGTGCACAGTTTCTAGTTTTGCAAAGACGTTGTTTTCTCTGTCAATTGGTAGCAAGCTCTTCTGCAAGAGCTATAGCCGACAGCGCAGTGGAACGAGTTTCCAGGCGATCGCGTGCAGCGAGAGTCCTTTGACAAAAGGGGGGGGAAAGAGGAGAGAAAGATCAAGAGTGAATCGCCAGCGATCCGGATTCCAGGGATCTTTATTTTTTTTTAATTAAAAGAAAGGACGGGGACGATCTCGGAGGTTCACAGGAAGGCCCAAAAATACGGGGAGATACGGAAGTATAACTACGTCCCTCGGCTCTACCCACCCAGGGTATTTAAATCGGCGATTGAGGGAGTCACTTGATTAGCGGTTTAGCTGGAAGATCCCAAACATTCGCAAGGCCGTTCTCGGCAATGAGGATCCCAGACGGGCTCGGCTCCAGTGGCGGCTTTTGCTGTCGCTTTGGATTGATTTTAGCCCAGGCGTACCGGGCGTGGAGGGAGCTATGACGGGGAAGCGGAGGAAGCTTCTCTGGACGAGCGGAAGCAATGCCGCCGTCTTCGCACAGTAGACCAACAACCGAACGCCCTTGAGAATCAGCTTGGACAGGGTCAACGGAAGGAAAAGAAACTAGTCAACTGATTGGATTATGGTCTCTCCACGATTTACAATTTCCTAAACGTGGGGGATCCTTATCACTTATACCCTTACGGCTGCCATATCCCCGGTGGTGGTTAAAGCTGCTTGTGTCTACTGAAACTTTTTCTACCTCACCCCGAGGCATCGGAAGCTGCACAGGTCACTCCGACTAACGGCGCGCAGATTGGCACTTCCAGTCCTTGTGGCCCCAAGGTGGCGTGGCCAAAAGTGAATGAGCTCAAGGGGCCAGTGTGCCAATGGTAAGCCGGAACCAGAGATCATGGTTCCCAAATGTCAGGTAAGACCAGGCTCTTCACATGCTGGAGAGTTCCCTCATGGCTTGGGGAATCCAGTATTTTGTCGTCATCTGCCAGTCGTAAGCAGCAGTAGCTACTTACATACATACATCGAAAGCCTTAGCTTGTGACATGCCCTTTACCACCGAGACAAGACCGTGACCTGAAGTGTGGGGGATGGAAAGTTGGTGCACCAGTCCAGTCCTATAATCCACGGGTATTTCCGGGCCAAGCCTGGGGTCGTTCTTCAGCCGAGGTCCTTTCTCCGTCCGTCGGTGCCGACAAGTGTTATAGCAAGGAAATGTTCATCCTGCGAGGAATGGGGATAATGATTAGTGTCTGAATATGATAACAGGGAAAACAAAAGAAATATGCCTCTAATCCTGTGACCCCCTGGGATTTTACCCTTTCCAGCTAGTATTTTACCTTTGTGTTGCTTCTTCCTTGCAAGTCACGGGGTATGCATGTCCCTCTCTCCTGAAGGTTTACCCCACGGTTCATGATTTACCCACGCCCCCGGAGGTCATTCTTCCGAGCACCACATAACAATATTATTAAGAGAAACAACTTGGTTATGAAATAACATAGGAATCTTAAAATGCGAGGAGAAATATAGTCTTGGTAGTTTTATGTCCCAAAACAGCCAAAATTATATTGTCAAAAATAAAAAATCAAACAAGGAAAAGAAAAGAGGGGATAAACTGATAAGATAAAAGAAAAAAGAAGGGAAAGCGATCGATCCCCCAGATCTTCACATGTCAAAGTATAAGTGGACGGTAGTTACTACTTTGTTAGTTTTAGTTAACATATGATTTCTGCTAATTTGATTATTCATCTTATTTACTTACTTTAATGCAGAATATTCTCGTGATGTGTACTTAGCTGTATAGTATTTTGTTATAATCCCTATGTTGTTCTGCTACTTCAGTCATATCCAATATCTTGTGCCTAGATGATGGTGGTGTGGGCTCGTCCCTCGGAGAGAGATTGTACGTGCAGTATCGGAGTAGAAAGGGCATGGTTACATAGTGGTACACTTCGTGTATATGACTGTAGGGACATGGAATCCATTATTCTCCGATGAAGTCTTGAACATGGATTGTACGGAGTAGGAGTGCGCGGGAAATAGTGTGCTATACTACTTTAGATCTATAGGACTGGGACAAGTTAGTAATCTATCGCGGATGTACTCCGGTAGAACCTCTGACGGACTTATAATAACATCTACAGCAGGTTGTATAGATCGGTTGGCTTGCTAGCAGTAGTTATGAGGCGAATAGTGTGACTGGCAAACTGTGGAAACCTTTGCCAAGGATGAACCGATATCTTTAATCCCAATAAGCCTGTGGAAAACCCCACTATGCTTCGACACTGATCACCTTCGCTAGATAGTCTAGATGTTGTGTTCCCTCATAATAATCACAAATTAAAATAACTACTAGCTGTATACATTCATTCGATCTTACTCTATCTTATAGGCTACGCTGCACCGCACTATTGATTGTGGTCTAAACTCCGGATCGCGTCAAGCAACCGATAAAATGGACAATCGTTCAGCCTATCAGTTTATCAGCCCCAGCTCGGACCTGATCCGAGTGTCTTTTTTTACCCTTCTTTTTCGCATTCCACCACGCGACAATGTTGGTATGTACAATTCTGGATTATCTTTCTCATTTTGGAGAATAGAGATCGCTTTCCTAACGTTGAAGCCAAGACATGAAAATTTCCTATTTTCGACAACCAGTCCATATGAGCTGAACACCTAGCGAAAAAAGATATGTCTATACCCAACCATGACCCCACATCCACCAGGGGCATAACACAAACCTTCAAAACCATCGCCCTCTTCATCCTCCACCAATGGCTCCTCATCGGCATCGGAGTCGCCTGCGTCTTGGCCTACTATTTCCCCAACGTCGCCAAGAGCGGCGGCATCATCCGCTCCGAATATAGCATTCTCTACGGCGCAATGGCCCTCATTTTCTTGATCTCCGGTCTCAGCGTGCCTCGAGAAAAGCTCATTATTCACCTCCTCAACTGGCGACTGCATGTTCTTGTCCAGGGTCTATCGTTCCTCGTCATACCAGCCTTTATCCTCGCTATCGTGCATATCATCTTAGCCGGTGATCCAGACGAACATATTGATCGCGCCTTGCTGGCCGGGTATATCTTCCTGGCCTGTATTCCTACCACTATTGCTTCGAATGTCGTCATGACTCGCTCGGCGGGCGGTGATGATGCCGCCGCGCTGGTGGAGGTCATTATTGCGAATTTCCTGGGCCCGTTCATCACCGCTGGGTGGACGGTTACTTTGCTTCCGAAGTCGTCGGAGTTTGATGTCTGGAGGTCGGGGGATGGGGATCTCTCTGATATGTACCGCGATGTGTTTAAGCAGTTGGGTCTGGCGGTCTTGTTGCCGTTGGTGGTGGGTCAGTTGATACGCTGGGTCTGGCCGGATATCGTGGGCAAAGTGTTGGCTAAGTATCGCATTGCGAAGATTAGCACCGCGTGCTTGATTCTGTTGGTTTGGTGAGTTGTTTGACATGGACCCGTATACTTGTTGAGACAGCGAAACTTACATGAATGGGTATAGGTCAACCTTCTCTTCTTGCTTCGCGACAGGAGCGCTCCAGACTCTTTCCGCTTCTAGTATTGTCTTCGTGGTTCTGTTCAATATTGCGCTGTATATGTTCCTTACGGCTGTTTGCTTCTATTGTTCTCGCCCGCCGAGGATCATCTCTGGTGCGTCGTTTACGGTGAAAGGGAAGACATTTTATCCCTTCCAGCAGATGAATCCTCAGGAGACTATTGCCGTGTGTTTCTGTGGTCCGGCGAAGAGTACTGCACTGGGTATTCCGCTGCTTTATGCCATGTGGGGTCCGTTGAGTCTGTATATCAAGTCGAAGACGTCGGTGCCTGTGCTGCTGTATACCACGGAGCAGATTTGTGTGGCGCATTTCTTTGTGCATATGTTCAAGTGGTGGCATCGGCGGGTTGAGAGGAAGAGTGCCAGCGTAAGTGATGTGGAGTGTGATGGAGAGGGAAATGCAACTGAAAATGAGGAGAAGTTGGACGGTCCAGGGTCTGATGGGAGGAATCTGGATAATCAGAGCAAAGGGGCAGATGTGAGTTTGTCCCAGGAGCATAATAATTAATCGTAATACAGGATAGACAAGCATTCAGCACATAGAGTTTACAATAGAAATGGAATCGTATATAACATAAAGGCAACCTGCGTGCCGCAATCACGCAGTTGATAAACAGGGGAAATGGAAAGCCCCAGTTGATATCTGAAGAATCATATAGACAAGGGAAAAGAGTGCAGAATTTATTGCTCATCAAATGTAGCTCACTTTCACTCCCATCCCAACCGTCCCCTTGATTTTCTGCCAACCGGAGCCTGTTATCCTCCGGATGCGCTCCCGCACGTCTTGTCGGCTTAATGCGGCTATAATGCCGAGCATAAACAGAAGCGTCCGCGCGAATGATAGTGGGTTGCCTGCAATGCTCTTGCTGACGTATCGCAGGATATTGCGCACCACGTTGACCAGTGCTCGTGATTGCTTAGCCCGCGCTTCGGGCTTCTCAGTCTTCTTGATGTTCTTGGAGCCAGGGGGCGAAAAGGCCGTCCGACCTGCGGAGGTACCTGGTTTACTGGATTGCTTCTCTGCAAACTTCCCTTTGCCCTTCATGCTGCCATTGGGATAGGTCTTCTCAATCCCGTAATCCACCTCACTGCTGCTGCGTCCATGTCCTTTCTGTGCACGCTCAGCAGCCTCAGCTTCCTCTGCCCTGCGACGTTCTGCCTCTCGAGCTTGTCTTTCTAGCTCGGCATCCTTCTCCCGCTGGAGGGCAGCGGCGCGCAGCTCCCCTTGCTGTTTCTCTTCCTTCAGGCCTTCTAGCGTCTGCAGAAATAACTCCTTCCGGTCCTCATCGAGGACTTCGCTCAGGTTGATGAATTCCTGCGCATACTCCCATTCTTCGTTTGCGGGAAGAACATGTAGGGTGAACAGCTCGATTATCTTGACCCTAGCAGCTAGATCTTTCGGGGTATCGGTACCACCGTTTGCACGTGGTGTAGATGAGCCACTAGTCAGATGGTCTGAAATATCCAGATTAGGTTGTCCGTATGACGAAAGGTACGTCTCAAGTCGTTGTTGGTTGAGCTTTTGTGAAGGCGAATGTTTCAACAAGAGAGTTGCCCTGCAAAAGAAGGCCTTTGTCAGTAAAGCAATTAACAACCCGGCGTGGTGACTAACAGGTTATGGACGACTTCTGCATCCACTGATCCCTCCAAACCTCTATACCCCGTCCGTACAACGGTCTCCCAGATCTCACCATCGCGAACAGTGGTCGAGATGGCCTTCCATTCTTTTTGTCCAAACAATTTCTTTCCCTCCTCAGGGCCCAATTCGATGATTTGGCTCAAGAGTGTAATGTAGAGATTCCACACTTTGATCCGCCAGGTCGGCTGGGCTGAAGCAACGGGCGCGACAGAATCATCGCCATTGACGAGCTGCTCGTCGGATCCCCTGACCACTGTGATCGCAGGCTCAAGGGCTGAAAGTGCTTCTTGTAACCGTAGTGTTAGATAGAGATTTGACGCCTTCTTATATGTTTTTGAGCAAAGTTTGGAGGGAGACAATGAGGATGTGGACGAGGAGAGGAGTTGCGACTGGGACGCCGACATGTAGGAGCCATCGTCGGCCATTGTTCACCGCCAGCGGAAAATGCGACGGATCGGAAAGAGGAATCAAAGAAGGGAAATCGAATGGAACGTGCGCGGCTATCAATAAATGCAGAAAATGCACGAGGGATAGAGGGATGCGATCGGATTGAGCTCTGGGTGGTTGGGACGGTAGAGGGAACAGAGTGACACTAAGTTGGGCTAAGTACAATGCTTGGACTGGAGGAGTTTCAGCATCACCTCGGCTCATGCGTTTCGCTGGCCGAGAGTCTGGGGTCTGATGTCACGGGACGCCGCTGTCGGAAACTCCCCAAAATAGACACTCCACGCCTGAGGCGCCCAGGCACAGCTCCAGTCGCGGGAATCCAGTGACGATCTTCCCCTCTCCATCATTCATCCATTCATGACTTCTTGAATTCATCGCTTTCGGCTTGGCTGTTTCTTCTCTGGCAATGCAATGCAACCGGGTCTAAAAACTTTCGACTCTTATGACAAGCTTCTGATTGGGGAATCTCACAGTACTCTTTGTTTCGGCTGATCCACTAGCTACTAGTTATTCCGTCCTGGTTTACACATTCATTACACAACAGCCAGAAACGCATCCCTTGTATCTGCCTTGACTTCCACTCTGCGGGCTTTCACATATACTGTCTCTCCTTTGTACGGTGCGACTGCATCGTTGAACTGCTGAAGACCATGGATATATCCGCCCAGACGTTCTTCTACCATCTACCCAGAGTGTTGGATGACTTGGCATCCTGTTGTTTCGTATCTATAGACTTTGAATTCTCTGGCATCGCCAAAGGCCTCGGACCATCTGCTAAGAGCAGAAGCACCCTACAGGAGCGCTATGAAGAAGTCAAGAATTCCGCTGATCAATACCAAATCCTACAAGTCGGCTTGACTATCTGCCATGAGGATCCAGAGACAGGTTAGACACACATGTTTACCACTCCAGGTTGATGTGTTAATAGCGCAATCACAGCAACGTACACCTTGAAACCATATAATCTATACTTGAGCCCAATCATCGACCGGAAGCTTGATTTAGACAGAAATTGTTCCTTCCAAAGCAGTGGTATGCTCGTTTCAAAGCTGCCCTCGTCCCGTTAACCTAATAAGATCTACTTAGCCGTCGAGTTCCTCTTGGAAAACAAGTTTAGCATGGAAGATCTGTACAAGAATGGCGTCACCTACTTGTCGAGAGATGAGGAAAGTCGAATAATGGCCAGAGTCATGCAAAGAAATGAACGCACGACAGCGCGCAGTTCTCTGGACGTTGGGGACCATGAATATGAGTCCTTAGCCTTTTTAAAGGATGTTCGCCGTCTTGTAGATGAATGGCTGGCGCTTGGTAAAGTAGGAGTTTCGGTCCTCTCTAGTACTGCTTTTCTAACCGTTGATACCAGACCCGGGAGGATTACCTTAATATCCCGCCACCTCTGCCTATAACTGGACCTGCTCCATCCAATCACCCCAAGTCTATGCCAACGGACCTCAATAGGTTTCAAAAGAGGCTTGTTCATCAGCTCATCGAAGTGGAGTATCCGTCTTTGGTGACGGTCAGTAGGCCGGGTTTTATACAGATAATCGACTACGACGAACAGCGCGAGAAGGCTGTTCGCGACCAGAGGGTGAAATGGGTACAAGAAAGGATCTGGAAACAGACTGGATTCAGATGGATCGCGGAGGCGCTAGCCGGGGGCGATCTGACCAACCTCGAGCCTTTCTGCTTCATCAATTTGATGTCGTCTTCAAAGGAGAACCCCCAAAGTTCTCTTCAGGACTTCTCGCGGGGGGTGAAGCAGCGGTTGCAGAAGAACAGACCTGTCCTGGTGGGCCATAACCTCTTCACGGACCTGATTTACTTTTGTCGGTGCTTCTTCGGGCCTCTCCCGGAACGTGTGGAGGATTTCCAAGCCATGGCTCATAAGATGTTTCCGGTGTTGATGGATACGAAGTATATGGCTACACACAACTGTGGCTCCATAAATCCTAGGTCTTCCCTGCAGGAAATCAATGACAGCCTCGCTGCACAGCCAACACCAGCAATAAGTAGGTCGATAGCTATATTGTCGTTCCTCACTAACGTCGATCAGGTATACACCCCCAATTTACCAAATACAACACGCGGGCAATCGATCACGAAGCTGGCTTTGATAGTTTGCTCACTGCTCAGGTTTTCATTAAACTTTCTGCCCAGCTCCGAGACAGGGGAACGTCGGGGATTCCGCCAACAGTTCCAGAGACACCTCAACCCAGTGAAAAGTCGAAGGAGCCCACGAAGCAGGTTATAGGCGACTTCGAGGCTACCGTCATTCTACCTAGAGGTCCCAAGTCAAACAACGTCCGTATCATGTTCGGCTCTATCGAAGTTGAAAAAGTCGTCCAAGACAACGGCGGCAGTGATGCTGGCGAGGTAACCAGAATATCCTTAACACCCCGCGACTCTCCTGAGACACAGAAGAAAGCCGACGAGGGCCGGTTGATTCCACGCTTAGGCGCGCAATTTTGGAACATTTATGGAAACAAGCTGCGCGTCTTTGGCACGAATGAGAGGGTATGTCACATTGGCTAGGCCCTCCTAAAAGCCAGCCAGCACACTGCATTACGAGTCGCCTAATGAGCGTGGACCACTCACTACACTCCATGATTACGATAAAAGTAGCTCCTAGATACCAGAATACCTAGTTTGCATGATTTAAATAGCAACAGCTATAGTCTCCATAGGCGAAGCCGTATGAAGAAATGTATGCAGCGTCTATCTAACAGTACGCCTTGATTTGAGAAGGTACCGCTAGCGAAAAATGGCCGCAAAAGTGCTCTGAGCACCGGAAAATGATCGACTGGTCGTGGTAACTCAACGCAGTGATGATAAGGAAAGGTGCCGTAAAGAAGGAAAAGAACAGAAATGGTCCGCACTGTCGAGAATTTAAATGGAGCGGAATATTGGGTCACATGACCTACTAGCCTGGTCGGGCTTAGCTCCGTCCCGACGCTCCCTCGCAGGTGACCGCCAACTTTTCTCGCTATATCGTCGGCCTCCGGACCTGTTGACAAGCACCCCAGCATATAACCAACACATTTGGAGATGTCGTCAGGGTCCAATGGTGCCAGGCGCGTAGCGTCGCTTTTGCGTATGTGCTTGTCAATCCGAAATTGAAAACCAATGCGTGTCCGTACTGACTCCCCCAGGGCCTGCGATCTCCGATCCCAGAGTGTGCAGAAGCTGTCAAGAGACGCTTGTCCGCCGCAGTTACGCCACAGCCTCTACACAGGCTTCCTCAGAAACTTCCTCCACCGCCGCATCAACCTTCCCCGTTGTGAAGCCCACCCATACCATCAAGGCCGGGGTGGTCCTCTCCCGCCCCCCTCAAATCACCCGCGACCTTACCGATTTCGAGAAGGCGTACTATTTCTACCAGAAGCGACTGAACGAGCGTCTCCAGCTACCTTTCACGAAATACTTCTACTTCAAGCGTGGAACGCCCGCCGACGAGGACTGGAAGCGCAAGATCCGCGAGCGTCAGACCCCCGCACGCGACATCGGCAAGTACAACCCGTACTCGAAGGAGGCATGGAACGATGAACTCCTCGTTGGAGCCGTCGAGTCGGACCCGGCCCACCAGGTGGAAATGCTTGTGCAGGATGCGGAGTCGACGGTCAATGCCACTTCCCAGGATACTAGCAAGAAGGAAGAGATTCCGAGACCTTTCCCCCGGGTGACGGAGGCGGACCAGAAGAATGATCAGAGAAGCCTCAACCGGGCACTGCAGAGGACTCTTTATCTCCTTGTGCAGTCCAAGGAGGGATTCTGGACGTTTCCCAGCTCTCCCATCGTCGCTGAAGAGACTCTCCGTCAGGTAAGTTCCGTTGGCTCTTCTCGTCAAGTGTTTCACCAGCGGCAGCAGCGCTAACGTTATTTGAAAATAGGCCGCCGAACGTACCCTTGAGCAAGCCGCCGGTGTCAACATGAACACCTGGATGGTCGGATACCACCCCGTGGGACACTACGTCTACAACTTCCGCAACCCGAACAAGCTGGCAACTGGCCCCGCAGGCGAGAAGGTCTTCTTCATGAAGTCGCGCATCATGGCCGGCCAGGCCGATCTTTCCGGAAACGCTCAGAACCTGACCGACTTCAAGTGGCTGTCGAAGGATGAGATTTCCAAGTTCGTGCGGCCGCAGTACTATGCCAGCATCAAGAACATGCTGGCTGATCGGTAAACCAGTGTTTCTTGGGTGTGATGGAGTAGTAGTGTATGGATATGGATAGTTGTTGTCGCGCGGACTTGTTCTGTTCCCCAAGGGAATTTCGCCCTTGGTAGGTAGTACAGCAGGTCTGAGTCTTGCATATATCATCGTCGGTCATGTATAACTAGCTTTTTGTTTTCTTTTCGCTTTCTATTCGCAATGAAGACCTTTCTTGTTCCTAAGACTATCCCCAACCGAACGCCATGCAGATTTCTTCCCAGTTATAGTAGTAATAGACATAAGTAGGTATCTAGAAGCTTCAACGAAAGGACTGCTAACTGATGACTTTACTTCAAATTAAACTTCTGCCCCGAAATCGCAGGCTGATTCTTCGACGCATTCCCTGTCAACCCCTTCCCGCACATCGGACACGCTACACAGCGTTAGCTAGATGACTCCATACATACGAAACAACAACAAGAAAGTAAAAAGAAAGAAGACGAACCATTCTTCTGATACGCACAACGCTGACAATACTTCCTCCCCTGCTCCGTCTTGGTTTTGCAAACCTCACAGGAGGAAGCATACGCCGCGTAGGGATTCTTAGCTTTAGAGCTGAGGAGTTTGCTCTATACATTATTAGCATCCTCCTCCTCATCATCACGTTATGTAGTAGTAGTAATATAAAATGGATGGATATACCTTCCCAACCCCCGTACTCCCCAACGTACTAGACTTGGCTTTCCCTCCGGCAGAAGCAGCACCACTGCTATTGCTACTACCACCGAGCGTTGTGGATGGTGAGCCATAGTACATTTCTGCTTTGCGTTTCACGCCGGGAGTGGCGAGCTCCGTTTGTTTGAGTTTCTTTTGGCATTTGGCGCAGACCATTTTTCGTATTTATTCTTTGTTGATCCTCTGGGGTATTATTGGGAATAATGAGAAGTTGGGGAGTTGTGGAAATAGTATGGATGATGGGAGTATGGATAGCAGATGGGTGGGTGTGACAGTTCTGGCTGGGTGGAGAGTATTGGAGGGATGATGACGCCAATTGATTGGTGCTAAAGTGCACCCGGGTTTTGCGTGGTGGTGGGGTATGGGGTGCCGTAGTTGGGAGGGTGTATACCTGATGGCTACGGTGTGTGGATGTTGTTGGTTTTGTGGTTTGGTATTATTAGTAGTCTTATATCTATCTAAGTACTGAATAATAATCCGTTATTGCATGGAAAAGTCGTTGTATTGGGTGAGGTTATCCGGTTGCTTGGTATCTACTCTGAGCCGATCAATTCTATACTGTCATACGATAATTCGGCAGCAGTGTATAGTTGAGTTAATAATCATCATGATAACTTACTCAACCACGCTGATATGCAGCATTGTATTACTTGTCTATAATTGAATCGTACAAGATGCTCTGCAGAGGGTGCTGCAGTCTGCTTTAAATCAGTCACAAAAGTTTGATGGTCTGGTGGTGTATTCTCATACATCCCGCCCATCCATGCATATATCAGTCCGGAACGTTGTGAGTCCAGACTGTATTTGGAACATCACTGCATTGGATTATATACGCCGGGAGGATGTGCAAAGCCTGACGGGTGTGCAATAGAGGCCCATACATCTGAAGACGCCAGACTTGACCTTACCAAGCGTACCCTTTGTGTCTATGCTTGAATGAACACACAAGATGCCCATGGATATCCAAGAAGAACGAGGTTGAAGAACAGCAGCAACTAATAGTCGATATGTCCACTTGCTAGTTATTTCAATGGAAAACAGGCGAGTCTAGACACAACGTCTGAAGTCCCATATTGAAATCTGGCCGGCGTGAAATCCCGTCCGGCTTTTAGTTTCACCGGCAAGAAAAGCCCGTCAGTAAATACAAGCGGATCGCAATATTGGTCAATCTGTATAACTGAGATATACCCGTAGCGTTCCAGAAGACTCGGGCATGACGAATGAACTGCAGGCAGTATAATCCATCCACACTTGGGAGGAGTCATCGAGTGCCAAATAAGGCGGAGGTCCAGTGTTCTTATCAAATGTTAGGCGCCTGTCAACACCAACTGGCGCCCAAAGAGTGGGCAGGTGGGTTTATAAAGCTAGCCTCCGGAAAGGTATATGAAAGAAGCTAACAGCCTCGTCCAGAGGATCACGCCTTTTCGCTCAGGCGCCTCGGATCGTGACAAGTCATAGTTCGACGGGTAATTTCCAAGTCACCATGCTTTAGCCCCGACTAAGGCCAATGACGGTGTGCTGACTTCGGAAACCATGAACACTCTGCACCTGCAGGAAAGCATATTAACCATTTATTTTCTGGCCGCAGTTCTTCAGGCCTCGGAGATGTTCGTACATAGGATGGTGCACTAGGTGACAGCGATGCAGCCCTTTGATCCATGACCAATGTTTCGAGGGTACGGGCGCGGCGATGTGCACAACCATCAGCAACCCGAAAGGGCCACATGCGTATGCCTCCCGGACGGCAGTAAGCAGGCCAAAATAGAATCATGGCTGACTGGCCATAAAAGACGGGCAGAAGAGAAAGCAAGTAGATAAGATGAGCGGTGGTTGCTGACCATCGCGGCCTCCGAGTGGGTGTGGCAACAAATGCCCGTCTTAAATCCTTCTCGTTCGCACAACCCAACTTTCCCTCCACTTCGGCTTCAGCTCTTCCACGACATCCTCCCCCCTTCAATTATAACAGCCAATCCACTGACCCGCTTGGGCTTTTAAATTTCGTGCAGATGGGAGCTGGACATTCAGCTGCCCTGAACAAGGCGACCCTCCCTCCCACAACTCAGACTTGCGTGGTCCTCCCAGGCTGTTTGTCTCCCAAAGCTGCAGGATGACCCGCCACTCCTGAACTGGTCTGCATCGGACGGCGGGATCCAGAGCCCAGGTTGGAATAACAAACCTGCAAAGACGGGATCTCTTCTCTATGCACAAGGCAGGGGAAAGCAAAGAAAACCAAATAAGTGAAATCGAAGGGCAACCAGGAGAGAACGGCACAGAAAAGCAAAGAAAAGAAATGCAAGCACGGCTCGCTGTGCTACCCAGGTTCCTGGATACTGTCGAGCAATGATCGCCCGTTCCAGCGCCGTGGTTCGTCTGGTTGGACATCGCTCTTTCTGCCCAGACCATCACCCTGGGGCTAGCACGCTGGTTCCCTGACTCTTCTATAAAGTGGTCCTTCGGGTGGCATCGCCACAGGCTGTTTACCTTAGCTGAGATGCTGTCAGATCACCACCAGTCGCGTTGGATTGGCTATAAGTCTTTGTTCTGGTACTGTTCGTGTGTGTCTCAGCGCACAGCCAGCTAAACTGTACGTCTCCCATTCTCGCCCTACCAAACCCCCCTCCGGGCATCTCTTTTTCTTTAAGGACTCTTTTCAAACTGACTCTGACATAGTCTAGCGGTTTTCAATCATTTGTGTTTTTGCTTTTTCCCCCAGACACTACTTGGGCGCCCGGACCAGCCTTGGTTTGCTACTAGCTTATTGATTACCGACTCCTTTTCCCTGCCTTCACCTTTCTTTTTCTCAGGGCCCAGAACGGCAGGTTGAAGTTGAGCACGTCGTCAAGAGGTCGGGAATCCCTTGCTTCAGGGTGGAAACGGAACTGAATCTTGCCCACACCGCACGCTTCTTTTCTCTTTCATCTTCCTCCCTTCCACCTCAGCGGGCATCGCTCACTACCCTCCCACGAGCAGTCCGCCAAAGTTTCTAAGTGCAAACCTAAAGTAAGGATAGAAGGGCCCTTGAGTGACTTGTCTATCACGGTAGCACGGAAACTTCGCGTCAACGAACCAGGGGACGCCTTTTAGTGATTACTCCAGTGGTTGAAGGAATCGAGAGAAAGGGAAAATGCCCCCCAGCAGTTCGTCATTCACGGCGCTGAATCTGCCCTCGACATTCTCGCTACCGCCATGCATGGAATACTTCACCCTCACCGCCGGCCCTAATACGGACCTTTGGCGTAAGCCGCCGAACCGGGATACTGCAACGGCTCCTATCGTGTTTACTTCCTTGCGGAGCCCATTTGTAGTTGCCGAGGTTACTGTCACGGCGGACTGGGAAATGGAATGGGACCAGGGTGGTTTGGTGATCTTTGCTGGAGCTGCGCCTCAATCATTTTCGCCTGACAGTGCTCCACGACCGGGCCGCCCCGGATATCCTCAACCGTTACGACCCTGTAAATGGGTCAAGGCCGGGATGGAGTTTTGTTCGGGCACGATGAACGCATCGTCGGTAAGCGCAACCTCCGACGGCGCAGACTGGTGTCTCTCACCACTCTCGGTTCCCGATCGCGGTCCATCAGCTATGCATTCATTGCGAATCAAATTAGAGCGAGTCGGACATTCGCTCTGGATCTGGTACCAGGATCCATCCGCAGTGCCGTATGCAATGACCCCGGCGGCCTTGAGCAGCACGTGGAAGAAGCTGCGGGAAGTAACATGGTTCTTCTACGGGGTAGAAGACAAATTCGTCCACGTGGGCGTCTATGCTAGTCGGCCGCATAGTCTGCCTCGCACCGGAACGATGTGGGCGATGGCCAACGGCCCGGGGGCGGCCGGGTCGGCGGTAGCATTAGCGAACGAGGGGTTGGTGGTTGAATTCGAAGATTTAGAGATATTGTAATCTGTGTTGTCTTAGCAGCGTTGTCTTGGTTCTAGCTACGACCATTGGACGCTTATGAGTCGATGAGCTTTCTTTCTCTTTGGACTTTTGGACTGGTTGGGTTCAGGAGCCTGGTGCATTGCGGGAGATAGCGAGCATGGGTTTATGTTATGGTTGGAGCGATTGCTGAGACAGAACGTTCTTTTGAGTTTTGGCTTTTCAACGCTTATTATTTTAATGAAGAGTCGATAATTATACCTTTTGTCTTTCATACATGGACACTCCAGAGAAAGCAACACGTGCTGGTCATGTGACTCCACTAAACTGTGCTCAACTACTCCGTGAAGTTAATATAATCTATCATTAGTCCTGTCAGTTTAGTCTTTCATCTTCCTGGACACCAATGATCTCACGAGATCGGTTCATTGTGGGGAGCATTAGGAGACGAATCTCGTACGGAAAACATTCTATTCGATGACAACTCCATCATGCTTCGGAATCATTCCTTCACACACGCCTTGAAGTAATTGGGAGTGGCGTGAAGCCATGTTCTAGCTGTTTGGGTGGGGATTGGCATAGTCTGCGGGGTTAGTACTCCGAGCCCTTCGGGATTTCGTGGGAATAATTCGCGAGAGGCGACAGCATACGACACTCTGGCAACGCATGCATCAAGCATAAATATCTCGAAGCTGACAGAAAATATGGGTGTATCTCGTCTCTTTCCATATTATTTCCCCTTTCTTTGCCCTTTCCCCGGCCATGGCCAGCCAAATATTCATTGAAACCCCCACTGTTGAGCAACACTTGACTGGCTTTGGCATTGGAACTGCTACTCCGCGTCTGTCATGGCGATTCCTCACCACCGACAGTAGCCCGCGTGACTGGGAACAGACAGCCTACGAAGTGCAACTTACTCGCTCCGGATCCTCAGCTAAAACCTACTATGTGAAGAGCAATGCATTGGTGCTGGTCCCTTGGCCCAGTGACCCATTACAATCCCGGGAAATCGCACAGGTCCGCGTTCGGGCATACGGGTGCAGGGCCGGCGAGGAGCAACAGGCTGAAGCAGCCACCTCTTGGTCTCCTTGGCGCGTCATTGAGTGCGGACTACTCGATCGCACTGACTGGGTAGCCCGAACTATTACCAATCCGGAGGAACCACAGCCGGAAGCTCCATTGCGGCCGGTGCGTTTCCGTAAGGAATTCCAACTTCCTGCGGCGAGTTCAGTCGACAAGGCCCGCCTTTATATTACCAGCTTTGGGGTATACCGCGCTTTCGTCAACGGCCATCGAGTCGGGGATCAGTGCCTCGCCCCGGGGTGGACCAGCTACCGCCATCGCTTGAGCTATCAAGTGTTCGATGTGGGACCCCTCCTGAATGCTGGAGGTCCCAACGTCCTCGCGGTAGAGGTTGCAGAGGGCTGGTACGCCACTCGCCTCGGCTTCCTTGGTGGGCGAAGACAGCTGTATGGAGATCGACTGGCCGTACTAGCCCAGGTGGAAATTCAGCTCGGACCCAAGGGAGACCGATTCTCTATGTGTACTGATAGCACTTGGATTTGTACCCCCAGTGCCATCGTCCGCAGTGAGCTGTATGACGGCGAGGCTTATGATGCTCGTGTAGAAGATCCGACCTGGAACTGCGCGCGCCTTGACCAGGCCTCCAGCTGGGTGGACGTCCGTGAAATTGACTTCCCAACCGCGGCCTTGGTAGCACCGGACGCTCCTCCAGTGCGTATCACCGAGGAGATACCCCCAGTCTCCGTTCAGAAGACCCCTTCCGGTGCAACCGTCATCGACTTCGGTCAGAACCTGGTCGGTCGACTCCGCGTGCGCTCATTGCAAAAGCCCTCTGGGTCTCGCGTCTCGTTCATCCACGCCGAAGTACTAGAGAATGGCGAGCTCGGGGTTCGACCGCTACGACACGCCAAGTGCACCGATGAAGTCATCCTGAATGGAACAGAGCTCGTAGATTGGTCGCCACAGTATACATTTCATGGGTTTCGATACGTCCAGGTCAATGGTTGGGATGAGGAAATCGATGGATCACTGCTCCTCAATATCAAGGCCCTCGTGATGCACACTGATATGACCCGCAGCGGATGGTTTTCTTGCTCCCACCCCATGATCAATCAACTCCACACCAATGCCTGGTGGAGTATGCGGGGGAATTTCCTGTCCATCCCCACCGACTGTCCCCAGAGAGATGAACGCCTCGGCTGGACCGGGGATATTCAGATCTTCTGCCCATCGGCCAACTTCCTCTACAATACTGCCGGCATGCTGAGCGACTGGCTGCAGGATGTTGCAGCCGAGCAGCTGAGGGAGAAGGATGGCTGCGTGCCTCCATTTACGGTCCCTAACGTCATCAGCGAGACCCTGTGGCCGCATACGCCGCAGGCCGTGTGGGACGATGTCGTGATCCTGACGCCCTGGGCCCTCTACCGGTCGTATGGAGACCAAGACATCCTCCGCCGCCAATATGAGAGCATGCTCGCCTGGATCGATCGCGGAATCCGTCGTGGTCCGGATGGACTCTGGGACCCTGAACTTTGGCAACTGGGAGACTGGCTAGATCCAACAGCGCCGCCCGAGGAACCTGGAGATGCACGCACCAGTGGAACCCTCGTCGCTGATGCCTATCTCGTGCATATCACGTCTGTGATGTCCGAGATCAGTCAGGTCCTCGGCCAGAGCCAGAATGCCGCACGATTCCAGGCGGACTATGATCGACTCAAGGCAAGCTTCCAGGCCAAGTATATCACAGCCACTGGGTTGCTGGTCGGTGATACCCAAACGGCACTTAGCCTTGCCATCGTGTACGATCTCCACTCCACTCCCGAAGCAGCCCAGGCTGCGGCATCGCGTCTCGTCCACCTCGTGCGGCTGGCCAAGTTTCGCGTCGCCACCGGGTTTGCGGGCACTCCGATCATAACGCATGCTCTCACCAAGAGTGGATACCCCCAGATCGCCTACCGGATGTTGCTGGAGAAAAATCGCCCGTCGTGGATGTATCCCATCACCATGGGAGCGACGACCATGTGGGAGCGGTGGGACAGCATGCTCCCCGACGGGACCATCAATCCTGGCGAGATGACCAGCTTTAATCATTACGCCCTGGGCTCCATCATCAACTGGCTGCACTCCACTGTGGCCGGGGTCAGCCCTCTATCCCCGGGCTGGAAGCAGATCCAGGTGGCTCCCACTCCTGGGCCCACGATTCACTCGGCTGAAGCCATGTACGATACTCCCTATGGGCGACTGGAATGCCGGTGGTCGATCGAGATTGACGCGGACCTCTTCCATATGGACCTGTTGATACCCCCTAATTCTCGAGCGCGCGTGGTATTGCCGACACCAGAGAAGCTATCCCAGCCCGCTGCTTCTCGTGGAGACGGAGATGACCTCTGGGTGGGTTCGGGACGTCATCATTTCTCTGCCCCCTTCGAGTGGAGGAAGTACACTAGGGAATGGCCACCGAAGCCCCTGATTCCAATTATGCGCAAGCCTGAACCGGAGGATATTGCCTGAACATGTCCCTAATAGCTTTATCTCGACCCCATAAACCAACTTGAGGTATCTTAGATGTATGACAGTAGACGTGACATACCTGAGTACTAGGCACTGAATCGGTCCTGGTACAGTAAACACATTTTAGAGGCCTAATACTAGTCACGTGGGCAGCAAGACATAGTCGAAGCACGAGTAGTGAGAGCTGAAGCGTGTTCAGTAAGTAATCGGTGAGTGTGTTGAAGCTCTCACATGATGCACGGTGTTGTCCTTACAGAAGCGGTGGTACTCGCAGCAGATCACTTTAGTCGTGGTATATCTTAGAGAAGAGAGTGAGATATATATATAATGAGACTACTACCACTTAAGTGACAAACATTCCAGACCAGCTTCTCTACTATCTTGTGGCACGTGTTACAATCCAGTATATCGAAGGCCATCATTGATGAGTCTACTGGCCAAATCCGACTCGGCCGTTGAACAAGATCAACAGGATGACAACTCAAAGTAGTACTTCTTTCCGTATACACAAATGGTATCCTCTCGTGGGTCATTCACATGACACTATGATTATCATAGTAGTACTAGGCAAACTAGACCGCAAACTACTATTCTGGATGTTTGTTTATTTTCATTCAGAGCTTTTCACTGAATATACATACCAACCGTGTACAATGTCCACACGGCACAGTGTCCGTAGTACAAAGTAGTTGCTGTAGAAGAGAACGCATCCATGCGACGATCCCGCGCCGCTAAGGCATCAATCATATCATTCATTCGTTGCCCGAGGCTCGAGCTCCTCGCAGATATTGAACGAGGCAAGCGGACTCCGAGAAATCCCCAACCAATCATGGATCTAGACTGGGGAAAGATTATACAAAGCAAAGATAAAATAGAGTTTGCGAACTAGACTATCTACATTTTTCTCACTCGCTGGTTGAACTGTTTATTATCACCTCTATCCTCTGGTTTCTATGCAGGAAAAAAAGGTTACCCAACTACGTCAGAATGTGAGAAATGACGACGGCAACTGTTTGTTTTGCGCCCACTCATGACTCAGTTGGTAATTGCCGTGATCTGGTTCTGGTTCCATGGCTGGAAGAGGAGACTTGGGCTCCACTGCGATTTATAATGGAATTGGAATTGGAATTGTCTGGCTGGTTTAGTCGAGGCGGGGGGAGGGTTATTGGAAAAGGGGAGGGGGACCAGGGACTGAGAAATACGAGTCTATTTGATGGAGTAGATGGATAGATACTACTACTGTACATAGTTGATGGGGGGCAAAGGTGGTCAATAGGGGAGGGAGGAGATGAGATGGGTTCCAACAGGACAAAATAGGAAAAAGGAGAAAGTTGGTTTTATGACTCATTGTATTCATTATTTATTCAGTTGAGATCAGATCAGTTCTCTTCCACCGAATTGTAGTTTGGGAAAGATAGAAGATTTTTTCTTATTCGTAGTTGCAATGAAACTTGAACTTGCAGCAGGATACATACTAATCTTCTACTGGACGAGAAGATCATACACCTGACCTGAAGGAGCTGCGGGTTTCGCTTTGCCAACACAGCAACCCTTCGACCCGGAAAAGTATGATGATGTCTCTTGTTATGCAGCGACTAAAGCATAACACCGGAATTGCGGAGGCGAATAAGTGCAAAATAAATGGGACTGGACTGGACTGGATTGGTACTTACTGACCTACATATGCTGTGCAGCGGGATTCGATGCGATCGGATCTATCTGTCTGTCTATCTAAATATCTATCGATTCCCCAGGTAACCATCAGGGTAGATCAGATGGAGGTACTTTAGTATAGTTCCGCCCTCAATAATTGGTGAATTGGTAGGTGGCTTAACCAGAAATGAGCGAAGTTATTACTGCTAGTATTGTTGTTGTTGATATGATGGAATTTTCCCTGTCTTCTGATTCGGGACGCTTTCCCGCCGGTGCCGAGTTGCCCTGCGAAAAGCAAAGAAAGGTAAGGTCTTTTTTTTTTTTTTTTTTCCGGCGAGCTGCGGGTGGAGGTGCCGGTGGTGCCACTAATTCAGCCTAGTTTCTACAGTAGTGAGAGTTCTCCACTGCCGGGCCAGTCACTCGCTCCATCAGGGAATTTTTTTTCTTTTCTTTTGTTTTTCTTTGGTTCCAACGTTCCGCTGGACCATCATAGGGGAGAAAAATCAGTGGCAGAAAGATGAACAAGAGAGATATTTGCAGCAAAGAAAAAATATATCCTGCTCAAACTACATCCTGCATCATACAAAACCTGCATTGTAAGTTAGCAGTATCTAGATGTTCCAGGAAGAATATGTACCCTCACCCACTTGTGCACTATGTAAGCAACAGTAAGAGCGAGAGCTTGTGAAAGGTGCATGTCCAGGCTTATCTTGCATCCCAAGGTCTCTCTTCTGCTCTCTCTCAACCTCGCATGATTGGTGCCCTCAAAGCCACACCACTTCACCGCATTTTCCTTCCAGGCGCTCGTTAGCTTGAAAAGGATCGGCGAATGTGATGCCAATAATTCCTCTCTTTTTTCCTCTCCGGACTGCGGCGCTTGCAATGCGAACTGCCTCTCATTGGAGCCGGACCAACGCCTGCGCCTCGGCTTTTCCAGCAATCATTCCGGTCTGATATGGCTTGATCATGCTTTGCAACTCAAGCTCGTAGGTTTAAACTTGGGTCTAAGTCTGCCGTTTCCCCCTCCCTCATTGATTGTTCCATTATCAGTAGTGGTCATCCACACCCACCAGTCCACTTTCTTTGCCCCCCTCCCCCCATTGAGGAAGGGGTGAGGAGGAAAAAAAAAATCTATCCCCGTAGTCAAAGGTTGTGTCCCCGGGCAATGGCATCATGGCGCGCCCTCGAACTAAAAACTCACCAACCAAAAAAATAAAAAAACAGAAAAACAAAAACAAATTACTAGGCAGAAGGGGGAAGCTGGAAATCACTGTGACAACTGCAGCTGCCCCGCCAACTGACTGGGCTAATTAACGGCCATCCTTACACTAGAAGGAGTAGACTAGATAGTCCACTAAAGTACAGTCATCCTGGGTCCCCATCGGTCTTCCGTGGGGACCGCAGTATTTACTGGGAAGGAATCGATACTACTACTAACTAAGCAAGTAACTGACGGGTGCTGGTGCTGGTGCCAATACTGGTGCTATTCTTGTCTTGTCTTGTCCGTACGGCGCTGCTCCGTCCTACCAGTAATTTTTTTTCCTCCTCCTCCTCCCCCTCCTCCCAATCTCTCCCTCTCGAACCTTTTGATTAGAATTTCCCCTCCCTCTTCCCAATCTTGTCTTTACTTTTACCTCTCTCATCATCCATCGCTGTTTGTTTGTACTCCCAAACAAAAGAGTCATTCTTATCATACCCATCTTCCCATCTCCTCACCCCCCTCCTCCAATCTCGTCCTCATCTCTCCGCTGCCCCTCCAAGACATCCTCCCCCTCCCTTACCTCCTCCTCCTCTTCACCTTTCAATTCCACCTTGGGAGGGCGTTGTCTTGTCCTACCACGCCGTTTGCCGTCTGATCGCCTGTATATTATTGCTTTCCTGTCCATTGATATCCTTGCGGTGGCCCGTCGTCTGTTCTGGTCTTGAATATTCCAAGACTCACAAAAACACAACAACTACAAAAAAGCCTAGTCGAGTCCAGCGTCTTACAGTTTTATCTTCCTCTTTTTTTTCTCTGTTTGCGTCTGTTGCATCTTAACGACTGTTACGACTTTTTATGACCACAATGGCCCACCCCGCTGGTGAGACCGTCACAATCTCTGTCCGTCGTCCGATTGACGATCCCGTCTTCGTGGCCGGCACTTTCTCCGAGCCGCAATGGGAGCCTCTCGAACTGAGCTCCAAGATGGTGGATACCGAACCGGATGAGGAGGGATTGGTATCGACAGAGTATCTCTTCTACCGCGAGTTGGAGCTGTCGCCTGGTCAATATCAATATAGATTCCGCGAGGGCGCTTCGGGCCCGTGGTTCCACGACGAGGCTGTCAAACATGGTACGCTTAAACCTTTTTTCTCCCGACGTTGCATCATCGCGCAACCCATCCGAAGCTGACAAACTTACTTGCAACTACAGCTGCAGGGGAAGGAGGTCTGGTGAACAACTATCTCACCGTCGGACCGAGCGAAGATGTCACCGCAGAGACCGAGGAAGCCGCGCCGAAAGAAAACGGCGTCAATGGGACTGCTGAACACGCTGCCCCCGTACAGGAACCCGTTGTCGAGGAGAAGCAGTCCGAGTCGGTCCCCGAGCCGGAACAGAAGAAGGATGCTGAAGTGACGGAGCCTGCGACCAATGGAGACGCGGCAGCCGAGGTCAACGGAACGGAATCCGCCGAGCAGACCGACTCCTCCAAGCACGAAGACGTTACGACAGAGAAGGCCGACGAGGCGACGGAAACACCTGCTGAGAGCCAGCCCGCAGCGAAGGAAGCGGAAGAGGTCTCGGCTGCCCCCACCGTCACTGAGGAGGTGAAGCCTGAATCTGACGTCCCTGTCAAAGCTGAGGAGCAGCCGGAGTCTTCGGTAGAGAGCGCCACCGTCGCGGCCACCGAAAAGGCGGTCGAAGAGCCTGAACACAATGAGGTTTCGGAGGAGGTCACGTCGAAGCCGGCAGAGGCTGCCCCAGAGCCCGCAGCGGAGGAATCGACCCAGGCTGAGGTTTCTGGAGAGCAGCCCGTCGTGGAGGAAGTAACCGCTGAAGTTGCTGCCAAGGATGATGTTGCTGCTGAGCCTGCTGCTGAAGTACCGGCCTCTGAGGAACCTGTCGCCGAGAAGCCGACGGAGTCTACTGTTGAAGAAGCTTCTACGCAGGAGGCTTCCAAGGAAGAATCCGCCCCGAAGGAACCGGAGACCCCCGTTGCTGAGACGACTGCTGAATCTACTGCCGAAGAGCCTACAAAGGAAGCGGAAGAGGTGAAGACTACAGCTACCGAGATCAGTGCTGAGGCTGCTCCCGAAGAGCCCGCGAAGGAGTCGGTTACGGAAGAAGCGGAAGCGCCTAGCACCGAGGTTCCGGCTATCGAGCCCGCAACGGAGGAGCCTGCGCAGGAAGTCGTCAAGGAGGAAGTCAAGGTTGAAGAACCCGTGGAGGAGACTCCTGCCGTGGAGGCCGCCGTTGAAGAACCCTCGAAGGAAGTGACCAAGGAGGAGTCCACTCCGGAACCCTCGACTGCCGAGCCCAGCACAGAAACCGCGGACAAGCCCACCACCGAAGAGGCCCGTGTCGAATCTGCACCTGTCGAGGAGCAGACCACGGAATCCGTTACCGACAAGGACGCTGTGGAACAACCAGCAGAGGAATCCGCTGTCCCTCAAGCTTCCGAAGCCGCTGTCGAAGAATCTGTCCCCGAGAACACTGTTTCTGAACAGACCGCGGAGGTGGCTACCGAGACCCCAGTTGCTGATAAGCCCACTGAGCCATCTGCGGAAGAAGCGCACGCTGAGTCTACTGTGGAGAAGGTGGAGGAGCCCAAGACAGAGGAGCCAGCTGAACAGGAGGTTGCTGAAGGTGCAGTCGAAACTTCGACCGAGACGGAGGAAAAGTCTGCTGAGCCCGCAGAGGAGCACCCCACGGAAGCAACCACCGAAAATGCCGAGCCACCGGTCACGGAGAAGCCGACAGAGGAACCCATCGAACAGATCGCGGAAACCACCGAGGAAGTTGCCAAGGAGGAACCTGTCCAACAGGAGTCTTCTAACGAGCCTGTTACCGAACAGGCTACTGCTGATGCCCCGGCCGAGGAGACCACGGAAACTCCTGCTCAAGACGTTCCTGCCAAGGAGGTAGTGACTGAAACTGTTGCGGAAGAGGCACCTGTCGAGACTTCGACCAGCGAAGTGGCTGAGGAAGCTGCCAAGGTTGACTCGGCTGTCGAGGAGCCGGTGGCTGAGCAGCCTGCCGCCGAGGAACCGGTTATCGAGGCCTCTGTTCCAGAGACAGCTGAGGAGTCTCCCAAGGAACCTGCTGCGGAGGAAGCAGTGGCTAAGGCGGTTGCGGAAGAGCCCGCTGCTGAGGCCATCGTTTCGGAGACCGTTGAAGAGACCGCCCCTCAGTCTGCAGTTGAGGAACCGGCCGCGGAGACTGCAGCCAAGGATGTTGCTGAAGAGCCTGCTCAGGAGCTTGCTGCTGAAGCCGCCACTACAGAGGCTGAGGCATCTGCCCAGCCTGCTGCTGAGGAGCCGGCTGCTGAGAAGCCAGTCGTTGAGGAGTCAGCCCCTGAGGTAACCGCTACAGAGACCGAGGAATCCGCGCCGGAGCCTGTCGTCGAACAGTCTGCTCAAGAGATTCAGCCCGAGGAAGTTGCCGAGCAGCCGGCTGTTGAAGAGCCGGTCGTCGAGGAACCAGTGGCAGAGAAGACAGTTCAGGAAGAAGAACCCGCCAAGGAAGACGTGCCTGAAGTGACGGCTGCACATGACGAGACTGTGAAGGAAGAAGCACCGGCTTCCCAGGAGCCTGCTCATGAAGAAGCTGCTCCCGCAGCTCCCGAGTCGCAGGAGACTGTTGAGGTTGCCGCTGAGGCCAAGGAGGCGGTTGCTGAAGAACCTGAGCATGCTGCTGAAGCCCCGGCTGCTGAAGAATCAGTGAAGGAGGAAGTCGTCGCAGAGACCAAGCCTGAAGAATCCGTCCCCGAGGAAACTACCAAGGAGCCAACCGCGGAGGAGCCTGCTGTTCAGGAATCTCAGCCGACCGAGGAGCCCAGTGAGGACCCTGTCGCAGACGAGTCGACGGACGAATCCTCCAACTTGGCCGAGTCTACTGTCGCTACAACTGCCGGAGACGAGATCGTCTTTGACAACCAGTCGACCAAGGAAACTGAGCCAGTCACCGAAGAACCTATTGAGGAAGCTGTTGAGGAGGCTGTTGTCGAAGAACCTGCTGTAGAGGAACCTGTTAAGGAGGTCGTCGTTGAGGAGCCTGCTGTCACGGAACCAGTCACCGAAGAGCCCGTCGTCGAGGAATCTGGTAAGGAGGCTGTTACCGAGGAGCCTGCTGCCACGGAGCCTGCTGTCGAAGAGCCTGTCAAGGAGGCTGTTGTCGAAGAGCCCGCCGCCAAGGAGGTCGTCGCTGAGGAGCCTGCTGCCAAGGAGCCTGCTGTTGAAGAGCCTGTCAAGGAGGCTGTTGTCGAAGAGCCCGCCGCCAAGGAGGTTGTCGAGGAGCCTGTTGTGAAGGAGGCCGTCGCTGAGGAGCCTGCTGCCGAAGAGCCTGCTGTCGAAGAACCTGCTGTCGAAGAGCCTGCTGTCGAAGAACCTATCAAGGAGGCTGTTGTCGAAGAGCCCGCCGCCAAGGAGGTTGTCGAGGAGCCTGTGACTCAGGAGCCGGCCGAGGAGGCTGCCGTTGAGGAACCTGCTGTCGAGGCGCCTGCGGCTCAAGAGGCTGAAAAGGAGACTGTTGAAGAGCCGGTTGCGGAAGTTGCCCAAGAACATGCGGCAGCCGAGTCGGTCCCCGAGCACTCTGAGAAGGAGGCTGTTGCTGAGGCTACTGTTGCTGCAGTTGCAGCAGTCGCGGCGGCGGAGGTTGTCGACAAGGTTGCTGAGCCAGCTGTTCAGGAGCCTGAGGCTGCAACCGCTGAAGCTACTGAGGCTCCGGTTGAGACGGAGAAGGAGATTGCTCCCGCAGAGCCTGCCCCTGAGACCCACGAAGAAACGGTCAAGGCTGTAGAGCCACAGGAGCAGAAGGCTGCGGAGGAAGCTGTTGCACAGGTCGAGGAGCAGGTTACCGAGCCGGTGCACGCGCCTAAGGATGAGCCGGCTGCAGTTGAGACTGTCGTCGAGCCAGCTGCTACCGAGGAATCCCCTAAGGCCGAAGTTGCTGAGGCTGTTAGTGTCGAGAAGGAGGAACCTGTCCAGGTTGAAACTGTCAGTGAGCCAGCCCCAGCTGAGCCTCAAGCCAAGGAAGTGCCTGTGCCTGTGCCTACCGAGGTGGAGGCTCCTGTTGAGGCCAACACTGTGTCAACACATGAAGAGCCTATTCCTGAGACGGCCAAGGAGACCGCTCCTGAGGAGTCTGCAAAGGACAGCATCTTCAGCCCTGAAGTTCTGGGCGCAGGTGTTGCTACGGTTGCTGCCGGTGCTGCCATTACCGCCGGAGTGTATGCGGCCACTCACAAGGAATCCGAAGTTGTTCCCGAGCACGTCGAGTCCAAGCAAGATCCCGTCCAGCCTGAGAACACAGACAAGGCAGTCGTCGCCGACCACAAGCCTACCGAGCGTAAGGATTCCCCATGTCCTGCAGCGAATCAGCTGGGAGTTACCGAATATGAAGCTGACCCTGTCACAGCGGTTACCGAGGCGCCTTCTACCGAACAGGCATCTGCATCTAACCAACAGCCGCATGTTGAAGACGATGCCGAGGAGCAGACCAAGAAGGCTACCGAGCCCCAGCCCGCCACCGCCGAGCCCGCCGCGCCGTCCGAGAATGCTGCCGACAAGGCAGTTGCCACCAAGGGCGACGAGGAAGATCGTGCCCAAAGTCAAAACCGGTCAGTCACAGCTGTTTCTCTGAACCGTAAACATGACAGCTGGTTTAAGACCATCCTCCGGGCTGTGTTCACCAATTTCTTTGGGGCTATCTTCTCGCCGTTCCGTCGTCGTGGAAGGAACAACCAGTAGAGTCGTGTCGGGTGTTGAAGACCGAGACGTTTATTGTTCATGATTGTGGTTGCCAAAGCTAATATGGTTCAGGAATCTGTTCTTGATGAGCGTTTTTGCTGCTCCATTGCTAGCATTTGTTTGGCATGCATATACCCGATGATTGTTTGAAGTTGCCGAGTTTGCGCGCCCACCAATTATCCGTCGATTCCCCTGTATTTGGTATTCTGCTGTCGAGCTGTTTTTCGCTCTCCTCTCAAATTGTCTGAATATTTGATTCCGCATTCTTAATCGTTCGTTCCTTTTGTCAGATTGGTAGTAGTTCTGTTGCAGTTTTCTGCCAGTATGTAATGATGTGCATGATGATATGATATAATGATATGATTTTAGATATTGTTCGTGAGACTCTTGATATTCATTTAGAAGGATCTGGTCTTCATTTAGCTTCTTAGACCTTAACCTACAAACTCTTTAGGCTTGTTGTAGCTCTCCCTGTCTGTACTCGAAGGATCTAATATGATTTTCGAGCACTCCCCTTGTAATATTCTCCCAATACCCGGGTCTGCGTTGAAACCGGTATTTCCTGGAGGAGGAAGCCCGTTCCGCATCTAAGTTTCCATTTACACATCTGCAAAGCGAGAGAAATCACTGAAACACCAGAACAATCAAGTGAGTCAAGCTTGCATTGTAGTCTCTTCTTCCCACCGAACCTTAGATCTACATCAGCTAGATACTATACACCCAATACTACAATAAAATCGCAGCAATCAGCTACAGACCCAACCTTAAACAGAGCTACCTTATAGATACAGATATCAATTTACCTTAGAACCCGATCTCCCAGCACATTGCACATTGCAACCCTCATACCTCACACCTCACACCTCACATCCACCCACAGACCTCCAGACCATCTAGAGCAAGTAGCATATAATCCATTCACACCAATTCACCACCCTCTCTCTGCCTCCCAGCCACCCTGCCTCAAACCCACCAGCGATATCTACCAGACAACACCTAGACCCAGTGCTCATTCACTACCCCTAACAACCACAAGTATCTCCAAACCCGTCCAGCAAAACCACAGTAGTAGAAATCGTAACACTGGCCCTCAAAGAACATGCAAACATGCATACATACAAAACACATCTCAAACGTCGAGATGTTTACTTACCTCTGTTTCTTCTTCTCATCTTGGAAATCCATCTCGTGTTACGTTCTGTCGCGTCTCGTTCCAGTTCATTCTCATGATACGCTTCATCATCTTCCAGATACAGATAGAACTTTCTTGTTCACTACGCTTAGTCGTCAATGCGTCCTGCTGTAATTTACCGTGCTACGTTCCTTCTGATCCTTTTTCGTTCAGCTCAGCTCTACCAGCGGTTGCGTGAACGAGCGAACGAGAAGGCCAACGAAGGGAAGGGTTCTAATCTTTAATTCGATATTGGCAAAGGTATAGTATTACTTTATCCTCTTCTTGAGATTCATTAAGTATCCTAGGATAGAGAATCAGAGTGCTCACGGTGCTAGATACAGAGTCCGGTTCCATCCACAGAATAGACGTGATAAAGCTGGTGAGTTACCTGTTCGATCCTGGGGATATCTGAATCGTAAAAGGAGAAAAGCAAAAAAAGAAAGGAAGACACACAGCTAACATGCCCATGAATGTTCAGCACACAGTGCTTCTTCATCATGTCCTTCAAGGACGGAAACGCTTGGGCTCTTCGACGTGCCAGGGAGAGAGAACAGATGAGACTGAGCGGTGATACTGAGCAGGGGAGTCTCTCGTCCTTGAAAATCGGTAAATCCTCTCCTTCTCTGTCACAAATCAAAGGAAAAGAAAGAAAGAAAGCTAACAAAAAGAAACAGTTAAAACGATCTCGCCAGATCTCGGCAAATTAGACTTCGACTCCGACCTTGCTCTGCCAATGCCAAATCCTCGCACTGCTCGAGCCAACTCGATCGTAAACGACTCTCTCTCCTCTTCCCCTAGCATCCCTGCCAGTGGAAGCGGAAGTGGAAGTCTCTGGAGCAGAAGCATTGCTAAGAAACGCTCGTTCACTGAACCGGGCCGTTTGGCAGCGGCGGCAGCATCAGCTGGTGAGAAAAAGTCGGACAAGAAATCAACCTTCAAGGCTCTCAAGGCCAAGCTCAGTTTGAAGGATCTGAAGAAGGAGTTTCGCAAGGAGGTCCCACCGGCAAGTACGATGCCGAAAATCACTATACTCCGGAATTCTTCATCTTCAGATCCTTTTGCTAGAAAGGGGAACAATTTCGAAGTCGAGAGGCTGTATACTCCCAGACCTAGGGTGATGGAGGTGGGTACGGAGTCGCTGTCGCGAAAGTCAAGTGTGATTCGGTTGGATGATTGTCTCAAGGATGTCAGAAAGGCGTCGGATTCTTCCGTGAGAACACCCATGAAAGATGGTATTGCGGGTGGTGTCGGTGGTGAGCGTATGTCTGAACTGGGTACTAAGTTCAGACATACCCTCATCCACAGCAACGACGCCGAAGAGGGGCTTGCTTCTAACCTGCTCGATGCCGTTCTCCTGAGCGGATCGTCGCCAGCTGCCCGAACAGGAGAATACAGAAACAGCAGACTGCCGGAGGTCGTCAATACACCTCAGCGCGCTTGCAGTTACGCAGCTGAGCCGGCGTCTCCCAAAAGTGCGGCTTCCACGGTCCGCGAGAGCGAAGCTGCACGCATGTACTCTCCATCGGTGTACGAGACGGCCTTGTCTGATAGAATGTCAGATCTGCCACGTCGCGATTACGGGGTGACCAGCGTTGAGGATGTCATTTCGCTCACGCCAACCCGGGACAGTGACTCGTCCGTCAAGAAAGGTTCCGACACCCGTCTGTCGTCATGGGCGTCTCCTGCGTCGACGTTCCACGCTGGTCCTGATAGATCGCCTAGCGACTATGTTTCCGTCGATAAAGCGCAGCTCATGGGTTCCACTGGTCGGGGTGGCTTCGCCCCTATGCCGCCAGACCCGGAGTATCAAAACACGGCGGCGCTGGAGGAGCAACTTGCTTCGCACGTAGAGCAGCTCCATTTCCACGTGCAACATGCGGCCAGTAAACTCGTCAAGACATTTGAGGACAAAAACAACTGGCACATGGACCAAGTTCTTCGCCATGTGGACACGATGGTTGACCTAGCTCAGGCCATCAACAAGAAAGCGGCTGCTCAGACTGAGCTACTCAGGGAGGCGCAGACGGCCGTCGCGGATGTCAGGGCCCATATCGACACATTGCGTCGCGAAGTGCGCGTCATCAAGTCAAAGATCATTACTGCGATCCACGAGGAGATTGGCAAGCTCAGATACGACCTCCAAGAGGAGGGTAAGCTTGGCCCTGGCAACCCAGCATCTGAGGGCATCTTGACCCCCAGTGCTGGGCTGCAGGGCCCGTCGTTTCCTGTGTTGGTGAACCGAGACTTGAGCGAGCAGAAAGATGGGATGGCCAAGATGCTGCAGAAAAAAGAAGATGCAAAGGATGATGAGAAGGAGATGAAGAAGAAGATTGAGCAAGAGAAAAAAGAAGAAAGAAAACAAGCAGCCCCGTCGACCGTGTTACGCAGTGCCAGTCTTGTGAATAGCACGTCCTCCGCTTACCTGAGCGTCAGAGACCATCAGCACCAAATCACTGAAAAGCGTGTTGCCTGGAAAGATGATTATGCAGACTCTTCAGGATCCCCGACTCCAAAGGCATCCACCTTTCTTGATCTCCCAGACTTGCTTGTGCCTGCAATCGAACAAGCCGAAGCTCTTCTCACTCCTGCTGCACAGCCCAAGATGGAGAAACCTGCATCCAAACGCAGCTTCTTTAACCTGCGTCGTCACCGTGACAGTGACAATAACGCCAGTCGCACGCAGGAGAACAAGCACCTAGCTGGTGACAACAACAAGGCACAGGAGAACAAGAACAAACCTCAGGTTGTCGACAACACCAAGCTTACTACACCCACTTCCAACCAGGAATCATCTGTCGACCCCAGCACCATCCACCCACTCCACCGCACCCCCGAGCAGCGCAGAATCCTCATCGAGCGAGATCTCGAACGCATCCGTCTCGAAAAGCAGCAACTGGCCATGCTGACAACTCCAAGTCCAACTCCTGCTCGACGTCCCGGCGTGCTCAAGCTGTCTAAACCTCACACTTCAATCAGCGCTTCAAATACTCTTACCACTCCCTCATACGATGATGGTACCTCCTCATCACCTCCTACTCTCCACGGCTGGCCTCTCCCAGACGTCTACAAGAACCGGTTGCCAATCTTGCCATCCCGCAGCTCGAACTCGGCCTCGACCCCAGCAGGCTTCGATAACCCGTATCCGATCTTCAAACATCCCGTGCCTGCTTCTAGCTTGGGTAATCATACTCCTACCGGGTCCTCTTCTTCGCAGGGCGGTGCTGCTGCTGCTGCTGGTGTTGTGAGACCTCATCGTCCGGCTCCGCTTACTTTGGTTCCTCCTAATAATGCTGGGCTTGGACGGAAGAGGGAGGGGTCTGGAAGACATCGAAGTGGAACGTTGGAGAGGGTGGAGGAGTGATGAAGATTCGATGAAGGTATGATGATAGTGGAATGGCTGACTATCATTCAGTTTCAATTATTGCTTGTGTTTCTTTCCAATTATGAGGTTGACGATGTCATGGTTTTATGACTTATGGTATCATGACGAGCGATGTTATGTTGCTTTTTCGTTGGTTTGTTGCTTTGCTGTTGATTGAGCGGGTATTATGAGTTTACGATGGGATGAGGTGTCACTGGTGTTCTGAAGAATCACTTATGAATTCATAATGGGAAAACGCATGGAAACGTTAAAAAATAGGAGTTGGCGGGGTTTCTCATTTGTTCATTTGTTTCATTTTACCGGGTATCGGATGTTCTATGGGAATGATGAACAGATAAAGATGATATGATAATGACTGAAAAAAGTTCGAAATGGCAAGTGAAGTAGTAGTAAGAAAAAGGTGTAAGAAAGATAAAATTGACCCGCTAATTAAACAATGACTCTATTTCCGCGTCGCAATCATTTTCTCTACATCCAAAGCGGCATCCCGAACTTGAGGACAGTAATGCTGGCGCAACAACTCTCCCTCCCAGATCGTGCCCGCGAAGACATTGGTCGCCTCAATGTCGGTAGCGTACGCATTGAACACACCGTCTCCCTTGCGCTCATCACTGTGCCACAGCGAGGAGATGCGACGTGCGTTGTGCTTGGCCACCTGGTTCATAAGCGACAGTGTCGCGAGGGCGGACTTCTCGGGCAGTTGAAGCGAAGTCGTCATCAGTCGCTTTGAGAAACTGCCTAGTCGGACAGGAGGGGGCATTCCATGTGCGCGGGATATAAGTGTAGACTGCAAGCAACGAAGGAGCAGCACCATGGGCGTCTGGAAGTTGACCTTCTTCCTGGATCGCCAGGCCGGGTTCGCTTCGGGGGAGTTGGGGTCGGGGAGGCGGAGGGATTTGTCGGGGTTGTATTCGACGTCGGGATTGATGGAGAGGTTGTAGAGAGAGCGGTAGAGGTGTTTTACGAAGAAACTCAGGTCGAGGTGGAGTGTGCTGGCGGCCTTGCTGGCGTCTTGTCCTTCCAGAAGTGCGAAGGCAGTGACGGTACAAAGGAGGGCTTCGCGCTGGGCGTCGCGTGTCGTAGCTGGCTCCGCATCATCGGTTTCTTCTGTCTCGTCCTCTTCTTCCTCGGCTCGATCGGCATGGCCGATCAGGTCCTTCAGTGCTTCCAGCAAGTCACCGAAGAAGTCCTGGTTGATCAGGTGGGCGTACTTGGCAAGACCCTCGAGAACGGGGCCCATGAGCTTCGGAATGCGGAGCTTGAGGATTCGGAAGTAGACACCGAAGACGAGCTTCAATGTCTCTGCTTGATTCTTGTCTCTCTCCTCATGGGACACCAAGGCGTCGGCCTCCTTCATATCCTTCTCGACTGCCTTGCGCTCCTTCTGGACCTTGCGTTCCCGCTTGGTGCGGAACTCACGCTTCTGCTTGGGCTTCTTACCGAATTGCGGGGTCTCCTCCTCTTCTTCGCGGTCGATCCTGTCTCTTGACGCCTTGCGGGAGAATTCGGACAGCAGACGGAGGTGGAGGAAGGTATCCAGGACGGTCTCATTGATGCGGAATTCCTTCGCCTTCATCATCTTCGACAGCAGGCGGACAGCCTCGAGTGACACAACTCCATCCTCATCCCTTATAAAAACCTCCTCCATCGTCTCGCGGCATTTGACGAAATCGGCATCGACTTGTTTCCGGGCGAGGCGGTTGACGAGGATCTTCAGGAGCTCGCTACGGAAGTTGAAATGCGCCACGGAAAGGAGCAGGTTGCAGGCGCAGTTAATCGCAATGCTTTTCAAGCCGGGGTCCACCTGGGGGCCATCCTTCTTGGCTGGTTTCGTGAGTTCCACCAGCTTCTGAATGTAATGCTTGTAGTTCGAAAGAAGGGATTGTTCGAATGTCCGTAGCTTGCGCACTTCCTTGGAGATTTTCGCGGACATGTCTTCGTCGCCGAGGGGTCGGATTCGATAGCCAGGAATAACGTCCTTGTACACTGCGGCCTGGGCGGCAAGAGCCAGTTTCTGGATCGCAACATGCTCTCCCCTCTCCACGATGTCGGCCATTGTCTTGAACAGCGGCATGTTCTCTTCCGGATCTTCATTGATTAACATAGCAAGCCGTGCAAGTTCCTCCTTGGTCTGGATGATTTGCAGCTTCAAAGGGATTTTCGGCTTTTCCTCTTCAACCTCTTCCTCATCTTCATCGGAATCCGCATCTTCCATATCCTCGTCGTCATCGGTACCCAAAAAGCTGTCGGATTCTTCAGCCTCCGGCTCAGGTTCCGGTTCCGCCACATTCTGTATACCTTCCGCGGTCTTTATAGGCAATCTCGTCTGTTCCTTGTCCTTCTTGCCCAATTTGCGCGGCCGCTGCTCATAGTCTTGTTCAAGGTCCCACTCGGCGGCATTGTTGTAGAAGTCGCTGGCAGACGCACCACCAGAGGATTTGGAGCCTCGTTCTTCATCTCCAGGAGGGCTCACCCGTCTCCTTTTAGTCGTACGTGCAGGAGCCATCTTGAGGTGCCTGGGGTATTTTCTGGGGTGTGATAGCGGCAAGTTGTTTGCGCGGGTTGACCGTCCGAAACTTTTTTTCTGCGGTGCCAAGACCTGGACGCTAAAGGCGGCCGCTCCACCTTGTCTAGAATTTTTGTTCCCGCGGAGCTTCGACTTACAAAGGCTGCATCGCAATCGCGTCTGGAGATCTTCCTGCGCTTTCCTGCTTGTTGATAACCTATTCAGTTTATCGCATTTGGTGCAGTGAACTGCAAGAATTTTCCAAGATGCGTCAACTCACCGAAGGTAGGTACAACCATCTCCGTCTGTTGTGATTCTCGCGCATGGATTCTTATTTCGCTTCTGTTTAGAGGAAACCCGGACTTTGTTCGAAAAGTTGGCCAACTACACTGGAAGGAGTCTTAACAACCTGATCGCACCTCCTTCTGGTTCCGAAGATGCCAACGACCGCTATGTTTTCCGTCTTCACGGCAGCAGAGTATACTACCTGAGACTTTCTCTGGCGAACCTCGCAACCAGCATTCCTCGCGCCAACCTCCTCACCCTCGGAACCTGCATCGGAAAGTTCACCAAGACCGGAAAGTTCAGAATCCAGCTTACGGCTTTGGATGTCCTCGCTCCTCATGCGCGCTACAAGGTGTGGATCAAGCAGAATGGTGTGATGCCGTTCCTCTATGGCTCCAACGTGGCCAAGGCCCACGTCGGAAGATTCAGCGAGGACTGCCCGGAGAATGCCGGTGTAATCGTTATGGATATGAATGATACGCCATTGGTAAGAAGACCTTGGCTGGTTTGAGATAATTAGAGGCTGATATACGTTAGGGATTCGGTGTGACTGCCCGGTCGAGTGCTGAAACCCGGAGACTGGAGCCCACAGCCAATGTGGTGTTCCGTCAGGCAGATATCGGAGAGTACCTGAGAGAAGTAGGTTGACCAAGTGTCACATTCATGGTATCAATTCGCTGACATCCCCTTAGGAAGATACTCTGTTTACGACCTAAGCCAAAGCCTTGCATACGCGGGATCGAACATGGGAGATATATACTAGATACCTGGGCATTCTCGCAGGAGTTCTGGAGTCGTCTGTCTGTACATTTAGAAAAGTGTTTCTCAATTCACCTTATCCATCTATTATCTCAAGTATTTCATGTGACCTTGGCTCTGCTAGACACCCGTAGCTTCATTAAAGTAGTCTATAGCGTGGCAGAAATTTTCAGGTCCCTTAGAATATCGAGTAGCAAGCCAATTCCATCGAATGGTAGGAGTAAGTGGTGGTGATGAAAGATGCGACCTGAAGCTGGCAGGATGTTAGATGCGGGGCACGTGCACGGGCACCTCTCGCTCAGCGAGCTCGATTCGGAGATGCGAAGTTTCCCCATCCAGTCATTCCAGCAGCCGGATTAACATCACTTCTGTAAACTCCTCACCTTGTAGCTAGTGTGTTCACGGCTATCAACCTTTTGAAATCTTCACTTTCTCGTTGCCATCCTGACGAACCCCTACACCCCCTCTATCAGTCAGGATCTTCCCCGCAGGCCACTGCCTGCCTCACCCCACCATGCCGCCTTACTCAACAGCTCAAAAGCAATGTATAATGCAATTCGTGAACCTCACCCAAGCAAAGGATGCAGTAGCCGCAAAGGTACATATTGTCTCATTGCTTCTTTTGCTTCTCCTTCCGCAGATGCCATATCGTCCAACCAGTCTTATCTGCGCTCATCACGTGTTCCTCCATGACTGACTTCTCGCATGCATATAGTTCTTGAAAGCAGCTCGCTGGAATGTGGAGCAAGCTCTTGATGCGTGAGTATAGAATTTTTTGTGTTCTATATTCTCCCTCTTTACATCTTGCTATGCTATTGCGTTTCCACTCTTGCGGCCGCGGTTCAAGGGACCGATCATCTTAATACCTCGCTTGGTCATTTCAATACGTTAGGCCTGGCGACATCTCATCTGTCTGTATACCTCGTCCAGCGGGACTGAATCAAGGTACTGCTAGGTGTTGGTGCAAAGCCATCCTAAAAACACCTCATTGTCCACACATGAACGCATGCCGTCGGGCGGAGACGGCCGAAGTCGTAAATTTGACGCTGTCAGATGTCACGCTGTCGCATGCGATGTGCAGTAAATCGGCTATCAATTAAGTTTCTCTCACCTCAGAAAGTTTTACCTGCGGCAGCTTCAGACAAGAGACCTCGACAAGCGTGCAGTATGTCTGATATCAAATGTCGAAATCGACGTCTTTCAACCAGATTTTCTCGCACTTTACCTGGAATTCGTGCACTAAAGAAGGCTGCACTGAGGTCTATTTCCCAATCATTTTGATCATACAAGTACCTCTCTTTGTGGAATGCCTACCTCAAGACCGAAGAAGAACGGGACATCCTGCTACAATTGAGACCAGCCCAGCCTGCGTATTGAAATCCAAGCATGCATTAGAAATCATCCACACTTGGCATTCTTATATCCTCTGCTTCATACACTCACCAACCATAAGATTCAACCAACTGATCTCTAACAGTCGCTAATATCAACCTCACCTCCAGATACTTCCAAAGCTCGTCCGGTGCCGGCGGTAGCACATCCTCATTGAGCAAGATCTTCGACAGTTATAGAGGTTCGCGCACCCTCCCACCACCATGAAATCTCAAAACTAACATCCACCAGATGCCCCAGAAGACAACCCCGACGGGATCGGCATCGAAGGAGCCATGAAATACCTCGGGGACATCAAAGTCGGCCTCGACGAAGTGGCATGCCTAGGGATTGCCGAGCTACTCAAATCCCCCTCAATGGGCGAATTCACCCGTGAAGGCTTCATCAACGGCTGGAGAATAACTGGGTAAATACCCTACTACCTCTCGTCATCCCGCCCCCACCTACATCCAACACAAGCTGATATATGGATATAGATCCGACTCCGTCGACAAAATGATCGCCCACGCCGCCGACATGCGCGCGCGCATCCCCATCCAACCGGACCTCTTCCGTCGCGTCTACCGCTTCACCTTCCCCCTATGCCGCATGCAAGGCCAGCGGAATCTGCAGTTCGAGATCGCGGCGGAGCAATGGCGCCTGTTCTTCACGCCGCAGAATGGCGGGGTGCAGTGGAACACGAGCACGACTCCGTGGTTGGATTGGTGGATTGAGTTCCTGGAGGAGAGGGGGAAGAGGCCCGTGAATAAGGATCTGTGGGAGCAGGTGGAGGTGTTTATGCGGAAGACGCTGGAGGATGAGAACTTTGGGTGGTGGAGTGCGGATGGGGCGTGGCCCGGGGCGTTGGATGATTTTGTGGAGTGGGTGCAGAAGAAGAGGGGGAAGGAAGCGGGGGAAGATATGGAGGTTGAGTAGTGGATGTTTTCTTTATTATTCTCGATATTCGAATCAATACGTTGTCTACATGTGGTCAGGTAGATGAATGGATGGGTTTATAATATTACTATTACTGGTATGGTGGTGGTAAGAGATGGTGTAGGAAATCTTTAAATCTTGGTATTTTGTTATAGGTATGAAAACTATGGCGACAGTGATAGACAGAAGAGGTATGCAGCATGGTGGTGTCGCCAAGGAGAAGAGAATAGAAATCGAAAACATATTCATCATAACAGGGGCAGGGCAAACATATCTTCATCTCGACGCCAGAGCTCTATTATGAGAGGTATACCCGGGTCAGATTAGGATGTCATGGGGGTAATGAAATGGATGACAGGAGAGGTGTGGACATTCCGATAAGGTGGCTGGGCTGAGGCAGCCGTTCGATCCGGCAGTTCCTCGGTTTCGGGAGGACATACCCGATCGAACACACTGCTCTAACCGACCATATCGGGAAGTCCACACTAACCAGTCGGTAGTCATAAGCTAGGTACAGTATATTTACATCGTTTACCGGTAGTCGCCCTTGTCGTACTCGCTACCGGGTCCACGGCGTTGGTCGTAGCGCTGTCGTGCTAGGTTAGCGACTGGTCGCGTCGGCGGGATCGTCACGTAGTTGATTTACCTTGCGGAGAGCCTCAAGACGCTTCTTCTTGGTGTGCGTGTTGACGTAGGTACCAATGACGAACCCGACAATGTTGAAGAAAGGCACCCAGGTGTGCTCGGGGAGGAACTTCTGAGCAAAGGCCAGCGCGATGGGCGAGGTGACCCAGCTGACCTTCATAACGGGCATGAAACCGGCCCGCACGGTAGCGCGGACCTGGTGGAAGGTGCGCGCGCCCGCGATAACGGCCATGCAGCACAGGTACACGGCGTTTTGGATGGGGGAGACCTGCGTCGCGTCAGCATTCCAGCCGCACGTCAGAAGGGAGTGTCAGATCGAACATACCAACAAGTTGCTGGCGAGAATCTGCAGGATCTTGGCCTTGATGCTAGTCCGGCCAGCGAAGACCCGCTGCAGAATTCCAATGAGGAAGTGGCCCAGCGGGGCGCTGATGAACATTCCGTAGAGGGCCATTTTGGGGACGCGGGCGCTGAAGTAGTGACCGTGCTTGCTGACATCATGGGCGATCCACGAGGCCAGGATTTCTTGCAGACTGGACAGGACACCGGAGGTCAACATCTTAGTGCGCAGGGGGTTGGACTGCAGTTGGCGGAGGTAGAGCTATAACGGACGCGCATTGTCTCAATCAGTGGACTGCAAAACACGCATTCGGGGTGTGATTACACAGGCGCAAAACCTACAGCGAGATAGCCATCGCCAGTCAACCGGTTTCCAACCTTGTGCACCAATTCCTTTGTGTCCTCCCGTATCGAGGTGACGGCCTCATCCTGGAACTTGGCAGACATTTTTGCTGATATGGTGGGTGTGTGTGATGGTGTGGGTGAGGCTGAAAGTGAGGAAAGAGAAGAAAGATTAAGCGCGCGCGATATGGTCAATTAGAAGGACGGGAGCCAGAAGACGATAAAGTCAGGAAGACGGCAGCTACGGATATTACGGGACACGGTCAGCCAAGCCAAACAAGGAGTGGGGTGGGAACCACAATGGAGATTTGGTGGAGATGGAGAACGAGAGGGAAAGGATTGGAGTGGGTTGGGGAAAGAAGGTAGGACAGACAGACAACAGACAGAACAGAGGTGAGATTTGAGATTAGGTGGAAAACATGGGGTTGGCGACGGAAGATGCGCTGTCCCGCATAGAACGGAAGGGAAAAGGAGGACCAGGGGGGGGGAGAGAGGGAGGATGATTGTTGGCTGGTGGATGATTTGTTGATGGGCAGCAACAGCACCCGCCAGCCAAAACAGCTAACTGAACTTAACGAGGCTAAGGAACGAACGGGAACGAGTCAAGGGAAAGGAAGCAAAGGAGGAGGCTGGTTTGTTCGGGAAGATGAGCCAAAGCTTACCGAGGTCGGAAGAGTTCCTGGGCGAGTTGAATGAGATGCAGCAAAACAGTATGGGGAAGGTCAACGCGGATAAGAAACCGTGAGACCCAGTCAAGTCAATCCACGGATCAATTCAATGGGAGGGACCAACAGCTGCCCTAAGCTGACAGTAGTACTAGTAGTCTAGTAGTGAGTAGTTCCAACTTCACCGAACACAGCCAGTCAAGTCAATTAAGACTAGTTAGTGAGTAGATAGAAGCAGTGACTGGCTACTGAGCTGTTGGGAATGTGGAGGACCAGGGAGTGCAGTCAATAATAAAAACAATAATAATTTCACTGTCGGTCATTCCATCGGCAAATGGCGAACCTCGCCGCTTTAATACCCGTGCCTCGGGCTGCCCGCCTTTCGGTCACCTCCGACATGCGGGCAAGCATTAATCTTAATTGTCCCATGTCCACCTCCCGATGCCTCGCAATATCTGTCATTAATTTCTGCACTTTGCAGGCATCATCTGTATTGGGATTATATATATGGTACTAGGCTCATTATGATCCTTTTCCAGGCTTATCTCACAAACCCGGTATTTCAAGATGGCCTATTTCCTAAAGAGGAAAGGGACCAGCCCAAAAGGTGCACGCCGAGTGCAGCCTGGAACAGAAAATAACGGAGCTTGTATCCAGAGTATCACTCATCCTGGGTATTTTTCTGATTCTATATCTGCTATGCACATTTCCTATCCACTAACAACTGCACAGGTAGAAAAGTGTTGCTCATATAATGCTGCCCTTGTAGAAATGAATGCTTCATCACGGCCCTAGGCCTTGCCATTACTGCACTCCCAATCTATAGGCTATGTGCATGTCAATCTGGCGTTCACGATGCTCCAGTTACAGTGCTGGCAAGCACTTCATTATGAATGCTCGTTTGAAGCGTTTGAATGCCGAGACCATGGACCCGGTCAGTGGTGAAGAGGACTGACACGTCCACGTCTATCACAATGTCTCAACAAACACTCAACCGTGTTTCCTTTCCTCACAGGAAGCCTCTCCATCATCGGAATTCATCCTTGGGGTCTTCATTTCCATCGTTGTGATAGACCTGGACATCTCATCTACTTAAGGACCATGCCTTCTGATACTCCTGTGGACGAGGGACGTGGAAGCCCATCCGAAAGGTCAGACTCACCACCCTCTCAGCTAGTCTTCCTTCCACCCCCCAATAGCGTGTCTTCCTCCGTGAGATGGGATAAGCATCCTACTTTCGAACCGGTTGTTGATCCGTTTTTCAACCTTGTGGCTCGTCGAGAGGACGGCAGACCCCGTCTCTTCCCTCCGTTTTCGGGGTGGAATGATGACCAACCTAGAACTTGCGGTGACCCCTATTGCAAACACGATGTCGTTGTCCGCGAGTATGCACTTGACAAGCACGAGACATGCGAGTCCTGCGGTCTGGTTCCGGCGTTCGGCTGGTTCTATCGCTGTGGTGTAGACATCACCGGCTTCTCTTACCGCATGGGTCCAGGCCAGGCCCCGGTTCTCAGTCCTTGGATATCCGACGCTATCAAGGCTGGTCATTACACAGGAATACAGAAGAATATTCTAATGTGGCAGAAAACCAGAGTCCTGCAGACAGTTGCCGCGGAACACACCGAACACCTTGTTGCTTTCCCTGTAACAGAAGTCATCTATGGCATAGGGGATGACGATGACGACGAAAATCCTCACGTGGATTTTGTTGAAGACGTCTCTCATGCAGGTTCAGACCAGTTTGCCGAAGACCGCCCCCTGATCCAATCGTCAGTCTATCCTCCTTGCAGCCATCGCGCATGCCATAACTGTGCACCTTATCTCCAAGAAAGAGCCTGGCTCAGCATTGACGAGGTATGCAGAGACACGACTGTCAAAGCTCCCAGTCAGTGGGATTTGCGTGACCGCAGTATCTCCGATGCAAACATTGTCAGGAACTTGGGACTCCGACGTTTCTCACCATCACGTCCCGGAGCTGAACCAAGCACATCGCTCACTGAGGACAGTAAAACACCATCGGCCCTGTTGAAGAAGCTTGTGGATAAAGCATCCAAGAGTTCCGGTTCGTCTAAACCTACCAAACCGACCACCACTGTTCTTCCGGCACTTACTGCCCAGATTGCTGGGTCCGTTGCTGGGTGTTTTACCAGCGCTCCTCCTACCGCATCAAGTCTTGCTCGGCCTATCGAATCATTCGCTGCTCCATCTACTCAGCCGTCTGCTGCACCACTCACCGCGCCCCCTCCGCCTCCTCATCTTGAAATTCCCGAGTGGCTCATGGCAGGTGCCAGTTCTTCTACCTCACGCTCCACAAACTCAGACACTAGGAACTCGCAAGCAAGGCCATCGCAGGCAGGGTCGTCGCGAGCAGGGCCGTCTGGAACGTCTCGACGGACCCCTACTATCTCACCGCAGTCAGTGAGTGCCCAAGGCGCGTGGCACAGTATTAACAAACATCCTCGCCGCCCGAATCTCAGTGTTGGTCGCCCGCGTACGATCGTTAGAGTGCCGGCAACCGTGAATGAAGAATACGAGCAAGATTATTGGTCTGGAGGAGATCATGAAGAAGATGATGATTACGACGAGGACGACGAGGACGATGAGTCGGGTGGTTGTCTCCTCGATCTCGCATCCCGTGCAGAGGAGGACAGAGAACACTGTTCCTAAGTAACGATCGACAAAGAATACGAGCGCCCAAAAAGCAACGAAATATTATTGGCATACAGCCAGAAGGGTATTCAGCTGGTGGTGACGGCAATCAAGTTGCTATTACGAATGGCTCCGATCTTCGCGGGATGCGCACGGAATCTTAGTTCCTACGACACTACATTGCCATAATGTGGGGGTATGAAAATTTCCTTTTCATGTAATCTCTAATATGCCTGATCAGAATATGCCGACAGGTCAATGATCACAGCAAATTCTCAGTTCTAATCACTCATATCATAAAAGTCATGGAAATGAAACTCTCCAGTTTGTCATTATCTAAGTGTTGGTAATTAAGCATAAGAAGCAGTCTAGTATCTAATCACCATCTAATCTGTAGAACCCACCGTCGGCATCCCCAACCGCGGCAGGTCCATCCACCAAGGACCCATTCCGAGCCAATTCCGAACCTCGGCACCGCGCCAAGCGCAGCTGCTGGTCAGATGCTTGAATGACGATCACGCTCGCTCTCTTTCCCCATGATAAAGTCCCCGAACTCCCCGGTGTCCGCAATATCATCCAGCAATGTCGACATAATACCACCGAGAAAACGACCATGGCCGACCCTGAACCCTCCCCTACACCCGCTGCTGCTGCACACGTCCCGAACCATGAAAAACACAGTGAGGGGAACCCGGTGAACAGTCCTGCGGGTGACTCAACATCACCGCCGGTATCGTCAATAACCGGCGCTCGACGCCGCCAGCTGCTGGCAGCTCTCAAGTCAACAGACCGTACAGTCGACCGGTTCGATAGGTGGGCGCCGCTTCCTCCTCGCAACATTCTCCTACCCTCCATAACCCAACTACCACTCCAATCCCGAGAGCCATGCACATACATCCCACTAACTCCGACACCCCCACCACCAAACAGACTCATATCCACAGCCGCCGGCCAGGAACGAGTTCTCGCAGTAACAGGCTACCTCGCACACACCCTACACCACATCCTCTCCTCCGCACCATGGATCGCCTTCCAAGCGCGTCTCAGCCTGCTCGCCCGTCTACGAAACAAGTCCACATCACCAAGCCCTAAACCCACCCCATCCTCATCATCCTCATCATCATCGCGCCTCCTCGCCCTCTCCTCCCTCATGTCCGAAACCCGCTTCACCCTGCGCCTTCTCGGCCTTTTCCCCCTCTGGACATGGGGTTCGCAGACGCTGAAACACCCGCCCGCGGACAAACCCCTCTACATCTTGACTCTCCTGCAGGTCTTCGTCAATGTCATCTACCAGGCGCTCGAGAACGTGGGGTATCTTGCGCAGAAGGGGATCGTGTCGAAGAAGTTTGTTGATCGCTGGGGCGGCATCGATAAGTGGTATATTTGGAGTACGAGGGCGTGGTTCGGACATATTTTCTTTCAGTTTTTTGTGCTCTGGAGGGGGACGGTGCTTAGGAGGAGGAAGATGAAAGAGGAAGCCGGGGTTGAGGGTGTTGGGAAGGAGGAGAAGAGGGAGGCGCTGAGGAAGGAGATTCGCGCGTGGAGGAAGAGTCTCGTTAATAATGTCTGTTGGGCACCCTTGTGTCTTCACTGGTGCTTTGAGAAGGGGATTGGGTTCCCGGAGCATTTGACCGGGTTGGTTAGTTTTATGGCGGGGGCTTGGGACGTTTGGGATACTTGGGTGGCTACGGGGTTGTCGTAGGGAGGGATCGCAGATAGATGTGGGTTTCTTCATATTTTGTTGAGCGATTAAGCATATGGTTACTTACTTGGATGCCATACTATAGATATAGATTGTGATGGAGAAGGCGGATGGTTCTACTAGCTTGCTGTGCTAGGGAAGGTCTCATCTATCCATGTAACACATATCCAAATATTAACCAAGCCAACACCCGAAGCAAACCATAGTGGTCGTACAAATAGACAGTCTAGACCCAACCAACTAACCAAACGCCCGATAAACAAGCCTAGAACGTCTACTCCTTTGACCCAATGCTCCCCAGCAAAGCAAGACATACCCCTAAACACCCGATGCCGACGTCCTCGCCAGATCCATCGTTGACGCGCGCTGAGCCGCACACATATTCCGATATAACTGGCTACAAACAAGTCCATCTATTGGCCAGGTATACATACCCTGATCTGTCGACGAAAGCTCATTCATCGCCTCGTCCGCCTTCTCCTGGTTCCAGACGAACGCTCCCGCATCAACAATCCTCACACTGCGAATTTCATAACCCTCGAATGAGTCAAGCTGGGTGATATACGCCTGCACATCTACCAGCCTCATAAGCCCGCTCTCGTATTCGTAGACTTTGTTGCGCTGCTCTTCATTCAGTCCAAGTATAAGCATCCCTTCGACTCGGTGCTGTGGATCCGATGAGGGCAGCATGACGGGTGTGCTGTCAGGGCCGAATTGGTAGAGCTTGAAGCCGTACACGGTTGCGCTCATCATGCGTCTGGCGATGTCCGTTGTCTGGGGCACGTCCAGGAAGTACTTAAGCACTGTGGGGAGCATGAGGACTCCGTAGACGAAGCGGGCTGCGCATCCCGGCTTCTCGACCAGGTGGTTTACCTCGTCGTCTGTTAGGGTGTTGCTTCGTGCTTCCAGGAAATCTGAGGGGTAATGTGCCTTATTGTCCATGACTTAAAGATATAGGCGAGGGTCAAGCTGGAGAGTTGAGGCAAGCAAACGATCTATAGTAGTATCAATGACCCCCTGATAGAGAGAGAGTCTCGTGTTGCGGGAAATGTCTCACTGTGATGAACGATCACTCATGAGGGGAATTGGCCCAAAAAGAATGAGAATGGATAAGTGATGAGAATGTAGCTATATAAGGCGGTTAACAAATTCTATATACTGATGGCCATGTTCGACAGGCTGTTGCTGTGAATGTGAATACCCATTTACTCGTCGAGTAATCAGGACTCACCGAGCTGTTGCCCTGGCGTTAAAGACATAGCCCTGTGTGCACATAGTACCGTATATAATAGCAGAATTCTGGTGGTCTCTCGCCAACCGGGTGAGATGCAGGTTCATACGGCTGTGGTCAGTTCGATGGTACATGTATACCCTTGTCTGCCGAATAGGGAAGTCCCGTTCATAGGCAGCAGGTTGCCGGCAAGGCAGTCGTCGTCCACCATAAGGCTATTGTCCTGACAGTGCCTTGCGCATGGTGATGTAGCACCGGAGCCAGCCTGGGCCAAACCAGGCTGACTGATGCCATGCCCTGGTGGCTGTCATAGAAGCACTCTGCGTATGCATGCAGGGAGGACGGCTGCCTCAGGCACAAGGTACAGGTATAGTGTTACCGGGCGGTGCAATGCACACGCATATCCCCGACAGTCACAGCAGAGTGAGGGGGGCACAGTGACAGTGACTCATTTTGTGCAAAGAATTGCGGCTTATAAAGCAACGATGGAGTAGCAACACCAACGACCCCAGATAAATACTAGTTAGCTGTAGTAGTTAGTGGTAGTTTCAGTTGGGGGACGATCAAGAGTGGATACTACCGGCTTCCATACGCTTCTCTCTCCTCCCCAGGCGGTGGCGGCAACCGGGTTTGGTGGCTCGTGAATCTGCAACAGCTTAAGTCATCAAGCCCCGGTAGGGCCTGGCACTATCGTCACCTCTTAACTGGAGCTCTCTCTCTGCCATCCTCCGATCTCACTTCCAACTCCCTCCCCCTCTGCCATCCCATCTCATCCTTCCAATTTACTCCCCTCCCTCCGGCATCTCTTTCGGTCTGGTGGGCTTTGTATCTCTGTTTCGTTTTTTCATTCCCCTTCATTTTCCTCTTTGTCCCTGTTGCCGAGCTTCACCAAATCCGGTACAGCGACAGTCCTTGATACGTACCCAAGTGTCTACGTTGCTTTACGCGCCTTATCCAAATCTCCCTCAAGATGAGCGCAGAACCCGATCACACCCACGACAAGAAGAGGGTGAACCTCCAGTATGTGATGGAACTTCCTCTGGCATCCACTTCTCCATCGTTCCAAGAAGCTAACCTCATCGCACAGTGACGCCTCCGGCGCCGACAAGAAAGAGGTAAAGACTTTTGCCTGCACAACGGGAAGGGACCTTGATGGCGAATACTGACAACCACCGCGAAATAGGAACTCGACACCTCGACGGCTATCTTGAAGAAGAAGAAGAAGCCTAACTCCCTCATGTAAGCTAGTTCTGGCCTTGGTGCGGGGATACTGGTTGGGTACTGACTATCTGGGTACTAGTGTCACTGATGCCGTCAACGATGACAACTCCGTTATCGCTCTCTCCAACAACACAATGGACACCCTCCAGCTGTTCCGGGGTGACACCGTCCTCGTCAAGGGCAAGAAGCGCAAGGACACCGTTTTGATTGTTTTGGCCGATGATGATCTTGATGATGGAAGCGCTCGCATCAACCGTGTTGTGAGACACAACCTCCGTGTCAAGCACGGCGATATCATCACCGTTCACCCTTGCCCCGACATCAAATACGTGAGTTCGACTACTCTCCAGCGTTATCCAGGCGACTTCTTACTAACCTCGCTTGTTATCACCTACAGGCCAAGCGTATTGCTGTTCTCCCCATCGCCGACACCGTTGAGGGCCTGACTGGCTCCCTCTTCGATGTCTACCTCGCCCCCTACTTCCGCGAAGCCTACAGACCCGTGAGACAGGGAGACCTGTTCACAGTAAGAGGTGGTATGAGACAAGTGGAATTTAAGGTTGTTGAGGTGGATCCCCCAGAGTATGGTATTGTGGCTCAAGATACCATCATCCACTGCGAGGGTGAGCCGATCCAGCGCGAGGATGAGGAGGGCAACCTCAACGAGGTCGGTTACGACGACATCGGTGGCTGCAGGAAGCAGATGGCACAGATCCGTGAATTGGTCGAGCTGCCCCTTCGCCACCCCCAGCTCTTCAAGTCCATCGGTATCAAGCCTCCCCGTGGTATCCTCATGTACGGTCCTCCGGGTACCGGTAAGACTCTGATGGCTCGTGCTGTGGCCAACGAGACCGGCGCTTTCTTCTTCTTGATCAACGGTCCTGAGATCATGTCCAAGATGGCTGGTGAATCCGAGTCCAACCTGCGCAAGGCCTTCGAGGAAGCCGAGAAGAACTCCCCTGCTATCATCTTCATTGATGAGATCGATTCCATTGCCCCCAAGCGTGAGAAGACCAACGGTGAAGTCGAGCGCCGTGTCGTCTCTCAGCTTCTGACCCTGATGGACGGTATGAAGGCCCGCTCCAACGTTGTTGTCATGGCCGCCACCAACCGCCCCAACACCATCGACCCCGCCCTCCGCCGTTTCGGTCGTTTCGATCGTGAGGTCGACATCGGTATCCCCGACCCCACTGGCCGTCTGGAGATCCTCTCGATCCACACCAAGAACATGAAGCTGGGTGATGATGTCGACTTGGAGACCATTGCCGCCGAGACCCACGGTTACGTCGGTTCTGATCTTGCCTCTCTGTGCTCCGAGGCCGCCATGCAGCAGATCCGTGAGAAGATGGATCTGATTGACCTTGACGAGGACACCATTGACGCTGAGGTCCTCGACTCCCTGGGTGTTACCATGGAGAACTTCCGTTACGCCCTTGGTGTCTCCAACCCCTCCGCTCTGCGCGAGGTTGCCGTTGTCGAGGTGCCCAACGTCCGTTGGGAGGACATTGGTGGTCTGGAGGAGGTCAAGCGCGAGCTCATCGAGAGCGTCCAGTACCCTGTCGACCACCCCGAGAAGTTCCAGAAGTTTGGTCTTTCGCCTTCCCGCGGTGTTTTGTTCTATGGTCCTCCCGGTACTGGTAAAACCATGCTTGCCAAGGCCGTGGCCAACGAATGTGCTGCCAACTTCATCTCGGTCAAGGGTCCTGAGCTGCTGAGCATGTGGTTCGGTGAGTCCGAGAGCAACATCCGTGATATCTTCGACAAGGCTCGCGCCGCTGCTCCTTGCGTTGTCTTCCTGGATGAGTTGGATTCCATCGCCAAGTCTCGTGGTGGCTCTGTCGGTGATGCCGGCGGTGCCTCTGACCGTGTTGTCAACCAGCTCCTGACCGGTAAGTTTGTTGCCTGTATGATACATGAGTAGTTACTAACTTCCAAACAGAGATGGACGGTATGACCTCCAAGAAGAACGTCTTCGTCATCGGTGCCACGAACAGACCCGAGCAGCTCGATGCCGCTCTGGTCCGTCCTGGTCGTCTTGACACCCTGGTCTACGTTCCTCTGCCGGACCAGGCCTCTCGTGAGAGCATTCTCAAAGCCCAGCTCCGCAAGACCCCTATTGCTGGCGATATCGACCTTTCCTTCATTGCCAGCAAGACCCACGGATTCTCCGGTGCTGATCTCGGCTTCGTCACTCAGCGTGCTGTCAAGCTTGCCATCAAGCAGTCCATCGGCGCTGACATCGAACGCCAGAAGCAGCGTGAGGCTCAGGGCGAGGATGTCAAGATGGAGGACGAGGAGGTTGAGGAGGAGGACCCGGTGCCGGAGCTTACCCGGGCACACTTCGAGGAGGCGATGAAGTCGGCCAGACGCTCCGTCAGCGACGTGGAGATTCGCCGGTACGAGGCGTTTGCTCAGAGCTTGAAGAACTCGGGCGGCAGCAGCTTCTTCCGCTTCCCGTCGGCGGGTGAGGTGACGGACAACAACACGTTCGGTGAAGCCGGCAATGACGACAGCCTCTATGACTAGACTGGTTGCATGTTTCCAAGTTAGTTATCCATCTGCACTACTACTACTTAGAAACAGCGGGTTTTGAGGCCGGGATATAGCCCCGGTTCGAATTCGTATTGGGTTACCGTTTCTTTTCCTTTTTTTCCCTTTTCCTTTCACGTTCTAAGATTGCGAATATCTGTCTCGCATACTGAGTGCCATAATATAAGCTTAAAGAGTAAATGAATTGCACGTCTTGGTAGACACCCCCACTGTTGTACAAAATAACGAGGCATGTATGTATGCCCATGCTGGTATCAGGATATTGCAACGCCATCCGTAGTAAACCATAAAGTAACGCCGTAAAGCAATAAGCCAGGGAATATAGCCAGGAAAACTGCCTGACAAGGACCAAACACCATACCAACACGCCACAAAACAAACCAACCCCAACAAACAACCACACAGTATAACAACAGACACCACATATTATTTGAGCTTACTCCCCGTCTTCGACTCCTTCTTCACCTTCTTCATCGGACTCGCCGTATCCCCTCCTCCATCCTTACTATTCTTCGACCCTTTCCCTCCCCCACCACTCCCACCCTCCTCCTTATGCCCATTCTCAAGATCCCCCAGGATATCCCCCCCATCCTCCGCCACCACCACCTCTCTTAACACCTCCTTCAACGCCCTAACCCCCTGCTCCACCACCGACGACGGAATCCTCACATCAAACGATTCCAGATCCCCAATGCCGCTGCCGTCCTCTTCGCCACTATTCCCATTGCTTTGTTTCGCTTTATTGGCCTCCACTAAGACCGGATGCTTCCTCCCCTCCGCGGACGCTACTACCGCCTCGAACACCTCGTCGAACCGCTCGCATCGCCCGCCGCGGAGGAGTTCTTGGGCCAGTTTGCGGATGCGTTCTGTCCACCCGAGGCGCTGGAGGGAGCTGAGGAGCGTGGCGTGCAGGTCTTCGAGCGCCGGAGTGCTGGTTAGGTGTTGTAGGAGGTCGGATTCGAGGTCGGATGAAGATGGGGAGGTTGAGGCGGGTTGGTTGGGCGAGGAGGAGGGCATTGTTGGTTTGGAGGATTGGGGTTGGTTGAGGTGCTGTAGTGGTTGAGTCGAGATGACGATAGGTGGGCGCGGCGCGAAGTGGGATGGGGGTGGTGTAGCGCTTGCGTTGTATAGGCGGTTGGGAGAGGTCCGGACGGGGACGTAGGATTGCCTGAGCTAGCGCAATAGGTATCAAAGTATATATATACACCCAAGTCGACGGTGGCGTGCGACTTGCTCGTGGAACGAGATACAATATCTGCGATCGCGATCGGTTAGCGGGTACGGTTCTGGAAAAGATTGCGCGGACTGGAGTAGCTTTGATGGTTCTAAAGGGGGAGTAATTTTCTTGTCTGCACCTTACCTGTCTGGTTCACGATGTGATAGGGAGCGTCGGAGTAGGTGAAAAGCAGAAAAGAAGGGAGGGGGTTGAGGAGAACTTGGGGGCGAGAATAATCCTAGTCCGGGGAAAGGCGAGCCTTGCGGTGGTCGGAGGTCAGCGCAGGAACCGCCGATAAGATGAGTTGCCGCATCCGATATAGTGCCTCATATGGGAAAGCCCGTCATTGGCTCTTATCATAGTAGGTGAGTATGGGTTATAAAGATATGTTTCATTGGATTGTTGTCCCACCAGTAAATTATCCCTATAACCAAAGGAAGTGTACAAGACGAAGCAGGTGGTATGTGGCATACTACTTTCCTGTGTGCCACTAAGTTTGTCACCTCAATAGAAGCTTCAGTTTGTAGTATCTATTGCGCTAAGCTGTTGATGTCCACAATCCGCAATCTATGAAGTTGGTTACACACGAACAATATTACCATGCAAGTTGAACTCTAACTACTTGAGATCTTTACCCTTTATCACAATAAACTGAGTGGCAATACTTTCAGATCATGCTAACCTGCATACACACTACTCGAACCCTACATTTTCCTATTTGATCCACAAAGAGAAATTGAACCATCCATGAACTCCTAACCAAGATGGCCTTACATCACGACAGCAGGAGGTGGCCCGCCAACTGAATATTACACTGCGAAAGATGATGACGTATCGTTCCACCACTTCAGCTTCCAGACTGGAAGCACGTCTTTGGTGTGTCACCTGCCGATCTATGAGTTAGATTTCATAGTACTCGTGATTAGAAGAGAGTAAACAGACCAGCCTGTCTTCATAACCGCAGGGACTCCTTGTCGCTCCTCAGCCACACAATTTGGACATTTATTGATCCGATCAGTCCATCTACCCTGGGAGGAGTTCTCTATTCCTGGACAATCTGCCTTTCCGCAGGGTATAACCTCCTCTGTTATTGGCATATTGACGGTGTGAGCGCACTTAACGTAGCGGGTCGGAGTAGGGAAAACGCGCCAGCACACCGTGCCTATATAGTTGCTCTTAAAGATTGATGATTTCTGCCGGTTTCTCCTTCCAAATGCGACCTGAGCAAAGGATAAGACTGTAAGCGCCGCGGGGAGGGGGGCCTCAGCTGAGCGGGGTCACTGCGTTGCGCCAGTGTCCAGTGCGCATTGTATACTATTTCATGATGGTGTTTTGGTGGCACAGCACGATACATTGCGGACTTGACCTCCAGTCAGATAAGAACGTGAGTGGGCGTAGAGATTCACTCATAGGACTATTGAGTTGGAAAAGCAGTGTTTTCTTTGGCATAGCAAGTTATTGCAACCTTCTGTCCTCTAAATCATATCTAGATGTAGTTGCCGCATAGAGGCAGACAAGCTCCCTGGTGACTAAGCTCTTGCCTCACCTGCAGCACATGACGGCTGGGAGCTCAGGGGTCTTATATCCAGAACCCTTGCGATGAAAGACTAGACAGCACCCAGTGGTGAATCAATTTCGCTGAGTTTATCAATTATGAGCGACGATGATGGCCCCGAGCTCATCGGACTGGGCCGAGTTGGACGCGTGATGCGCTTCGGAGACATTGCAGTGAAAACGGCTAACATATGGACTGTGCCCGACAACGCGTCTGAGATGACAATAATCAGCTATGAGCAAACGACTGAGCTTAACAAAGAATCATTAAAACATGAAGGGCATGTGTATTGCCACCTGGGGAATATTCCGGGCGTAATAAGGCCCTACCAGGTCTCGGATACCGAAATTCGGATGCCATATCTACGCCAGGGTCCACTCAGCCGCTATCTGCGCACTCATCGTGATGGCGTGGACAACAATCGACGATTAAAATGGCTCCAGGAAGCTGCACATATCATCCGTCGAACACACGATCGGCGGGTGTTAGTATCCGATATCGCGACACGGAATTTCCTACTTGAGGAGGATCTGTCTCTTCAGATGTGCGATTTCACCGAATCAATCATTGTCGCCAATGATAAAGATATGGCCGACTTCATATCCGAAGACTTCGTTTCAGTCAAGTCCGACATTGCGCGCTTTGGCTCGATGATGTACGAGATAATCTCCGGAAATCAGTTTGAATTCTACGTCATACCCGACATCGAGACCGACCTGGATGATGATCCAGGGTCTAAGACGTTCAAGACGTGGCCAACCGCTGATAAACTCCCAGTTACGGACAATTTGTTCCTGGGAGATGTCATCAGGAGATGCTGGATTAGGAACGGATTTGTCACCATGCAGGAAGTTTGTCACGCCTTGGACAATTTTGATCAAGGGTCAGCAGCCTCAAAGGCTTCTAGAGACGCGGATAAGGAAAAGATGAATTGGAGGCATTTCCTGCGCTTAGCAAGTCCGGTAGCAACAGCAGTTATTCTTGCCATTGTCATCGTTCCACGACTTCGTTTACCGTGGCGGACGATATCCGCCTTTCTGCCCTCCATCAAACATTGATTCTACGATATCCTTTCTACAATGTACTCTAATGTAATTAATATGATCTACTGTGAGACACCTGATACTCGAAATGTCAAATCTCACATACGCTTGAGGGACATACTATGCGCTCATAACAAATGAGAGGCGCCAGACTTGGTAATTCTATCCAGGCAGTCGACGTAACATCTATATAATCTATGATTGAAGATGCATCTCTATAAAACTCCCTAGCTAGGCCGCAGCGCTTTATTTATTTATTTTTTTCCAGCCATCAGCTGGCGCTACCCCATTTATTAGTTAATGCCTGTTGACTTTGGCTATGTCATACCAACCGCCTGCTGAGTATCCGTCCTTGGTCTATGCCACCGCACCCTACAATATTACGGAAGGTTAGCCGCCCGGCATCGCATCGCGTCACACAGCATTGCAGCTCCTCCGGTTGGCGTTGGCTATAGGCGTAAATAGGCGCGCGCGAGAGAACGCGGGGCATATTCTGAACAAGGATTTTCCAGGGTATGTCCGATATAAATAGCATCCAACGGCGGTTGGCGCATCGAATGGACTGACCATAATGCAATCATTGCGCCGGGGTGGGTATGGGTATACATATACATACTATACCATACTTACGTAGACATACATGGGCTCCACTGGGCCTCGAGGTGCCAATAATCACCTCCCATGCTGCAAGTAAACAACAAGGAGGAATCAACGCTGTTCCAGATGGCTGGCACACCCACATGTTCGTGTAAGGTTTGCTGCGTTGCCAGGGATTGAGGGTGTCACAACCGGATTGGAAAAAAGACACTCGCGGGATGGCTGGTTCTTAGCTTTGCAAGGGAGGGATGCTGATAAGATGTACTCGGTAAGGCAGTTATCGTCCGTCCTTCCGTAGTCCACATGCAGCGTGTGTGTACATGCAGGAAGGACCAGATCCGGGCGCTTGCTTCCTTGATTCATGTCGACAGCGCACGGTGAGGGGGTAAGGAATATAGCACGGTGCTGATTGAAGGAGACACTGCTTTATTTTTCATGCGTGCGAAAATATGCTCTTACTATGGATCGGATATTTTTGACCCCGGTTGATGTGATCGGCGTGGCCGATAGCAAAGCTCCTGAGAGATGGTGAGTATTGAAATGGTAGACTATATGTGTGTTATACCGCCTCAATAGCGGCGGCTCAATAGTAGAACACAGGCGTGCTGTGTTGCCCAGGTTGCTCCACAGTAAACCCGTTCGCTTGAAATATTCCTAGATGCAACGGATGTAATTCGGTGGTCAAGACTAGAGACCCGGCCGTTTTCTGCAGCGCAGGACTAAGTGCCATTGACTCCTATGCTTCCTACGTAGGACCCTCGTTGAATATACGTAAGCTCTATCATCTACTACTAGCTAGGTGGGGATATCGATGGTGCAAATAGACTTTCTACGGAGAGTCAGGCACACGGAGACAAAGCCCTTCGGCGATAGTATCCGAGGAAAGTTAAATATAGAACCGCGGCCATCCAAGCTCAAGTGGATTGGGGGTAAAAAAAAAAATGCTAGAAAAAAGGGGCAAGGGGAGGAAGATGATGGAGACGAGTGGAAAAGAGATTTTCTGATGGAGCCAAGGATGTCCTTGCATGGACAATCATCGACAGTTCAGCGTCGAGATGGGGAACGAATGGCACGATGACAGCGGAGGATTCGGACCCAGAGAGCATCCGAATACGTCGAGGCTCCGGCACTATTGAATTTTGACAGCGCCTGGCTTGAATAATAGTGGGAATAACCAACCCCCCTCCGTCCACTGGCCGTTAAGCCTGCCGAGCGATGCTTCTGGTTTGCATGAACCCCGATCGAAACTAGTAGCATTTGTGTGATAATAGTGCTGGTGACTAGGATGGGCGCTTCGTTAGTGTCCTCATAATCGCACGGAACTTCAGCCAGGGGATGGGCCCCGTCCACCATTCGTCTCCTCTTCTCAATTTTCGATTTTCTACTTGGAGAAGTGTTGGCGCTTGGATCCGGCGATGGCTCTCCTTTTTTTGCTTTAACCCTGGTTTTTTCGTTGGAGTATCCCACCCGTTGTCTGCAAGATGCGTCACTGAGAGGTTTTGCCCAGAGTCTGGCTGGGAACGAAGCAAGGATGAGGGATCCATTAACGGAGCAAGTACTAGAGAGGGGGTCGGACTGAGCCGATAAACGGCCGACAGTAGATACCGTAGATCCCATAGATCCCCATCATATAGGCAGACGGGGGATATTGACTATTCCACTGGGAAGATCATAAAAACAGATGACTGAGCTGTCTGTATACTTTAGAAACTACTTACTATCCACAAGGAAAGTGACTTGCGGGAGTCCAGACCGGCATCACGTGTGGCGATCCAACTTTAGAAGCGCCTCTTGGTTTTCCCGTTCGGCGGTTCGTTGGACTCCGCGCCCAACCAGCTTCTTGTTCTGTTGCTGCTGCTGCTGCTGCTTCTTCCCCGTCCATCGCTGCCTCTCATCTGCTTGCTCGAACATCCCAGTTCACCCAGTCTCCCTTCCTCGTGGCCCTTGGTCTCTTCTTCGTCGACCAACCAACTATCATCAACGAGGGTCTTCTCCCTTTCGCACTTCTCATCATCCGGTTGGACCCCCAGAACTTGGCCGAGCTTCCCCGCTCTCGCTGTCGCTGCATGCCTTGTTGGCCTCAGGATCCCCCTCCGCTCCTCTTCCATCACGGCCTCTTTCCATGCTTCCTCGTCTCTTCTACTTCGTCACCTCGCCTTCTTCCTCTTTACTAGCTCTTTCACCCTCCACTATCTCTTAATTAGCTTCTTCCTCCTGAGTCTCCTTCATCAGAAACTCCGCGCTTCGCAGCTTCGGTCCAACTTCACTGTCAGTGTCCTTATAATTCACCCGCTTGCCGTCCCTCCCGTTCATGTGGCACGCCTGCTCGACGAAGTTTGGCTCCCAACACTCATCATCCGGGTCGGTTAGTCCGTGATTGACAACTCCAACGCCTTCTGTGCGACCGGCTCTATTCTTTGTACTCAATCTTTGGCGATCTATCTCGGGTCTAGAGGCTGGCGCTTCGCTGAGTCTGCTAGCCGGTCCGACGTCCTCCCCAGCCCCCTCCTCTACGTGTCTCCGGGCGTCGTCACCGGTTATTGAATGAATTCATTCGTCATGTCTCTCCATACCTCCTATCATGCCGACTCGGATGCGGACGACGAGTACGAGCGCAGCGTGATCACGTCCCCTCATCTGGCCACCGACTCCGAGGCCTCCCCTTCCGAATCAGAATTCCCGTCAGCAGAGCATACCCCCACGACTTTGGCCAATGTCGACGACAATCCCCGATCGCCTCGGACAATCATCACCGAATGGACCGCTGAGGAATGCGCCAACTTCGTTGCCGCCCTTGGTCTTCGTCAATACTGCGCCGCTTTTCTAGGTAAGTCCCCAAGGTATCAAAACAAAGGCGCTAAGGCTTTCGGATCACTGACTGCGTGGTGTTTGTATTACAACAGAAAACGAAATCGTTGGCGAAGCGCTCATCGCCCTGAAACATGATGAACTTAAGGAGATGGGGATCGCGAGTGTGGGACATCGATTGACTATCTTGAAGAGTGTATACGAAACGAAGGTCAAGCAAGATATTCCGATTGACGCAGATCATTACATTCCACTGTGTATGTCCACTGAATTTCTACTATGCAGGTGCTACCTGTAAATCGACTTGCTAATGTGTCTTACATCGACAGCCGCGGACCAAAGTATGAACGAAACCGCCACTCAGGACGATATTTCCCGGTTGATTCGGTCCATCCGCGTACGCGATGACCGTATTATGTCTATGGAGTCAGAGATGCGACGGATTGCAGAGGAATATCGTCGACTGCGCGAAGAGCTTCTTCCCGTGTTCAAGATGGCGAAAGACAAGTCACAGCCGTTGCCCCCGCCTTCCTCTGTGCCAGGATCCGGCTCGGAGGGATACCATGATGGGCCAACGCTCACATCTCCGTCCGGAATCACGCTCCTGGATCGTTCTGGTAGTATTCTATCTCGGACGTTCTCCAAACGTGGCCACAATGGAGGCACTACTCCCAAGACCAACTCCCCTACCCACATTCCCCCGTCGATCCACGAGGGCCGCATGTACAGTGATGGGCTAGATCCGTCCACGGCAAATTCCTCCCACTTGACTATGCTGAATGGCAAGTCGCAATTATCTCCAGGCATTCCGTCCCCGACCTCTCCAGGCAATCAATACGCTCCACAGACCCTAGCCTCCCGGGCATATACCCAACCGAGTTCTAGCAGCATAAACCACGTCTCGCATAACCACCACGACGATGCTACGGCGTCACAGTCGCGGCCAGAACGTCTGAACCCTACACCAACACAATCTACACGCCCCGACATTCCCACTCGTTCAGACTCAAGGGCGACTCAGGATCCACCGAGCGTGGAAATCTTCAAGTCCTTCCGCGTGTCGATGGACGATCCATGCCACAAGGTTCTTCCGGCTGCGCTCAAGAAGTATAACATCAACGCCGATTGGAAACAATATGCACTATACATTGTATATGGTGACCAAGAACGATGTCTTGGGCTCGAGGAACGACCACTCATCCTGTTCAAACAGCTCGAAAAGGAAAGACGCAAGCCCATGTTCATGCTACGAAAGCAGGTCCATCCCATCGATAGCGGCATGTATTCCGGGGGAGGATCTGCACCGAATAGTGCTGGCTTTGAGGGACGACAGGCACAAATTAATCTGCCCGGCGGCGTGCTGTGAGCAGCACACTGCAGCATCATTCTCGATGGAAGCATCATCACGTTTAATTGTTGCTTGAGATACCCCCCGGACCCTGACATGGGGTCGTTTCATTCCTCTCATTCTTCTCGATCTTCTCTCAGACCATTTGTGCGGGCTTCTGTCGTTGTCTCAATTCATATCATCATCATCATCATATCAGCGGTGTTACGGTGTTGGGGATCCCGGAATAGGAAAAGCTCATAAATCAGCGTGGCATTTGTTGGGTTTCTCTCTGCACTATTATCTCTTTCTACTTACCGGCTACCTTATGTCTGAGTTCAACACATACTACTTACCATCTTAATTTCTCTGAATAAACTTCTGTCTACATTTACTTCCAACTTGTCTGCTTCCGGGTC